CTACGGCGTCTTCAGTAACGTAAACCTTGATATATATGCTTACAAGCAATATAGTGTTCAGTGCAACTTCACAGATTATTAGTTAAATCACCACTTATTCCTAGCTTTCATATATATTCAACGACATGTTTCAGCCACACCAGGCCATCATCAGGTATATATGATGATTTGCATAAATTATTATACTGTATTGTAATATTATATAGATGGCAAGATCTATTTGTCTGAAAGTTCATTATTTTAAAAAACTTTCAAACGTTTTGTGTTTATAGAAGGCTTTGGAGAATAGAACTAAAAGGATTAATGATAATATTCTCATACAAAACCATGCTTCTTGTTGAACATAATTATATGTGTCATCCTCATGAGTTATCCTTAAAAATACAGTTGATGAAGATATATACATTGGGTCAGGACACCAGTCTTGAACATCAAATGATTGGTGAATGGAACAGTGACAATTTATTCCTACCACCATTACCATATATGTACAATAAACACAGCCATGGAAATCTGCAGAGGTACCAACTTCAAGCAGCAACTGTATTGGTGAGTCATTTAAGGCTTCTAGGAAATTAAAAATCTTATTTTTTTAATATACTCTGTACAACTGTTTGTATTTTAATAACAACATTATTTGTTGTCTTCAGTGAATTCTCACATACCTCAATGGCCCTGCAAGTACCCTGAAATTCATTACACTCAATAATTTTAGCATTACTGGTAAATTACTTCTATGTGATTATAAGCACATGTGTAAACATATTTACTCAAGGATAAAGTAATTACTTGCATTTTGATTCTAACAATATTCAAGATTTGAAATAAATTCTTGGATTCATCAATAGCAAAAAAGGAAAAAGAAGGGTGATCACTTTTAAAGTGTACTTCAAATAATTTCAATAAATGGATGTAATAAGAGATAATTGTGAAAGTGATGATTGAAAATGTGAAGATAATTTTCTCATCTATCCATTTTTACAAGTATAATTTTACCTTATCATTTATGACATCTGTATCTCATTAACAAAGTAAGTTGAGACCAGTTCACAGTACGGAATGTACTAATAAACTTTATTTGTTCTTTAATCAGATTAATGAATTTTACACTCAAATTGAGAAGAATGGTGATCATTTTAAAGTAACAGGAGGATACTTTGGTGAAGCATTTAAAACTCTTGCAGATATATTAAATTTTACGTAAGTAAATTTCTGTTTCTATTGAGGTACTCATTTCACATTAAACATGGACAAGTCCATGTTCAGCCTGTGCTGTTATACAAAACTCTTCAATGAAATCTGTGCTAGTGGATTTGAGATATGATCTATACATTTATTTTTTATTATTCTGTCATGCTTTATCTCTATCAAAAATAAAAGGAGCACAAGCTTGTTTCTAATGATGAATCAGTAAGTTGTGAAGGCTTATGTCTTCTGGGCTGTAAGGACATGTAGCTTGTTGAAAGTCGGTTGATGTTTTGGAGGAAAATGTCGCCTCCATTTTCAGGGTTGAAGAATAAGTCAAGCAAGAAACCAATATGAGGAAGGAGAATTCTTCATAACTCCACTTTTAGAACCTCATATTCTACATATTAGTAAGTTAATTTCGGATAGACAGATGTGGAGCTGGAATAGCTTAGTTAGTATAGCGACTAGGCTGCGCCATAGTTCAAGTGGTTAGTCGCTGGCTTCCCACCACGGCGGACCAGGTTCAATCCCAGGGTCTGGTCAAGTGGGATTTGTGGTGGACAAAGTGGGGCTAGGGCAGGTTTTCTCCGAGTACTTCGGTTTCCCTTGCCAATCTTCATACCACCAATTGCTCCACAATCACCCTCACCTATCATCTGGGGCTAGTACNCTCTTCATAACCAAAACTGTGATAACCTCAAATCCTCTGAATTAGAGGTTGAGTCCTGGCAGAACAGGGGGTTTTACTGTTTACTGCCATGTCCTGAATGGCATCTAATGGATACTGAGGCCTCCTGCCACAACTATAAAACAGCCAGCATACAAAGCTAACACTCCGCTCCACCAAATGATAAATCACTACCTCCACACCTTCACAGCATGCTGTTCAAATACAGGGCAGACAAAACTCTTTTCATATCTCGTTATTAGTGTACAAAATTTACCACATATATTGGTAGAATTTCATCAGCTGGAATTACAGGGGTATTATTCTATAAGCTTTAACTCTGTAAATTTTTTAAATAGTGGTATTTTTCTTGAGGAATGAAATTAGATACTCACTGTGTCATGTCAGTAATTCTTATCAATTTGGTATACTGGATAGCTTCAGATTATAGGCCTATGTCATAACTCTGAAATTACTTCCTGTTTCATGTTGACAACATGAACTTTTTGTCTGCAGTTATACTGTCAAATACCTACCTGGTTATTCCTATGGGAACACACCTACTGACAACAGTTCATCCTGGACTGGATTGATAGGTATGATTCAAAGAGAGGAGGCAGATATATCCCTGTGTGAAGTATCCATTACAGCAGATCGATCAGAAGTCATTGATTTCACCTCTCCTCTCCACACAGCTGTGTAAGTGTATTAAGGTAACGCAACACTCTGGAATAAAAAACAATGTAGGATTGATATTTAATTTATATTTAGGAACAGTGCATCAACTGTAGATGTCATAAGAGATTCTGTTCTGTACTTGCAGGACACGGTTGTATGTACATGAAGGAATAAAGGAGCCTTCCATACACTGGTACTTCCGCCCATTCAGTACCTCAACGTGGCTTGCTCTCATTGTGGGACTCTTCTTGTTCACATCCATTAACACCCTACTCCATTACATCATTTATAGGCTGCTTGGGGCCAAAAGAAGGGCAGGTTTCCTCTCCAACCTTTTCACAGTTGTGACCATCATGTTGCAACAAGGCAAGCCAAGCTTGTATTCAGTATCACTGGAATAAATCTCAAAGGAATTATAATAAACATAAATGTTACTAACTTTCAACATTTAAATTCATAATTTAGTTCATTGTCAACCCTGTACCACATGTCAAGAATGTTAGTTCCACAATACTATAGTAAAACTTAAGTTCTTATTTTCTACATGTTAATATAATCTCTGGGTCTTTCTTGAGTCAATGATAATTATGCAGTTTATCAAGAACCTGAATCATTTCAGTCAGGTTCATGCTGTCAAGCCACAGGTAAAGCTGCAATCTACATACATATTTTTCATTTCATGCATTCTGTTGTGTTACAATATACAACTCTTTTATTGACTGTCACAACAGAACAAACAGAAAAAATCAAGGTCAGCGCCCAGCTATGGTTTCGCTACATGTTTCAGCCACTAACGGCCATCATCAGGCAAACACATATCAACAAACGTATACCACTGAACTGCTGTACATTAAATTGGATACAGTGTTATTAATAATTTAAAATTTAATTGATCAATTAAGTTTTATCTTGTTTTATACAATAACTTTTAGTTTTTATGTAATCTGACTTACTGTATTTTTACACAAAGTATTTTAAATTATTAATAACACTGTATCCAATTTAATGTACAACAGCTCAATGGTATACGTTTGTTAATATGTGTTTGCCTGATGATGGCCACTGGTGGCCGAAACATGTAGCGAAACCACAGCTGGGCGCTAACCTTGATTTTTTCTGTTTGTTATGTTGTGACTGTCAATAAAAGAGTTGTACATACATATTCATCAATGTGTCATATTCACAACTGTATCGTTCAAATGAAGATATTCTTAGAACGGATTCCTCAAATACCATATTTACTTTAATACTATCACACTGAATGCCATGGCTGGGTGGGTAGGACTCCTGCTTTGTATTCATAAGGTTCCATGTTCAAATCTAGGCCTGGGTATTGGTTTTTATGACTGAGGTAATTTCCTTATTTTCTTCAGTCTCCCAGGCAAAGAATGGGATAGTACCTCAAATTAGACTGTGGCTATTTCTTTCTACATCTTTTCCAACTCATTATTCACTAATTATCCTATCAGTCAATGCTATACAGTTTGAGCCACTGACAGCAGCATTAAATATTCCACAAATGAAATTAATATCATTCCTACTTTATCAAGGTCTCTCAAGTTATTACTACCACTGAACCAAAATGCAATATGCAGTTCTTGTTTCTTCCTTGTGCAATGCAAATATAATAATATAATAAATAAAAAGGGGGTAGTGACTATGTGTCTGTAAGACTAATATAGGATCTGTGACTAGGGATGTTTTGTAAATAGCTTTAGGGCCCTTGTAAGCTTCAAATTTATGGTCATATTTTGCGTGGTGGTATTTTTGCGTTGAATATATGCCCATGTCATTGTAGCCTCATAGATTTCAGTGTCCCATCCCAGATGGCAGTAGACTGTCTTCAATGATGACGTTCAATTGATTGGGCAGGAGGCCAATTAGACTGGAAAAGTTGTATATGTATGTGACTTGTTCTAGAGTTACAATTTGTAACTGTGATGAATGTTAAATAAAATTATAATTAATTATTATCTACTGTCCATTATGCAATATCCTAAATTGTTCACTTAATTTATGGTTCATGGTTCTTAGGTACAAAAATTAAACCCCTGAGCTTTAATATCAGAGAGTTAGCTACATGTAGAATCAAGTTAGAAGAGTGTGGTATCAATTCTAGAACTGCCTTTTTGTTGTGCTTTCTTCACAGGGACAGACTATCCTTCAAAATTTTCCATGAGNTAGAGTTACAATTTGTAACTGTGATGAATGTTAAATAAAATTATAATTAATTATTATCTACTGTCCATTATGCAATATCCTAAATTGTTCACTTAATTTATGATTCATAGGTACAAAAAATTAGTTAGCTACATGTAGACTCAAGTCAGAAGAGTATGGTACCAATTCTAGAACTGCTTTTTTGTGGTGCTTTCTTCACAGGGACAGACTATCCTTCAAAATTTTCCATGAGACTAGTGCAGCAGTGTAGTGCCTTTTTGTTTCTGGTTGTGCATATTGCCTACAGTGCCAAGCTTACATCACTTGCCACCCTGTATACACAGCAGCCACCACTTCACAATCTCGAAGATGTTCTGAAGAGCTCCAGCTGGAAGTTTGGCATTATGAATGGCAGTCTTCCCTTTAATACCTTCAGGGTAAGCTTGAATTACTTATAGCTGACTATAAATGAACCTGAAAAAACATATATCAAATTGACCAAGGAGATATTAAATATGAGGATTACTGTCTTATGGAATGTAATGTCATGAAGACTACTAGCTTTCCTCTTACATTTCTGAGGCAGTAGGTCACTCCAGAAGATTGATAAGAGTCTATCAGACTGCATTGCACAGACAGTAGTCTCCATAGTCACCACTGTAAGGACTGTATGTCCTGTATGTAATTGTGTATGTTACATCACTCTCTATGTGTACATCCAATTTTATCTCAGAAATGACTCATAATACAAAAATTTGGAGATAAAATACTTATAGCCTGTGTGAAACATTTCTTCATTCTTCTTATTTTCTAAGGGTAGTTTTATAGTATCATCACATACATGTGACTGTTACCCCCAGTAACTTTTGAACAAATTGAAATCTGGTATGAATATTATGCCGCCAAAGGGCGAGTCTAACATTTCATTTCTTATCATTACAATATTAGGACAGTGGCTGTATGGATATATGTAGAAAATGTAACATAAGCATCTGTACTGGCTGAAATTATGCAGAGAAATAGATAACTTATTGCAGGGATATCCAACTGGTGGCACATGGGCTGCTTGCAACATGCTAGTTGGTTTTGTGAGGCCCATGAGAATATCTTTCAGTCCCCAAAATATCTGTTACTGTTTTTCTCTTCAGAAAATGGTGATGAATCTTGTTGAAAAACTCTATGGTGAGTACTTGCTAAATAGTCAGTTGATTTCACAAAACATGTAATAAATAACTTAGAAGAATTAATATTACTCCAAGATCATATGCAACATCAGTGCAATCTATCAGACCTTTGGCAGCTGATGTGTAAGCACCATTAACCTAAAATTTGATTTAATTAAATGTTTCAAAATTTTACATGTCCAATTCTGATTTGCGTGCTTAAGCTTCACACAGCTGATCATTACAGGACAGATACTTATACCAGTATACTGGAAACACATTTTCATAATGCAGCCCCTCAGTGGGCTGGACAGCCATTACGTACTACCTTAGTTGTAATTTATAGTTTCTGCTAGCCTCACCATATAGACTGAAGCAGTTTGGGTAAAGCATTGAAAATAATTCTGTCTTATAAAGCTGTATGATCTGATGAAAGTCAGCCAATGTATCACATGAACATGTCACCTCCATTTTCAGGGTTGAAGCAGGTAGCAAGCAACTTTCACTGGACTACATGGTGTTATATCTCAGAAGGCAGAACTCTTGATAAGGCTGTTAGATAGAACCTGAAATCATACGTAGGCATTGGAAGCGGTTTCTGCATATTCTATAACATATTAAATGTGAACATTAACCAAGTTTCCAATTAAAGATTGAATAAACTAGTGTAGTGGTAATGTTAGAGACTTGTATTTCAGAGGCTCCTGGTTTGAATTTTTGTCAAGTTATTAGCTATTCTCATGCAGATTTTCTGTGGTTTTTATGTATTTCTGGGAAAATATACCTTTAATTAAGCCATGACCACCTTCTGAATTCTTGTCTGCTCACAATTCATGATAATTTTCCCACCATACTCAACATTATAGCATATGCAGGTGAAACGGTGTCTTCAAATAATCTGATAATAACTTATCCTCAATCAAAGGGCCAGTGTAAGAATTCACATATACTTTTGCTGATATTATGACAGATTTCATAAGTATTATATAGGGGTTTAGGATATAAGAGTTGTGAAGCTGAAAGATACTATTTCATGGTAAATGTAACTCTAGAAAATCACACAGTTTGTGCTTTATGTAGTGCATACATTAAACAGTGATGAATGAAGTGATTGAGGTAAGTACATGTGATTAACTTAGAATAATGTGGAAAGAAAGAGTTTTGTTTGATCTTTAGGTATCAGCTCAGCATTTGCGTAGAAAAACTCAGGAGAACCACAAAAAGAGACCTCAGTCAGGTTCAGGATAGCTGATTTCTAGCTGAGATTTTAAGCAAGTACCTCCAAAATATGAACCCTAATATACATATCTGATTGTTAATTAACATGAACAAATGTTGGTAACTTATATTTTATTCTACAAGCTAGTTTGATATTACATACATCTGCAACTGAAACTTTTACCTGTCTCTTCAGACTGCTGAACCAGACAGCATGTTTGGTAAACTGTGGCATCTTAAACTTGAACCATTTCCTGAACATCTCATGCGCAGCTACAAGTCAGGGTTGTCTGCAACACTTGCTGGAAGTCACTTTGCATTCATGGGGCTAGAAGACTCTTGTCAAGACACACTGCAGCACAGCTTCACCTCTGTTCAGGCATGCCAGATCATGGCTCTCCCTCAGAAATATTTACGTGGAGGGCTGAGTTTTGCACTGCAGAGGAACTCCCCATACAAAGATGTCATTAACTACAGGTGAAGGTACTACTGTAATTCTTAAAGCTAAGAGTTCATTATGGTCAGTTTAAATTTTTGGTCAATCACTTAAATTCATTGTACCCCAGTACTGTTAGACCACTTGATTTCATTCTACTGCATACACAATGTTTTGGTATGTTATGGGTGCCAAGGAACATGACTTCATTAGGCATGCCAAAGGATCAAAATGTTTCACAGACATAACAAAATGGCCGAGTTCAAAAGGCCGTAAATTTATTAATGACAAAGCTACTTTATGTATAAATATTAACTTTCTGATAACAACAAAAATGTGCAATGCTATTAACACCAAAGACTGCCAGTGTGCATGATCACAAGCCAGTTTCATTCACCTCAGAATATATTCCATTTTACTGCTCAAATTTCACTTCTTTTTCATTCTTTTTTTTTTAATTGCTAGTGGGGTGGGACTAAGTCCCTTGTACTGTGGCCACTTCTGGCCTATTGTACCAGCCCCAGATGATAGGTGAGGGTGATTATGGAGCAACTGGTGGAATGAAGATTGGCAGGGGAAACTGAAGTACTCGCAAAAAACCTGCCCCAGTGCCACTTTGTCCACCACAAATCCCACTTGACCAGACCTGGGATCGAATCCGGACTGTCGCAGTGGGAAGCCAGTGACTAACCGCTTGAGCTACGGTGCGGCCTTTTTCATTCCTACTAGTAGGTGATACCTATAGGATTTCCAAAATCCTGTCCATATTTGTGTCCTTCATTTGATCATATTCAATTTATTGTAACCTCCTTAGTTTCACTGCTCTCTAACAGTAGAAGCTGAGCTGAATAACCACTAAATTCCTCTAGTTCCAAGGTTTCACTCAAATTTTTATAATTTAGAATTATTTTGCAGTGAAACATTGTTATTTTACACTCAATTCCTAACATGGAGCACCAGCCCTTGTGATCTGTCTGAAATGACTTATTCAGAAAATTGTAACTACCCTTTATTTCTGCTTTATATCCAGAGGCCATCTTCTCTGTCCACTGCCCAAATGTGTTACCATGGTTACTAGCTCATTAATACTTCTCTTAATTATTGTGATGGAAATTTATGTAACATTATTCATAAAAATTATGTAGTTACATGGGTACAAAAGCACTCTGTGTGGATATGCGTTTATGTTATCTTCTCCTGATGTTTCAGTCTTATGAAAATGAAGAGTAGTGGCATACTTCAACGTCTAAAACTCAGATGGATGCCACAACCTCAACAATGCAACAGGATGCTTCATGTTGTAACAGAATGGGCAGATATTGTGGTTCCACTGATAGGTCTCACAGCATTGGCATTAATTTCATTTTGTATCCTGATAACTGAGTTAATACTACATAAGTACAAACAGAACAGTAACAGCACATCAAAAAAATAGAATTATGAGTATTATGAAGTAAAACCTGTACAAACGTTACAAAAACATTCCATGAAACCCACTGGAAATTTATTTTGAGAAACTCATACTACATTATATGCAGTGTTAGGTCAAGTGTTTAATAACCAGTCATTAACACATTCACAAGACATCCTTTGATATAAAATTATTCTTTTTTACAATAGAAGGGGAAAGTAACATTACTACTTCCAAAAATAAAATATTTGAGTACAGTTCTTTAGCATATCTCACATCATAGCTCACTTTAGGTCCACAGAACGTTTTTCTGGTAAAACTTGCATTTTCAATAAGTTTATTCCCAAGAGATCACTGAATCATGTGTTTCTTTATCCAGTTTTGTCTCAAATATATGATGAGCCCTATTGTTGAATGAGGGAAAGAATCTTGTTATAGTTGAGTATTTTTTTTAATGCTAGTGGGGTGGGACTAAGTCCCTTGTACTGCGGCCACTTCTGGCCTATTGTACCAGCCCCAGATGATAGGTGAGGATGATTGTGGAGCAATTGGTGGAATTAAGATTGGCAGGGGAAACCGAAGTACTTGGAGAAAACCTGCCCCAGCGCCACTTTGTCCACCACACATCCCACTTGACCAGACCCAGGATCGAACCCGGGCCGCCACGGTGGGAAGCCAGCGACTAACCACTTGAGCTATGGCACGGCCCTTATAGTTGAGTAAATGCAGTATGCTCAATATACTGTTATCACACTATTTGTATATTGCAGTAATGATTCGCTGTTAGTGAGATTCATGTCACAAGCAATAATGCACTGATTATTACAAAACTAATAACTGTCCCATCCATTCTTTCAAGTGCCAATTGGAATTTCAGTGCAACCAATGATGAACAAATGAATGTATGACGTGTGGGCCATAATAATCCAGCCCTTGCACCACGACCTTCAATGATCTACTGTGCTTCCCCTTTGATCAACCCCTTATTAATCCTACAAGTTGGATGAAATGTAGGACTTTGTTTATGGGAGCATCACAGTAGTCACTTGGTTCCATAAAGAACTGGCCCATGTGGCAAAATCTTAAATAAGCTATGACCTTTTTTGAATTGTTTCATTTTTGGTCCGTTACACTATCAATCACAAAGTCAATAGAAAGTCCGTCTAGTGTAACAATTTGTAGGTCACTTCTTTATCACTTCTGCCTTACATGTTTCGCTTTAATACAACCATCATCAGAGGCACATAGTACAATCATGAAAACACTGTCGTTGTTTAAGATGTACACAGTTATGTTTGCTGCGTGGACGCTGCTACAATATGTCGACGTGTAAAAGCACAACACTTGCTAGGATTGTTGAATGCACTATCAATTCTCACATTCCATCCGAAACTGCCCTCAAGTTAAAACGCCAATGTTAAAATATTTAAAAATTTTAAACATTTGATGTAAAATGTTAAGCTCCTCCTTGTTAATTCATCCCGAAGATGGGAGATGTCAGCTTGAGGTTGTATGGCTTATGGTTAGATGTTTCCAATGTGCTGTGTGCTGTGTACTGCTGTGTACACGCAGCAAACATAACTGTGTACATCTTAAACAACGACAGTGTTTTCATGATTGTACTATGTGCCTCTGATGATGGTTGTATTAAACCGAAACATGTAAGGCAGAAGAGATAAAGAAGTGACCTACAAATTGTTACATTAGACGGACTTTCTATTGACTATGTGAAGCTATGCCCTCACAATCACATAGGATATGTGTGGCTGATTCATCTGCTTCTAGGCACCTTTTGCAAGTGGGGTCATCTGTCAATCACAGTTTGAAAAAGTGTCCTTTTAGGTGATAGTGTCCTGTAAATAATGTAACCAATTATGTTACATATAAAATAACTTTGCTCCTCTAGTTTTCAGAGCCAGAATCGTTTAGTCAGCATAGTGAACAGGCTGTGGAATGAATGACCAAAGAATCAGGGTTTGATTCCAGGCAATTATCTTCTTCACACTATCCAGACCAGCTCTATGGCCTTCTGAGATCTTTGTCCAGTGTGTAACAGGCTATTTCTTGTCAAGCAGCTAGGGAGTGAAGATGGCCGCTCACCTTCATATTTAATGATGAGGTTAATAATGTATGCTTAATTAAGCACAGGGACAACTTTACCTACATTACCTTTGCCTCTCAAGTTTTCTGTTTCTTTCACTTTGGTCTGGTAGCTAGATGGCCACGATTATGTCTTACATAGCATGTAAAATAATCAATGTCTACTTTTGTTCTGTTGCTTGGCAACCATTTACTGCAAAAAGCCATCACTTTAAGATTATTACAGTACATCTGCAGGTAGCATAGTTGGTAGAGGGGCTATGCTACAAGCCAGAAGGTCGCAGGTTCAAGTCCCGATGAGATCATTGGATTTTTTCAATTGACCTAATCCTTCCAGCTGCACTATGGCCCTGGGGTCAACGCAGCCTTTAACAGATACGAGTACCACGAATTAATTAAATAACTTTCCTGGGGAGTAAAGTGTGGCCAGTGTGTAAGGCTGAAAACCTTACTGCCATCTTTGAGCCGAATGTCTAGAAAATGTGGGACCTTCAACGTCTCACAACCTTATGGGCATTCAAGGCTTGTTACAGGGATAGCTTTACTTTTTACAATACATCTGCAATTTGATTATTTCATCACAGTTTAAGAAATGCTTTGGCAGGAAACAGGCAGTCAATAGTTTTCCGTAGAAGTCTATGAACAGTGCCTGAGTAACAGAAAGAAGGCAGTATTATCCAACCAAGCTGTGCAGATGATGGCATCTATGAATTTGAAGGGACAGAGATGGAGGATAGTATTTAGGTTTAGAAAATAATATGGTTATCATGATTTATGAAATGTCTGAATTAAAACAAGTCTTAAGAGTGTAATCCACTTAATATGAAAAATGAGAGAAAAGATTACTGGCTTAGGTGTAATTACAGATTAGGCTAGAAAATACCAAGCCAGATTAACTGTTAAATTATGTTAATTTATTAACTTACATATAACATGTAATTGTTATATCTTTTTCAAATAGTTCATGTTTCAAGAGAATGATATTTGGTGTCTATAGATTTTGTGTAGAAATTCCTTTGTAATGGTTACCCAATTAAATCAATGGAAGAAGGAATATTGATATGGTGCTTTAAACGATTGGTGAGGTAGATCAATTGTTTCAAGGATTCTGTGACTCCCAACCTTGCAAATATGACCAGCACTTGAAGGGTACTCACTCATATACAGCAAAGAATGAACAGAACTCCCAATTCATAATATACAGGCATTTCAGAATTAAAAAGTAAGTATGTAAATCCCTTTTACAACTTCCTTATCAACTAATTTGCACAAATTCTTGATTGTTAATCCCAGGACCACCAGTCTTATTTTATACACTGCTAGGCCAGTTCCTCATTAGAAGTATACATTTTTGGAAAGATAATTCTCATACTTTTTGTTCCACATAAAAGTTCCTTACACCACTTTTGAAGTGGCAACTATAATCCGGAAGATTTTCACAAAAAATGGGGTTGAAATGATCATCTTCAAGTACTCGTATAAAGAAAAAATGATTAATAAATAAGTATTTTATTTTTGATAATATCATGCTGTAAAACACAAAAGCAAAATATACTATGGAATGTATTGATCATTATCTCTTCTAACAGGGCCAAAATTTCACATTGCTAGCTTGGTATCACTGGTGCTACAGAGTGCTGTACTGTATGCACATATGCACCACTACCAGATGCCATCCTGACACGGTTCTCTATTTCTGAATAAGATACATTACATAACTATCTTATATAACCCAAGAAAGGAGGGACAACTTTGCTTGCATCCTTCACTTCAATGTACTTGTAGCTCAGAGGTGCCTGAATGTATGCTTCATATTGTGATGTGCCGCCTAAAAGCCAGAATATCAGAGTCAGAGCGGGCATCCATTGCTGGACAATGGCTCAGTAGTCATGTTTCTGCTACAATAAGAGCAGTGAATGCATCATCATCAGGGTGACAACTGTAAACACGTTCACGCGATAATGGGTACAGAGGTACCATGGAAATGGAAACCAGAACTGTTCAAGGAGTTGTCTGCTACCCCAGCTGCCTAGAAGGTAAAAATGGAGAACAGTTCAAAAGTCAGAAGTAAAAGCAAGACGTGAGAAGGCAGAAGTGAAGTCCGAAGTGTGCTAGTGTGCTTCCAAGAGGCAGAACATCGTTCAAGCAAGCAGACGTTGAAGACCGTGTTTTGCGTCTTATAGTTAAAGTAAAGTTTAGCAAAGAAATTTGAGTGTGTTATAATTATCCGTAGTTCCACCTGGTGAAATTGTCCAATAAATCAATTCATCTAATCTGAAGCCCATCAACTTCTTGTCGCGTTACAAGGATACATGACAATATGTTCACATCAATTTTTCTATATGTCAGTGATATAAACATGGGTGGGATGTAATGGCTTAGACTGCTGACAATTTCAACATTTGCTGGTTGTAGGGTTAAACATTCTAAAATTGTAGTTATACAAGAATTTAATTTTCAGGGCCAATCTCTTACTAGCCATGATCAACCTTCAAGGGCTCCTGTATTTGCAAGGCTGTTTATAGCATATTAACATCAACTGAACGAAATAAATATATATATTTTCAATTTTCACACAGTTAACCCTATTTATGAGGCCCAAAAGTACCTCTCAAATAGAATTTATATATATACTTGCATACACAAATATATACACACAGGTGTTATTGTATATTTTCATATAATTTTTAAAGCAGCCAAATATCTATTATTATTAATTTATATGGAACAGTAAATTCCCTGATACACAATATCCACACTATAAGCATAAATGTACAGCAGTAACCTACAAACTTATTATACATGAGCAAAGTACTTTGTTACATCCTTCAGACCCTTCTTCACCTAAATGTCTCAAGATCAGCATTATCAATTAAAATTACAGTACGAGGATTGCAGTGTATGGTAGTTTTAAGTATGTATCTGTGTGTCTGTGTTTAAAATCTTTATATTCAAAGAGTTTTATATTAATTTTATATTGGAGCAATCCTCAGTGAAGAGAAAAATATATCACGCTATATTATATATGTACATACATGCAATACTGTGTAGACCAATGATTATTTTCATTGATTATTAAATAAAACGAAGTTATAATACAAATATTCTTCTGAATAACTTCAAAGACATGATCAACCAGTATGGTCAACAAAACATATACAACTGCTCAACAGTTTTTAAAAATGTACAAATCTTTCATTAGCAACTGATTACTGATCATGGCTTGGAAGTTATCATATGCTGTACAGTTTCCTTACAACAGTCATATATCTACTGATAATAGCGTAACTTGCAGTTGCTTGGAGAGGCAAAACACGTCCCATGCTTTCACCCTGTGTGAGACCAGCAATGACACAACAGACAGCAACAGATGTCTGGTTGTCAGTTCCATTTACATCATCAGTGGTTTTATTGTGAAAGGTAAAAGTTCTAATCTGGAGTTTCTAATAGGATGAATCAAAATAGAATGGATAATAAGAGAAGCCAAATAAAAGTCTTATGATTATAAGAGACAGTCCTGTCCACATGTGGTAAGACCACAAACCTGTGCACAACACCAAATGGAACCATATTTCAGTTATAATGCCACTGTGTTTACATTCTAGGTACATCTTTATGTATGTAAACCTAAAACAAACACATCTTTCACCAACAGTATTACAGAATATGCCCACTTCTTCAATCTTGTAAACGTATGTGACAGGTATAACAACGGCCAACAATCTGCATCAGAGAACAGACTCTATAACTCATGCAAAAATAAATGTTATGAAATTACTATACTATTACATACAGTTATGATGGCATCAGAAAGGAAAATCGACAATTTAAAACTAGCAAATTTACAGAGTATTTTCAACAAATCTCAAGAGTCTTCAAAATTACTAAGGATATGGAGCTTGAATCCCATGATTGTCAGTTAGTTTATGTGCCTGATGAAGCAAAAGATCTTTGTTTTATGAGGAAGATAATGCAAATACTGGACAAAGGATTCACTCATTACAAATCAAGTATACCTGTCTTGCAAAGACTCACTTCTAGCACCAATACTTCACAACATATAATGCAAGATTCAATTCGCTGTGAACTTGAGCTATTTAGCTTACCACTACCAAAAATTATCCCAGTAGCTGATTATCATACACTAGGTTCAACTATGGGTGAATTAGGCATAATTATTTTTCATTAAGTGGCAATGTCAATAACGAAATAATACAAGTTACTTCGGCTGAAGCAATGCTAAAATTCAATTCTTAATTTGAATATCACATACCTACCTGATATTTCTTGATGTCTCTAGGACCTACACACAAATGTGTATCAATTGGACTGAAAATTAAAATACATTTTCTTCCACATACGTTACACTTAAAAAATATATATATACACAGAAAGATGCAACTAACATCAGCAAACATTTCATGCACAAACCACTGCTATCACCAAGTGAAACACTCTGAGATTTGTACCATGTTTTAAAGTAATTATACTGATGAACACAAAAATTATTACTTTATGGAAATTTACTACTATCCATTGTAATTCAATTTATATAACTGTTAGTTGTGTTTATACGAACAAAACATGATTCTTCCACAAGTATTCAGCCAAGAACAAAATTATACAAAACTCTTACTACAAAGCAGACAAGGCATCTGTAGAACATTTTGAAAGTTTCCGGGTTTGCAGTGATTTAATGCTAATGTGGATTCATTCCCTGAGAGATGGCATCACATGGAAGTGGCTGTGCTGCTACTAACTGGGCTACTGGGCAGTCACTGTGCCTTGAAAATGGAGACAGTACAAATATGTTAAATGTCTGCAATATACCCTACTTCTACATGGTGCCATCACTCAAAAAAGTATCTACACTGTGCAGGATTTCTTATTAACTTCTCACCTCCTTCTTGTCCCTTCTCTACATAATATTTATAAACAGTTTTAAAGAATTTAACAATTCAAACATAAATGAAAATTTGATGAAAAGGAAGGAAAAACTTTTGTAGACAGACAAAAGTACTGCACCATATACTATGTCCACACAGTGGCCAAAGAAAGAAAATATGTGGGAGAATAGATGTGGAATAGATATTTTCACCTTGAAAGAACTGGATTTGTGGGTCAATTGGGATACATTTCAGGTCAAACGTGACAATTACTGTTACTTCAGTTCTTCCTCAGCATGTTGTCATATTACTGAAAAAGTTAATATTTTGGATATAACGCAAGACATTCTCCTCCTGTCATTCTCTATGTCAGTCCCCATCATGCAAAAGCTCCTCCTTTTCAAGCTCATGCTTCACCCTGTAGAGCAGCCCTGTCCAACGCGGCGCCCATGGTATATTTTTCTGGCGCCCTCCGTAACCACACATAATTGAGCCGATTTTTAATATTAATTCAAATTGTAGGACAAGAGACATTTTTGAACGTCTGAGTACTGTTAAATATTTTAGAAAAAATTTATTATTATTATTAGAATTAACCACTCCTGCTGTCTTTTGTATGCAGACGACCTCAAGATCTATCGAGCTATTAAGTCCCCCACTGATTGTATACTTCTACAGTCAGACATCGATAGAGTTTACAGTTGGTGCATGGCTAATTTTATGAAACCCAACCTTAGCAAAATTAGAATTATTTCCTTTACAAGGAAAACTACTGCCTTGTGCTTTCCATATAGGCTGGGTGATTCTGTCATACTTCGTGCAGACTGAATTAAAGACTTGCAAGTATATTTTGATTCCAAACTTTACTTTCATCAACATGTAAATTATTTATTTTTGCATGCTTTATAATTATTAGACTTAATTCGTACTATCACTTTCTCCTTTTCCACCTTAGACAGTCTAATGACATTATATTCTGCCCTTGTCAGATCTAAATTAGAGTACGCTTCTGTGGTTTGGACCCAACACTGACTCTAATAAACTTGAGCGTATATAAAGAAAATTCGCAGCACTTTGCCACAACCGATTTTTTCATGACACGGAATATCATTACATCAATATCCTTGATATGTTAAATCTGCGATCACTCCACACTAGGCGTCGCCACACTGACGCTTTGTTCCTAAATGTGTTTTTAAAGGTGACAAAAACTGTCCTTCGGTCCTAGAAACAGTTGGTATTCGAGCTCCCTCTTGGAACAGCCGTAATTTTTCCCTATTCTGCTGCTCTTCTAGTCACTGCCCTTCAGCCAGATGTGTCTCTGCTGCTAATTTAGTGTGTAATTCTCTAGACTAAAATAAGTTTACAAAATCTGACTATTTAAATTGTTCTTATAGTTGCATCAGATTTATGTCTCAATTAATTATCTAAACATTTTGTTTCTGTCCTAAATACAATGAATATCTATTATTATTATTGTTGTAATTATTATTAAGAATATCTGTCTATTTAATTTGTTCATGTAATTTTTTGCAGGACACTTGTTATCACTTCATCATTAATATATTTACTTCTGTAAACCTTTGACATATGTTATACTTAGATACTGCTTGGTCTGTCTCTAACCTCCAACTGTGTTTTTTTCACTTGGGCATATTGCAATGGAATTATATACTTTTTTCATCAATCTGTCTGTATATTGTTCACTTGTCTTCGTGCTGACTCTGTAATTGGCTACCAGCTGTTGAGTACAGCACGTAAATAAAACCAAGAATTGAATTGAATTATTATTATTATTATTATTAGTAGTAGTAGTAGTAGAGTAGTAGTAGTAGTAGTGTGGTGGCGCCCGCACCTCCATAGGCATCAGTGAATTGTGCCTGAGTACATGAGAACGTTGGACAGCACTGCTGTAGAGTATTCCTTTGAATATAAATCCATATAAGAATTCTGTACTTTAAAAGTATTTTGCTTCAACACAACATATAACAAACATTTCTAAGGTTCAACTTATAAGGGCTAATATCATCCTTCATCAAATTTTTAGCATACCCGAATCTGATGGTATGACTATTATTCAGGCTACATGTGCAAATATATGGCAATTATTGTCAACAGAGATTAGCACAGAATAGTTTCAAAGTAAGATCTGCCCACATACTTGATGCAAAAAAAAAGTTTTGAACTGAGGTACAATGGTGACATAATGGAGAGGGTAGACAACCTTTTCCTTCAACTAAATCCTTAAAATCTCATACTTCTCTCAAGCTACATATTAAACTTTAATTTAGGCCACAGGTTTACTAACAACTGTCACTGCCTTAGACAAGGGTCTTATGTGTATTATCAACATAAAACTAAAATTTTAAATGTAAAAAATGAGGAAGCCCAAAGCACAGGCGAATATGTTGGTTTAATTTTATTTACTTTCATAACCTTACCATTGGAAGGGCAATCTGCATCCTGTCTTTCAACTACATGTAAAATGAATAATCAGGATGCTTCTATATCTGGAAAACTCAATCACACTTGTGCAGTATTATGGATTAACCTCTAGCATCTAGTTAGGCAATTTGAATGCGAAAATTAAACATATAATATTTAATCCACTGCATTCAAATATTATCCCTTATTCTGTTTATCAAAAAATTAAGAGGGCAAAACAGCTACACATCTGCAACTAGCAACAGTACAGAATAGCATAATATAACTACTACAGTCAACTCTAGCTTATCCAGGGGCGGATTAACCGGTTTGCAGCTTAACCAGGGCTACTGAGGCTTTTCTGAGGCTTATATCTTGTTTAATATTCATTCACGTTTGTTTCACATGGTGAGTTGTAACACGATTTTAGCACTAGTGTGAACCGAGCTCTGCATTCTTTGGTCATGTTATGCTAACACACTGTTCTAGGGTAGGGGTGAAAGAATGCAAGGATTTGTGGAAAGTTTCAAGAACAGATACATTGCCCCAGTTAGTTTCTTTGTATCGATCTTCAAGTGCGTTAGCAAAATGTCAGGGTGTAAAAGGAAGCGTGTTGTGTTAAGTATTCAACAGAAAAAAGGAAAATGCCGTGAAAAAGTAAATGACAATATTAAATTTTTTTAAGTGTTAAGTGTGAATATTCGTAAAAAGTGTTGGATGTTGTTGAAGACTGTGACTGAAATAACTAATTCATACTTCAGCGTAATGTAAAAAAAGTATTAAATAGGCCATGAGATGACATAAAAATGAGGTTGAATAAATTTAAATACAGGTAGGCCTATAGTATTATGAAGGTACAGTATTACAGTACTACTTTTAATAAAATCTGTCTTAACCAGGATTTCGATTAATCGTGATTTCCATCCCCACCATTATCCCAGATAATCGAGAGTTGACTGTATTTTGGAAGATACAAACAGGAGAGAACTTGCAGAAATTAAATTTCTAGGTCACATTCAGAATCACTGCCAGCAGCTCAGATGAGACTGATATAATCCTGTTTACATCTGACACTGTGCAATAATTAATAATCTGAATCACATAATTTGACAGTCACAAAAACAGGGCAAAAAAATTAGGGTGCATATCAACTCATGAATGAAAGTCAAAGTTGAAGGCAAAACTTAATAGACATTCACACACATTACCTGACCTACCTTTTCAGTCTTTTACTGCTATTGTGTAATATACTCAGCAGTAAATAAACACATCAAGGCCATTCCTATACAGAAAGACAGCTGAATACCTGCCTGCCTATAGTGCATTCTTGTTACATGACAGACAATGGTTTACCATCAGTCCATGTTGCATGATATAATAAGTTTCATCACTAAAACATGTTTGTCCTCACATGCTGACAGCACTTCCACTGGAATGGCAGGCAAATGGATACTAGTAGATGTCTGGGCACATCGACCAATCTTGACGCTCTTTACATTCCCAGTATTTTCCCTGGTACATGTGAATTATACTCCCTGTCCAATGTTCCACTTCCTTCTTAAACCATAGTGGTTCATATGGAGGATACAGGCGACCTGTGAAACAGAATTACCATCCACATATATCTTCATAGCCTATACACTAATGAAATAATTAATTAAAGAATTAGAAAATGGGAAAACTGGGAGAGAGTACTTGTAAATATAACTAAACAACATACAAATTTCCATGGTGTAGGGCCTTCCTGGAGTAGTTGATAGGATTTCAAACCAAAATGCTGTATGCACTTCTTGTTTCATGTTACATGTCTTTCCCATATTTTTTTATGTAACCCTTCAGTGGTGACTTCAAATTGAATTTGTGTTCTCCAAAGTCCCCCCAAAGGTGTCTCCACCTTGTGGTGGTGGGACTTGCGGGACTCTGTGACCTGGAGAGCTATGCTGGCAGTAATTTAACTACCAGTAGGGTCATCCATGCTGGAAAGGTCAAAGGGTAGAGTCCAGCCTAAGAGAGGTACCCTGGTCCTATAGGCTGGAGTTGGGCATGAGGCTAACAACCTCATCCTGTAAAAAGAATTATGTTCAGAAACCTAACAACCAGCTTCAGGTCATCATGTGTGGGTCCATTCCTATTGCAGCAGGCAGTGGTTGTGGAGGAGGCCAAGGTTCATCCAGGGCTGTAGCACCGAACGGTAGGTAGGTTCTCCAAAATATGAAACACATCATCACTGAATCCAGGAAACCATGACAAACGATTCCATATGGTACTGAAATCTTCTGAGGAATGTAAGAACCACATGCAATAGCTAACACACAGGATTGAGAAACTTCAGTTATCCAGGATATACCGAGAAAGAGCATAAAGTGAATCATGGAAACATTCCAGGAATACCACTGAAGTGTTTACTCACTGTAACTACATTACAAGTAAAAACAGAGAAATCTTATCCAAATTTAGAATCAGGCCTTGAAAAATTCCACAAATAACATTCCCACTATTTTCTGATAAAAATAATAGCAAAAGAAAACAGTAAAACCTTGCATTTATATTCCTGGAATGTATGTTTTCCAGTGATTTACGTAACTCCTTCTTTCAATCTCATTAACTTTCCTACCATTTCAGTAGTTTTAGTTCCAGCACAATACATGTCATTTCATTTGAATTTCTTTGGGTTTTGCTCCTCCCCACACCCTCATTCTGATTAGCAAACTTTTCTTTCCAACAGCTGGCTACTCTGACAAGTTAGCCACCATCTTGCAAGCATCACTATTAGCTTTCAATGTATGGCAATTTTAAAATTAGCTATTATTTTTATTATTTAATCTGTTAGCAAAATCTGATATGTGCACTGCAGTGGTTTTGTTTGAATTTGCATGTCTGAAGGGTACGATAACACAAAAGGAAGGACAAACCATTTCCTTACTTCCTTGGCAAAATAACTTGGATCAGTATAAATTCTTAATACAATAGTCAAAATTGTCATGTGTTTGAATGAAGAGCAAATTAAAAGATTCAAGCAGAGCAAGATACCAGATTTCTGGAGTAAATACACTGCTCATTCTGTGCAAAAACTTTCACAGTGTTTTTGAGTTTAACTTGCATGATGCCACCTCCAAAAGTCCTCACATTTTTGGCTTCTAGGCCATAACTGACTGACTTGTGAGTTCTCCCTGAACTGTGCTAAGTAAGTCAGTCAATTGTGGCCTGGAAGCCAAGAATGTGAGGGCACTTAGAGGTAAGACAGTTGCCAGAGGGTAACAGCATGAAATAATTTCTGGGAGATATATGTTGTAAAAATGTTGATGTATTGCTTGAACAAGGCCCGTGTAAGACTCTGAGACAAGTCTAGTGCTCTCCGACAAGAGAGATGGCGCCCAACATTTATAACACCTGGATTAAAGAAGCCACCATTTGGCGGTAACTACAGGTTGACCCAGCCGCAGCAACCTCTACAGTTTATGAAAGACGTCATCAAAGGAAGAGAGCATCTAAGTAAGTGACCCCCAAGCGAGGCTACATCACTGAGTCAATCAATGAAGCCACTACAGGGAGACTTTCGATGTGCAGCTATGTCAGCCTTAACCTAAAAAGGGAGTAGGCGGCTATATCTATAATGTGGGGGAAGGGGCAATTAATTAGGATGTTATAAAGACACATATCATGGACCTTGTTACTTTTACTGAATATGAGTTGTGAATTATTTCTAGTAGAGTTACAGGTTCTAAGAGGACCTACCTTCCAATTACCATTTGGCCTCACAAATACTAATCCAAGTGTACTTTGACAGCCAGAAGCCAGATTTGTTAAACACTTGGAACATGAAGCTATCATATTGCCCATTTCATTTTCAGTAAGCATCAGAAAGAAATTTGAAGAATTTCTTGCAAAGCATGAAACAGACATGTAAACTATGAAAAATTAAGATTTCATAACAATAATGCCATCTATTAAATATCCAGACTTTAATACCTTCAGCAGCAGCTTTCTCTGCTTCTGCATCCCGTATCCTTCGAGCAGCTCGCTGTTTCTCTTCCAATCGAACTTTCTCTGCATTTGCTTCATCCCACTTCCCATCCTCCATCAATCTCTGGTCAGGACGGTTACGTGTGTCAGTTGGTGCAACTCCAGCCTCTGGCTCATTTAGCTGACATGCCAGTTCTGTGAAGTTGTAGTACCGATCTGAATGTGGCCTGTAAATCATACACAACAAAATTCAGCACAATATATTTTAATGCACTACAGTAATATGCTGTTTCAGTCACATCTGCCCAACCTATATGATAGGTGAGATTTTATAGCCTGTACATGTATTCAGAACTCCGAAGTACCTCATACAAGTTCACTTTCACAGACAACCTGGAAGTTTCTAATTTCTGTTTCCATATATAAATCTTCAAAAACATATAGCAGAAGCTTAATATTACAAGAACTTACAAAATTTGTAATAATGGCCATTGTAGCAGATATTCATATGTGAAAATGTCTGAAATACTTTATCTACAGGTCTGCCCTTTAAATTCCAATCAATACAACATGAAATCTTGGGGCACACAGTAGCATAGTTGGCTGAGGCACTATGCTACAAGCTGGAAAGTCATGGGTTCAACTCCCAATGATGTCACTGTATTTTTTAATTGACCTAATCCTTTCAGCCACACTTTGGCCCTGGGATTGACTGAGCCTCTAATAGAAATGAATACTAGAAATCTTCCTGAGGGGTAAAGGGCAGTCAGCGTGTAAGGCTGACAACCTCACTGCCATCTGTGAGCCGATTATCTAGAAAATGTGGGAGCCTCAATCTCTCACAACCCTACAGGCCTCCACAGCCTGCTATAGGGATAGCTTTACCTTTTACCTTTTTACAATATGAAACCAAGGTTTAAATAAGAATTCAGATATGGCAACATATCTTGTTATATGAAGTGATTATCAAGGGGGATATAAGAACAACAAAGAACAATTTAGTGTTCTTATCATTGGTAGCAAAAGATTACTATCTTGGTCTCAAATGACAGCAAAGCTGTAAACACTTACAGAGGGCTATTCCGTTTCCATACAGTTCTGTCTGGGCCTTTCGTGTATACAGGATTGTTTGGGCTGGCGTGTTCTGTGCTAATGACTGGTGCTATGTCTATTTTGTTATCCCACATCCCAGAGATAATCCACCTGACATTGCCATCACTGTCCATCACCCAGCCATTCACCTGAAACATAAAAGCATGAGCTAAAACTTTCACTTCCAGAAATACTGGTACTGGCCTACTTGCCAGCCTAGCTGTCTTTTGCAGGACGAAAAACTATGTGCTGTATGCTCATTCAGAGAAGAGTTATTTTGACATGGCATGTTACTAACAGATTCTGATCAGATATGGCAGTCTGGACAAAGCACCCCTGAATGACCAACCTTGAATATGGGAGCACAAGGGATACGAATGACACATGGCATCTATCAATACAAGCCAAGTACTTGATACAAACACACCTGCTACAAGCTGGTTAGTATGCTAAGAGACAGAACATTCTTCACCGAATTCTGTGACGTAATACTACAGTACTTACAACTGCCAAAATTATGATCATAACGCTGCAACTACAGCATAAGAATGAGCATGTCTTAACTTCCTTACAAGAGACAGAAAAAACTGGAACAATCAGTTTCTTAATGTTACATGTATGGAAAAATTTCACATAAAACAAGGGGGTGTTTTCCGCTCTTTCATCGTGAGAAGAAATTCTTAGCCAGCTGCATCAACTGCAATCGCAGGTTTTCTTTGCAAGACAGCTGGTGGTGTGTGAAGGTACCATTTAACCGTACATTGTGCCTCTCCCTTTCTTTTAATCTTTTTTCACTTGTTACCTCTTACCTTGATTACAGCTGATATCAAGGCTGCCCAAACTCACTTCACACATTCACTGCAATTTGGGCCACATGAATCACAGATTGTAGACAAAAATGGTAATGATGATTAGGACTGCAGAGTATGGGAATATGAATTGATTCAATGTGCTGGGATAGCTTAATGGCATTAGATTCCACATGAGATAAGAGTTTATGTACAGGAATACATGATCTGGTATATTGGAAAATGGACTGGGTACCTGAACCTGCTAATGATAACTGAATCAGTCCATTTTCAGGGTGCAACAATGAATGTAATTCTGAATATATCAGCCACTTAGTACCAATCAAATAATAAAAAGTAAATACAAAATACTGCACTGAAAGTCAGAACACAAAAAGCTGAATAACGAATTTAGTAAATTTTATTATTTTACACTTGTCAATATTGTAACTTATTCTTTTAAACTAAATGAATGTATCTTGGGCCTCATTAAATTTTATCTGTAAATATGTGATAGGCCGTGCCGTAGCTCAAGCGGTTAGTCACTGGCTTCCCACTGCGGCAGCCCGGGTTCGATCCTGGGTCTGGTCAAGTGGGATTTGTGGTGGACAAAGTGGCACTGGGGCAGGTTTATTTTATGATTATTATTATTATTTATTGGAGGGGGTGGGTTTCCCCATGCACGGCGACCAGTTTGATCTAGGTGCGTCCAATCAGTCCCAACTCAGCCAGCGAGTTCGGCCTCTACTGGCTCAGCGGTATCTAGATGCTTCCCCCATCTACGAGGCGTTAGAGACTATTGTTGAGCGGGAAATGTCCTTACAAATTTGGCTCAGAGGTCTCTTTGAGACATAAGGTTCTTTTACGTGCTGTAAAGCTATGACATGGGACCCACGGCTTAAAATCCCTCCCAAAGGACTTGTTCCTTGAATTTTTCCGCCCTTAAAAATTCCACGACCTCCGCCGGATTTGAACCCGTGTACCTTGAGTCATGAGGTGGGAACGTTACCCCTAGACTACAGAGGCCGCTTGGGGCAGGTTTTCTCAGAGTACTTTGGTTTCCTCTGCCAATCTTCATTCCATCAATTGCTCCACAATAACCTTCACCTATCATCTGGGGCTGGTACAATAGGCCAGAAGTGGCCGCAGTACAAGGGACTTACACCACTAGTAATAAAAAAAAGAATATGTAATAAAGTCTAAGAATAAGCACACAGATTACAGTCAGACCTAACTAATCTGGGCCGGTCATGGTAGCCGAGCGGTCTAAGGCATGCACTGTCTTCGCTCGCTCGGAAGCCGGGATCATGGGTTCGAATCCCACTCAGGGCATGGATGTTTGTGTGCGTTTTTCTGTGTTTGTCTACAGGTAGAGGCCTTGCGACGAGCTGATCACTTGCCCAAGGAGTCTTACCATATGTGTAAGATCTAGTAAACTGAAGTGAAACGGAGTGTCTCATGGAGGTAGGCCTAGGCCCAAATTGGGGCTGTAACGCCACAGGGGGAGAAAAAAAAAACTAATCTGGAGCAAAGCCTTGTCCAAATTAGTAAAGTCTGAATTACAGAAGTGCTGCTAAAAATATGCTTAGGGACTTTGGGTGTATTTTTAAATCTCTTTTAAAATGGTCTTGATGTTTGACATGAGCCTATATGTCTCTACTGTCACCTAGGCTTGCACTACAAACGACAGTTTGTGATTGCTGATCGTAGCAATGTGATCATCAAGGTCATAATGCACAAAAAAGAAGTTGCTCAAATTATCGCGAATTCCAAATTAGTGAGGTTTCTCATCCAGGTCCAAGGTGTGGCTCTCCACACGGGCACTTGTGTCATAAATACAAATCAAATTTACAAAATTCTTCTCTATAACAGGCTGACTATGGATTCTTAAAACTGAAGGCCAAGGAAACCCCCGTACCATATTCTACAAGATAACCACTTCTAACAACTGCTGTTCATACAGCATAACAATTCTGGCGTATTTGCTACGTTACTATCTGTAGACACAATAATATCCATTTAGTTATCTTGAAAACTATATGACTTCTGCAAAAAGTGTACTGAGCACAAAATGTGTATTTCATATTTATCTACAAATTTTATCTGAAATCATTTTTATTCTAATATATATTTAGCAGGTTAAGTGTGAGGTATGTGCAGAATCACATTTTAGTGTTCATGTAAAGTGTTCCTCACTGATGTCAGAATTTAATCAAAACTGAAATATGGTGGTAAATTTTACTATATCTCAAAAATACCAAATTTCACAAAATTCTTGTTTAGTAGATCTTGATTTGCTACATGCAGTCAGATGGGCAGGCAAACATGGCGAAACTAATACATTCTTTCAGCCTGTCACTGTGAATGTGTATATAACTTCTGTCAAACAGAAATATATCTAATTAGAACTTATGCTACAATATATGTCTGAGATACACTGGCATTTCAATGATTCTTATATGTTATACGTGCTTGTTATAATGAGAACTTATGAATATTAAAAATTACCTTTATATCAAGGTTGCACTGAACATGACAAAATGTGTATAAGAACAGAAATAATATTTTGGATTATCATTTTTTTATTTTCACGCTCCCCTTCCCCTTCAATTAGATTAAATAACTGAAAGTATACCGCATTTTGTAACAAACATATACTATATAAAAAACCAGTTAACAAAACATAGATGAAAGATGGGCCAAGAAAGGAATGATGTTCACCGAACCTTCATGCATTTCCTGAAAAATCTTATTCTGTATTAGCAATACAGTGGCTACTTGATTGAAATAATCCAAAATCATCACTTCAGACTTGCGGTTCCAACCAATTTCTCACCTTGCGCTGTACATCTCGTGTGAAATAGCTGTATGGGATATACTTGAGGTGACATTTCACTCCATCTTTGTGGTTCACAATGTCCATGTCTCCATGCTGGTCTACCCATAATTTACCAACAATAATGTTATGGACTGTGGTCGTAACTTTGCGCCATGTATAGTGATCACCTGTAGAAGAGATAATTAATATCAACTTCAAGAACCACATTTACTTGGTTACAACACTTCCCTTACATTTTGGTGTCTGCATCCTTCAGTCTTCACCCAAGCACGTAAATTCTTCCTGCCACCATAAAATAACTGTCCCTGTATCTAAGCACCACAACATGATGATATACAGAACTGGATGTTAAGCCACACATTCTTCCTTGTCACCAGATGGATGATGATGGTCAATTTCATGCTTCAGTGACATATATACAGCAGTGAAAGCCTCGCTTAAGGTTTCTCTGCAGAGCAGTGGATTTGGACACTAAACTGAGGAAAATCTTAAATGGAAACTTCAATGGAGGAAACTTATGAATGAGATTACTGATTTCAGACCATTAAAATCTAATGTTAACTCAAGAATATTAAATGTGGGTTCCACTGTACTGAAGAAATGGATGCAATGGATGGCAAAACTGAGCAACATGTCTGCGTCAAGATTTACATGAAGCTCAGTAAATCTGCTACCAAAACACTTGAAATGCTTTGTGAGGCTTTTGGATAACATTCTTTAAGCTGGACAGCAGTCACTGAATGGCATTCACATTTCACGGCTGGTTGAGTGTCAGTTGAAGATGATGAATGTTCAGGGTGACCAAGCACCAGCAAAACAACAAAAAATGTTGAAAAAATTAAAGAACTCGTTCACAAGGACTGTTGCTGAACAATCCATATGCTCGCAGACACCATTGGGATCAGTTATGGAGTTTGCCAGGATATTGTAACAGAAATCTGAACAAGCACTGCAATGCTGCGAAGACTGTTCCATGATTTTTGACACATGATCACACCAGAGGTGTGTTAACGTGTGTCTTAAGCTACAAGAGAAGGCTAACAAGGGCCCAACTTTTATATCTTGGATCATAATGGTGATGAAAGTTGGATTTACGTTTATGATCCAGAATATTATATTTAAGCATCCTGTTGCACTTTATACGATACATGATATACTCCACCCTAAGTGCAAACTATATTTATACGTCTTTCGTTTTGTATAAAGGAGAACAAAACGAAAGACCTATAAATATATTTTGCACTTAGGACGGAGTTATATCATATATGATCCAGAAAGTCATTGCAGTGGAAGAACCCACAATCACCAAGAGCAAAAAGGGCATAACAGGGCCAGAGTTTGACAAAGAGCATGCTCATTGTTTTCTTCAATGTTAAGGGGATAGTTCACCTGAATTTGTTCCTCCTAACACTACGATCAACTCTGACTTTTACTGTATTGTTTTGAGATGCTTGAGAGAAAATGTGTGATGAAAAAAGCCAGAACTTTGGCACCACCAAAAATGACTCCTCCATCACAACAAGGTGCCTGCCCACTGTACATGAAAACCACTGAGTCTGTGACTAACAACAACGTGGTTACCGTTCCCCATCCTCCATACTTGCTGGACTTAACCCCCCGTGATTTTGCTTTGCTTCCCAAATTGAAAATGAAACTGAAGGGACAATGTATTGAAACAGTTTCTGACATCCAAAAGGAATCACATGTGGTACTCAACAGCATTAAGGAAAATGACTTCCATGGTGCTTTTGAAGCGTCGAAAAAATTATGGGATTACTGTATACATTCCCAGGGAGACTATTTTGAAGGAGATGGCAGGCAAATTGAGTAAGTTAAGCCAGCATTTCTCTTTTGCCCTAGTCCTGGAACTTTCTGATAGAACCTCATACACCCAGAAACACTGTATCATAGTAAATGAAATTTGGAAACTTAATCATTTTACTGCCAATAATTGTGTATATAACTATCATGCACAGAATTTTTCTGCAGATTTCTGCTATTCGGCACATAACACTTTGCAATTAACATTGCCATTATATGAGATTAGAGGATTTTACAGCAGGGAAAATTTAGATTGTAAAGTCCTAGGCTGGGATATCCTATTTTCTTTCTTCTTCTTCTTTTCTTTCTATAATGCTTCCCCCATCTATCAGAGGCCTTAGAAACTACTGTTGGGCAGGAAACATCCTGGAATTTGGCTCAGTGATCTCCTTAGGAGATATGAGGTTCTTTTACGTGCCGTAAAGTTACGACACAGGACACACAGCTTAAAGTCCCTCCCAGAGGACTTGTTCCCTGAATTTTTCCGCCCTTAAAAATTCGACAACCTCCGCCGGGTATTTGAACCCGCCTACCACGAGTCATGAGGTGGGAACATTACCTCTAGACTACGAAGGCCGCTCAGTTACAGCTTAGATTCTGCCTGATTATAAATAAGTTCTCCAGGACCATCTCCATTAATAAGAAATATAACAGTGTACATTATATCAACATGTAAACTTACCAGAAGAAAATTCAAGATGTGCCATACCCAGTGGTATGACTTGGAGGTATTTTCCACGGAACTTAGAGGCCATGGTGAATTCTTGCCAGCAGCGCCAATCTTGGCCTTCACAGTACTGTGCCAGCATTGGCGGATGATGAGAGACCTGAAAAGTAAAAGCCACATTTTTCATCATATGCATCATAATATTCAAGGATTAGCCTTATTAGACTGGTCAGAAGCAAATACTTGCATTAGAAATCAGTTTGTCCAGTTTTTATATGGTCCTCCTCTTCTGCCATATGGTACGAAATGATAAAATATTCTATGAAATTTGTTTCCTCCCGTTCTCGCCACATAATTAAACCATTTGATTTGTCAGTCAACTAATTCATTTCCACTGCCAAATGTGTTTTATTATTCTAACAGGTTCCAATGTGGTCAGTTCTCCTACACTTTCCGATAGCTCTTAAGTACATTTCTGTTGCTTCAAAGCATATCTTATGTTGTCTAACATCCTAATATATATAAGAAAGTGGGTAGTCATTATTTCATAAAACTTTAAATGCAGGCAATCTGTGTTTGCCATGTGAGGTTCATAAACAGTGAAGGGTAAAGAAAAACAGTCATGGCCTAATCATCTGGAAGAAAACATATAAAAAAAAAAGTCAAAATAACTGTGCCTAGGCATAATTTGAACTGGACACTTCCTAAACACATCATACATGCATTACTGCTTCAACCAGCAATCCCAGGTAGTCTCGCATTGTGTGTTGCCATAAAATGCACATTTCTGTGATTTGTGAATTTATAGACAGAATGGATATATATGGACAAATACCGTCTTAAGTGCAACAATTTTATTGTAGTTTTTACTTCTTTTTCCTCCTCCACACTACATGTTTCGGCCCTAAATGGCCATCATCAGGTGTGTATCACTCACGCAACTGTTACACTGCTTGTTAAAAATTTAAAAACACCAGTCTTTCCAATGGTATAAAATCTTTGTCAATCTACACGCGTCAATTTGATCTTTAAATTAGCACTTTTTAAACCCCAATTCAAGTTAAAATGTCTATAAGATCTTTGTTCTCTTTCTTTTTCAAATTTTTCAATTAAAGTTTTTCAGGGTACATGCCCTATATCTACGGTGCTGCAGCGGCCACTTCTTGTTTTTATCGCCGTTCATGTGTTGTTCAGTGTAGGCGCTCTCTGTGTGTGTCGCTGCTTATCTTTAATACGTGTGCTCACCTGATGATGGCCATTTAGGGCCGAAACATGTAGTGTGGAGGAGGAAAAAGAAGTAAAAACTACAATAAAATTGTTGCACTTAAGACGGTATTTGTCCATATATATTGTGTGAGTGTAACAGGATGCTGAAATATAATATTGTATAGACAGAATGGAACTAGTCATTACTTAATTTTGATTAAACCAGCATTCACCTGGAGGGACGGAGGTAAATCAAAACAATCTCAGTCAGGATATCTGGCTCTGGAAAGCATATGAACTTTATATTTACACACATTAGATGTGTTACTGCTGACATTAAATCTCTTTGTGTGGCAAATGGCCTGCAATCTCACAACATACGTTGCTATACAAAACATTTACTTCCGAGATCTGATTAACTAATCAGACATATATACCTGTTCAGATATAGCACGCCAGCCACGATCATCCATTCGATCACACTCGTATGTTTCCCCTAATAATGGATTAAATGGTTTGCCAGTGCGGTTACAGGTTGTGGCATAACTGGACACAGTGAATGCAGCAACATATGCCATTTGCTCACATGAGTCAGTGCAACGAGACGCCTCATCCAGAATGTCTGCATATTCATAGTCTTCTGTGAGACGTTGCAACATGGACAAAGGTTCTGAGAAATTCACCTGTAAAAGAATTCAGTAACAGCAATACTGCAAACAGTTCTTATCAACAGATTTCATTTATTACATTGAGCTGTTAAGTCGCTGAAACTAGTGCCATTTAAGTGCCCTTTTCTTCTCCACTGCAGGGATGAAAGGGTCACAGAAAAAAAATCAATTGTGGCATATAAATTGTGAAAATTTTACATATGTAAAGAAAATGTTGCACCAACATGCAGAAAATGAAGACACTCAAGTTTAAATTATATAGCAATATTGATGATATAAATACTACAAATTCAACTCTGTATATCATTCAATTGCATTGCAAAACTATTATTAGAACAGTACAGGACCTCTTTTTGATCAAATTTTTTCAATATGAGAACACTTGGGGGAAGGGCAGCATCCACTGACAGAGCAACTGACAGACAGACAGAGAGAAAGAGAATACACAAACCGAAGCATAGTACTAAATGCACTGCCTGACTCTTGTTGGCACTACTTCATACTGGTATTATGCATCGACCTCTACTGTCGAAATATAAAATTACAAGCTCTGGGCTGTAGAACATGAAACATAAACCAATACTGCAGATCTTTTTACACACTTACTTCTATCTTTATTGCAACTTTACAATTACTCCTTAACTTAAAAATAATATTAAAATTACAATTAAACTGCTATATGTTTTGGCCACACTTGGCCATCCTCAAACAACTGTTCACTTGTTGAAATTGCTACACTGCATTATTTCTTATAGTAATACATTCGAATGTTACTCCAATTTTGTCTCTCACTCCTTAAAATACTGTGACGTATTGCGCTATGGAGGACATCCCCTCCCCCTCCAGCAGTGACATAACAACATCAAGTGCTGTCACTGCTAGGGTAACAGGCCAGTCAACACTCCACCCCCTCCCCCGCGGTGATGTAGCTGGGGGAAACCATGGTTGCTATGCAGCAATGAACAACTCTCAGCAGCGCTGCCCAGCAACACCTGTAAACACGGCAACTAGGCAACAAGGAAGCGAGGCATTTTCCCGTTGTCTGGCTGAGGGTTCATAAGAGAACTGCACCGCCTAAGGACTCGGTTAAAATATAGCAGCTGCTGAAGACAGTTGAAATATAGCAGCAGTCGCGCAAAGAAGACCCGAACGCGTGGTTAGAAGATCTTATGTGATAGTGTGTGTTAACTGAGAAGTCAGCAAGTGAAGACTTATTGTGTGACTTGAAGATTGTGTGCTGTAGTACAGTTATATTGGGAGCATGTAATATTTGTATACTGACTTTATATAGAGCCCCATCTGGAAACTTCGATCACTTTATAAATAGATTAAAAACCATCCTAAATGTACTGCATAGTTCAAAAGTTGAATTTATAATTTGTGGTGATATAAATATAAACTATCTCATCGACAGTAATAGGAAACTAAATTTAGACTCTTTGTTATCATCTTACAATCTCTCCAGTACTGTTAACTTTCCCACAAGAGTTCAAAATAATTCTAGTTCAGCGATAGATAATATATTCATTGATAACTCAAAATTAAGAGACTATACTGTAGGACCCTTTATAAATGGCTTATCCGATCATGATGCTCAACTCATAGAAATAAATAATATTGACCTTCAGCCCAGTAATCAACAATATCAAACAGTAAGGAAAATCAACAAGCATACGATGGCAGATTTTGTCACAAAATTAAGTAATGAATCATGGGACAATGTATTTGACAGCAATAATATTGATTCTAAATTTAATTGCTTTCTGAACACATACTTGAGGATCTTTTATTCAAGCTTTCCCTTAAAAATAGTCAAAAATGAAAATAAAAACAAATCCACCTGGATAACAATTGGAATAAAAACTTCATGTAAACACAAAAGACAACTATATTTGGCCAGTAGGGACAGTAATGATCCAAGACTAAAAAGTCACTACAAAATGTACTGTAAAATTTTGTCAAAAGTCATTAAAGAAGCCAAACAGAATAACTATAACAGCCAAATTCTAAAATCAAACAATAAAATTAAAACCACCTGGGATATTGTGAAAGTTGAATCAGGAAAGAAATCTGTTAATGAAGACGTACAAAGTTTGAATATTGAAGGGAAGTCCACTAACAATCCACAAGCTATCGCAAGTGCATTTAATGAATATTTCCTTTCATTAGCTGAGAAAACATATTCCAATAATAATAATAATAATAATAATAATAATAATAATAATCCAATATACTATCTGTCTCGTGCCTTTAACAATTCATTTCCAAATATCAATCTCAAATTCTCAACAAGGAAGGAAATTGAAAACATTATTAAATCCCTTAAGCCCAAAAATTCACATGGATATGATGAAATCTCTACCAAATTACTTAAAGCAAGCTCTGTTTACATCAGTTCACCCTTGAATCATCTATGTAATAAATCTTTATCATCAGGTACTTTTCCTCAACGCTTAAAATACGCTGTAATGAAACCACTTTTTAAAAAAGGAGAGAGAAAATGCATCTCTAATTACAGACCAATATCCATATTGACTTCATTCTCAAAAGTCTTTGAAAAAGTTATGTATAATAGACTACTTGAACACTTAAATTCTAACAACATATTAGTCAAAGAGCAATTTGGATTTAGGAAAGACCTAACAACAGAAAAAGCAACCTATGAACTAACTAACGATATTTTAAGTGCTCTCAATGACAGATTAATTGTGGGAGGGATTTTCTGTGATCTAGCAAAAGCTTTCGATTGTGTTAATCATGATATCTTACTATCGAAATTAAATTTCTATGGAATAACTGGCAAAGCTAATGAATGGATCAAATCATACCTCAAAAACAGGTATCAAAGAGTTGAAATAAATAATAAAAACTCCAGTCATAATGCATTTTCAAACTGGGGAATTATAAAGCACGGTGTTCCACAAGGATCAATTTTAGGTCCCTTACTTTTTCTTCTCTACATAAATGATCTATCTAAAACCATCAACAATAAATCTAAACCAATTCTATATGCAGATGACACTAGTATAATATTTAAGAACTCTAAATTTGAAAACTTTAAAAATGACATAAATATTGTATTTGAAGCCTTAAACAGATGGTTCGAAGCCAATTTACTCTCATTAAATTTTGATAAAACCCATTACATATCATTCACAACTAAAAACAACCACCAAATTGATCTGGACATCAGTTATGCCAACAAATTAATCTGTAAAGTACTTGATACAAAATTCCTTGGAATACATGTAGACAGTACACTGTCTTGGAAAATACATATTGAACAAATTATACCTAAATTAAATGCAGCTTGCTATGCGATGAGATCAATTAAGCCTTTTATGTCACAGGAAACATTGAAGATGGTTTACCATGCCTACTTTCATTCTATTATGAACTATGGATTAATATTTTGGGGGAACTCTTCACATAGTGTAATAATTTTTAAAATACAAAAGAATATAATTAGAATCATTACAGGATGTAGAAGTAGAGATTCATGTAGAGAATTATTTAAGAAATTAAAAATTCTACCTCTTCAATCGCAATACATATTATCGCTTCTCTTATTTGTTGTTTACAACAAAGATAAATTCAAATTAAATTCTGATGTCTATAACATGAATACTAGACAAAAATATAACTTCCACCTACCCTCATCAACTTTATCAGTATATCAAAAAGGAGTCTACTTTACTGGCATAAAAGTGTTCAACAATCTGCCACAAAGTATTAAAAACTTGGGCAATGATACTAAAAAGTTTAAATCAGAGTTAAAGAATTATCTACATGCTCATTCCTTCTACTCTTTAGATGAATACTTCAATGTAAATAGAGAATGATGTAAAATTAAGTTATATTAATTTTTAAGCTAAAATTGCCTGTACTTATGTATGTAACCTTTTGACTTGTTCTGTATCCAAAGGTACTAACCTACTTAGGATTTATAGAATGTAAATAAATTCAATTCAATTCAATTCAGTTCAAAGAGAGACTTGTATAGCTACAGTTAAAAATACGTGAAGACTATGAAGAGATTATTGAGTAGGGTTGTAAAGTGTGTAAACCGGTAACAGTGTCATAAGTATTTGTAGCTACGACTTGTAGGTTGTTAAATAAACCAATTAACAATCTGAACGGTGTCTTCAGTAGCAAAACATGTTACAATACATTTGCTTATGAACATCACTCTTTATCTTTACTTGTGCTACCTTCGTCTTGCAGCGTCCATGCTTTTTGTTTAGCCCTATGAATATGGTATGGTGTTATTATTGTTGTCATTTTTATGTGCCTCATTAGTATTGTCAGGGCCACGTGGTAGCGTAGTTGGTTGAAGCACTATGCTACAATGAGTTCATTAGATTTTTTTCAATTTACGCAATCCTTCCAGCTGCATTATGGCTCTGGGGTTGACTGAGCCTCTAACAGAAATGAGTACCAGGAATCTTCCTGGTGGGTAGGGCTGACAACCTTACCGCCACCTTTGAGCTGAATGTCTAGATAATGTGGGACCCTCACTGTCTCACAACCCTATGGGCCTCCATGGCCCCTTACAGAGATAGCTTTACATTTGTATTGTCATGTTTTTGGGGTGTGTGACTACAGATGGGGTCTGGATTGTATACACCACTCGGAACTACACCAGGACCCCAGAGCTGGTCTAGATGATGTGGAGAAGAGAAAATTCTTGACCCTACCAGGACTCAAACTCCAACCTCTTGGTCATCCGGCCCATAGCTAGTCGCGATACTGACTGGCTACTCCACGAGTATTCATTAGCTTAGTAGAGTCACGCACGCATGCACGCACGCGCACACACACACACACACACACACACAGACACCCACCCACCCCCGCATGAACACAAAATATCTTATGGCTGCTGGATTTATAAAGGATGCATGTACATACGGGCATAGGAATCTTGGACAGTTCTTTCCCAATACAATTCTTCATGATGCTCCATAAATTGAGTGGATAGTTGGGTTTGTCAGGGACGCGCGTACGTCGTGACCTCTTCGTATCTGATGCAGATACTGAAGAAGAATGGGAGCTACCAGTTGTCCTCTGCTGTCCATTACTCTCCTGTCTTGACAGTGCCAATGAATTCGATTTTGACTGTAAGAAACATGGTATGATATTGTGACATGCTGCTTAAAAGCCAGACTATGGAGCATATTTCAGCATTCGTTGCTGGTCAAAGAATAACATTTCCTGGACAGCAGAATGGAATGCAGCATTGGAATTCTAACAGTGAGTTTCCACAGTTACAGTGAATTGCTCGAAGCATTGTATGACAACGGGAAAACTAAACTTAGAAGCAGAGTATAGCAGGCATATGTACAAAACAGATGTTAAACAGTGCGTATGGAGACAAAATTTAGTTCAGTGCTGGGTGTGAAAGTGATAAGAAAACAGTGCAGTGGCATACAATGAGGTACTGGTGGACAAGAGAGTGGCTATCAAATGTGGCTCTTCCAATGTTATAATATGTAAAGACATATCTAAAAAAAAGACATATATGCTCCAACCACATACATATACAAAAACTCAAATGAATGCAGTTAAGAGAGAAAAGGGGGTTTAAAATTTCTGTATCAATGTTAGGTTTTCAATTTGGTCCCGCATCTAAAGTGGCTGTTCATTAAACTTGCTGTAAAATCAGCAGTTTGCATGTATGGCAGGTTAACAAAACACAGCATGTACACTTCTATTTTGAAGCAAGAGTTTCTTAAATAGGTTCAGCTGCACACTTTCAGAAAGGAACTGGAAAACCTCCAGGGAAAAACAAATCAGTCTCACTTACATTGGATTTACCACATGCAGGTGCAGGATCACCCGAACTAATAATCAGAACCTTGGTTTCTGTTGTGTCATCCACATCACTGCTTGAACCTGATGCCTCGTCATGTCCATCATGCATTTGTAGTCTTGGATCACAAGACTGGAAAGGAATATTCAAACAGTATACACATACTGTCATATGTAGGGGTGACAATGAGACAGGGTTTGGATTGGATTTATTACACTTACTCAACTTGCAATTACAAGTAATACAGTGCTACTGCTAATCTCTGCGCTTTATTCGCTGCTGCAAATACTATTGTCCTCAGTCTAATACAGTCTCCAATATCCATTTTCTGGTAAAGGTTTTTATCACAGGAATTACATTCACTGAGTTACACACTCCAAATATCATGGAACTATACTCTGTGGCTTTAATCCACAAGGAAACTATATTGACCAAGCAACCGCTGCTTGTCAGCGAAGGTGGTGCCAAATTTAGCAGACAGAGGGTGTCACATGGTCAGTGTATAGAATCCCCATGGCTGTTAATTTCAGTTTCCTAAACTGGAGTCACTCCTCAATTATCCTCACGAGGCTGAGGGGACCCCATTCCAGAAACACGCCAGGAATCGAAGCCGGGGCCTTTGGATCTGTACCCAGAAGCTCTGACCACTAGACCACAGAGGCGGTCTCTAGCACACATATAAAGTCTTCTCTTCACAGCCAGACTTTCAACTCCACTGAACTGACGACTCAATACCTCAATTCAGCTCCTCTGCTCCCAAGCTCACATCCTAGCATGCTAGTTACCATCTCTTCTCAATCATCCTCGATTGCCATCGCAAAAGACTCCCTCAATTCTGATCTGAGATCCCTGTTATAGAGCCTCAGGTCAGATCCAAAAGAAAACTCCATTTCCTAACAATTCCTCCACTGTTATAGAGGTGTGTTTACCTCATCGTTGCATACATATGGTAGTTCTATTGTTCTGTGCATGTTCATTTCTGCAGGAAGCTGTTTATTGAGTCATTGCCTAGCAATGAATGTCTACTCTGGCTGTGCTATTCTGGCTTTCAGGCATCATGTCACAATATTAAAGGAGATTTACCTAATGTCATGTTCTACACGATAAGACGGAATTCAGTATCTATAAAAAGAACTTCTAAAGTCAAGTTTCTTAGTGCATTATTTACAGTGATTTTCAGGAGACTGACATATCTTATGGACAACCTCACGACAGCAAGGTTTAAGATCTTACTTCATAATGCAAAAATAGTACACGTCTTAACTTCATCACATTGAAAACAAATACAAAAAACTCATAATAGTGCTGTGCTTAAGACCATACTTAAATGAAATTATTGGGGACCATCAATGTGTGTTTCGATTAACAGATCAACTACTGATAAGATCTTTTGTATTCATCAGATATTGGAGAAAAAAATGAAAGTACAAGGAGAGAGTACATCAGCTATTCGTAGACTTCAAGAAAGCCTATGATTCAGTTATGAGGGAAGTATTGTACAATATTCTCATAGAGTTTGGGGTACCCATGAAACTAGTCAGGCTGATTGAAATGTGTTCAAACGAAACGTATAGTAAAGTCCATATAGGTAAACATTAGTCTGATAATTTTCCTGTACAGAATGGTCTAAAACAATGAGATGCTTTATCGCCACTGCTTTATGAACTTTGCTTTAGAAGGTGACATTAGGAAGGTCCAGCGGTTCCTTGAAAAAGTATAAGCCAATTCAGCTATCACCACCATCTTGGTTCTAGGGTTCCACTGAATCCTGTATATGTCATTTATCCAGGTGACTACCTTGTATGGGCCCTCCCATGAGGATTGGAGCTTGGGCGATTTCCCCTCATGCAAGTTGGGCAATAGAGCCACACTTTGTTGATCTCCTGGTGGTCCACAGTGTTGGCCAGGTGGTTGTACTGAGTTTTCATCTGGTCACTGGCCAGGTTCAGGTGTAGGCAGACATAATTATGGATATCATATAGATGGTCCACAAAATTTTCCATGTGATTGATTGTGGGTGGTTCCTAGTTGGGGGGGGGGTCCCCAAACAGCAGGTCTCAGAGCAGTTGGAATTCTCCTCTGACCACTAAGTTGACTAGTGTCAAACCCATCCTGTTGTGGGTGGATGCCCTGTAGGCAAGGAGGAAGATGGATAATCTCACAACCCAATCCCTCTGGTGTAACGCGATGACCTTAAGCAGACACTCTTTGACTGTTTTGATGTACTGTTCCACCATGCTGTTAAAAGGTGGGTGGAGAGGTATGGTGTGTCTCTTGTTTGCTCCTAGGCATTGCAAAACCTCCTACATAGACGGGACTCAAAGTTACAGTCCTGATCACTAAATAGCTCCCGCAGTACTCAGAAGTGGCAGAAGAAGTTGGTAACCAGCACTGCTGCCACTGCTGAAGCCTCTCAATTGGGAATGGTGTAGGCTTCTGTCTACTTAGTAAAATAGTCCATAGCGATCAGGAGGTATCGGTTTCCTTGGTCACTCCAAGAGAAGGGCCTTGCTACATCAATGGTTATCCTTTCAAACAGTGCCCTGACATTGTACTGATGCATTCGGCCCTGATTCATGGTTCTGGGCCATGACTGGCTACACACGTGTCACACAACCGGCACCACTTCTCAACATCATCTACTGCCTGCAGCCACACCTTATCATTGACACCCAAGTGACCTCCTGGAGGTCCGCCATGTAGTTTGGTCAGCATATTGTTCACTCTGCTCTGAGGGAGAAATATCAGGGCTATTTTTGATGGTCCATCAGTGAATTCCCATTGGCACTCTAGTATGCCGCTCCTCACAGCAAGGGATTTCCACTGGGTCCAGTAGCTTCCGTACATGGGGCTGCAGTCTGTGATGTCTTTCCATTCAGAGTGCTGTCTGCTCTCTACTCCCTCCAGAATGGGCCCCATGTCCTGGTCGTTCAGTTGTTCCCTTCTTAAATTGGCTGGGTCCCAGCTGGCTGCGGGTATGGCTTCAACAGCTCATACCTGCTTTATGTCTGCCAGAACCTAGACTTTGTTTATAGTTATAGTTGTAAGATCCTCTTAATAAAGTATGAACTCAACCATCACTTTGTACCTGTAACAGTAAAATCTAATCTAACTTGTGATTCCAAGCTTACTCCAGAGGAAGTTCTCCTGTGTCCCAAAGGAATCTTGAGTATGAAGTTTGCTTCTGTATTCTGACTACAGGCTTCGTCTTGTGCATCATAGAACTCGTTCTCATCATCGTCATCTGAAGGAGATGAGTGAGATACATCTGAAACAACAGATTTACTCAGACTGATTCTACAAGGGGCGTTCAAGTTCTAAGGTCTCTGATTTCTTTTCTCAGGACTGGGAGCAGATAGACACATGCGGTTTCATTTAAAATATGTGTGCACTCTTTGTGAATGCGTGACAGAGATGGCAGCACTGTACGGCACACAGAACTCTAGTGGTGGCTTATTTCAAGGTATAAGTAACACAAAACTGAACAGAACTTTGAGTGGCTGGGTTCATGTGCCATCATAAACAAAATCCAGGCAGTCATTTGCGAGAAAATATGAAGTCAACGGAATGATTGCCTTACATCACTGACCACTACATAAGGGGCTCATGAATGCCAGCTACACTGGCCCAGAATATGCCTGGAGGAAGTGAGGGAAACCAACAACAAAAAACACAGTCATAACAGTCAGTATCCTAGCCAAGATTCAAACCAGGTACCTCCCAAAAGCAAAAGCTGCTACAGCATCACTGAATTTGCTTAATTTTCTATTGTGACAATTACCATTAAATTAGAACTGAATTAATTAAAAATAAATATTAATTTCACTGAGATACCATTTCATACTACACTTTAACATTTCTAATTCAGCACTAGGAAGGCAAGAGGTCTATGCTGGGACTTGAGCACAAACACATCACAAGGTTCAGGCAAGAGGTACGCAGAGAAATCAATGGTGGGAGGAGCAAAATATTACACTTCACCATCCTGCTGCATTGAAGTCTCACTTGTTTTCTTCTTCTGTCTATAATGTAACGATATCAATACGGATTTAGATGATGTAATCCACATTTAATTCACTAAAATGAGAGTTAAAATGTTTAAAAATTTCATTAATATACACATACACACACACACATATACAGAGTGTCCCAGGAGGAATGGACCAAACTTCGGGAGGGTGTTCCTTATGTTAAAGTATGCCGATATAACCCAAAACACCTATGTCCAAAGTTGAACGGTTACGGAGATAATGGCCAGAGAAGTGTCAAACTTTGACCGGCGTTGCACACTTGTTGATTACAAAAGACATATTAAAACTGGCAGGAATATGTGGATTCTGTAATGTTAATAATGTACGTAACATCAAACTAACTTGTGAGTGACATGAAGCCATAAAATTGAAGTACAAAATACTCGCTCGCCATGTCATAATTGTCCTTAGGGTTTCCAAGCACAATACATGACACATGAATGGCAAGCGCTGACATAACGTGCTGACTGCACGTTCTGGTATAAGCCAACTACATAAGCACAGCTAAGGTGAATCATCGCACTCAAGGACAAACATAGATAAGGCCTCTCAGCTTAGAGGTACAGCGCGTGGACCTGCCAGAAGACCGCACTTTTCTTGGGCCATTATCTCCGTAACCGTTCAACTTTGGACATAGGTGTTTTATGTTATATCGGCATACTTTAACATAAGGAACACCCTCCTGAAGTTTGGTCCATTCCTCCTGGGACACCCTGTATATATACATATATACTTCTATGTTTATGCGCTACACAGGTCCATCTTCAGGCAACACATTTTTAAGGAATCCACTGCTCTGTGCAGTTTGTCAATTAACTATTAACTCCATGGCCTGTAGTCTGCAAGCGAACTATACTGACTGAGTGACCACCGCTTGTCGACGAAGTTAGTGCCACCTTTTGCGGATAGAGGGTGTCACATGGTCAGCGCAATGGATTCCCACAGCCCTTAATCGCGGCTTTCTAGACTTTGTCAATAGTACTCTTATAGTACATAGAATGTATATATACTTTAATGACATTTTAAAACATTTTAATGCACATTTTAGGGAATTAAATGTGGACTGGTGTCATTTAAATCTATACTGATATTGTTGCGGGGGCACACAGTAGTGTCGTTGGTTGAGGGGCTATGCTACAAGCCGGAAGGTTGCGGGTTCAAGTCCCAATGAGGTCATTGGATTTTTTCAGTTGACCTAATCCTTCCAGCCGCACTAAGCCCTGGGGTTTATTCAGCCTCTAACAGAAATGAGTAATAGGAATTAACTATATAATTTTCCTGGGAAGTAAAGTGCGGCCAGCGCGTAAGGCTGACAACCTTACCGCCATCTTTGAGCCGATTGTCTAGATAATGTGGGACCCTAAATGACTCACAACCCTATGGGCCTTCTCGGCCTGGTACAGGGATAGCTTTACTTTTACTTTACTGATATTGTTGCATTATGGACGGAATAAGACTATGAGTGATTCTTGCAACAGACTAAAAAGTTCAAATGTTCAAAGAACTACAATTAGTGCCTTTTTGGAAAAGTTCAAAGAACTTTTAACACAACCATATTTAGCATGCATGTGAAGAAACAACCCGAACTGGAAACAACTGGATTAACATTACAGAAGAAACAATCCTGCCATTATTGCAGGAATTATACAAACATCAACCTCTGCAGTGCCTCTATTTTTTGCCTCTGAGAAACTACAAAAACAAACAACTTTTATGTCTGATGATTCCATAAAAGTCTCAGATTATGGCTGATACTATGAATGTAATGGTAAATGTACATTATCTGATGTGTATTCTATATAACAGTATACAATCCTTTGGGTGTTGGCTCTATTACTGTTACAGGTGATCGCCTGTTATTGTACTAAGAGATATTTCTATTTACTCTTCATTTTTTATTCATGGTAAAGAGCTGGAATCATGCCTGAAACCGATAAAATACCAGTCCCATATCCCTATGAATATTAATCTTAATAAGCATACTATTATTAAACACCTTGATGTCTTCAAGAGGTTCATTATTCAAACTGAGATGGAATTCATATTTCACGTAACTCACAATGTGCAGGATGTGGCTTCAAAGTACAATGCCTAACATGTTGCTGCAAATCAAATCATACCTACAGTTTATTCAACTGTATCAGTCATTTATAGTTAGCACTTGAAATCATGAGTACTTTGCATCCATAGACTTAACAATGTCTGAGTACAGAGTAACTTGTGTAAAGTACATTTCATGAGAGCGATAATACAGTGACAAACACTTATCAAGGGATGCAAATTGCATTCAAAGAGGCAAAAATAAGCCAGGTATGAGTTCTTGAGTGGTTACATCATTTTAAAGAGGGACAAATATATAAAAAAAAGTTGAGCATTCTGGACACTCTTCAACACACAGAAAGACTAGTAGTTAAAATGTATGATTCAGTGTGAAATGATGGCTGACTGATTCTTTGTGATATGGCTGAAGGGACAGTGAGACATTGAGGGTCCCACATTATCTAGACAATTGGCTCATAGATGGCGGTAAGGTTGTTAGCCTTACGTGTCGGCCACGCTTTACTCCCCAGGAAAATTATTTAATTAATTCGTGGTACTCATTTCTGTTAGAGGCTAAGTGAACCCGAAGGCCAAAGTGTGGCTGGAAGGGTTAGGTCACTTGGGGAAGAAGAAGAAAACCAATGACCTCATCGGGACTTGAACCCGCGACCTTCCGGCTTGTAGCATAGCCCCGCAACCAACTACGCTACCGCGTGCCCCCAACCTGAAGATGGTAGCAGACACAACTCTCTAATGCTGCATACACCAAACATACCCAAAAAAGGAACAAGGCACAAAGATGCACGTATTGCATATCTATAAAAGCCTATGTACAAATATAAATTCAGTATACAATGGTTACATGTAATGGCGAGGTGCCCCTCTATATCCCCTAGAAACATATTACTCATGCATCACAACAAAACCTTGAGATGAGAACATCTCCTTCATGCATTTTTCTGGACACAGCACCACTGTGCCCGAAATACTCACTGCGTCTATCCCGCACGGGAATAGAGTGCTCCTTGGCAGCCTGTTCCAGGCCTCCAAGCTGTCTTGCTAGCTGCTCAACCATGTCTTCTAGCTGCAAACGCTGATCCCTTTCGTGCTGTAGCATTCTTTGCCATTTTCGTCCATGTGTCTGTGCAACGTCTAGGTACTCTGAACACCTCTGCTTGGGATGGACCAATACAATATGCATGAGCGTTAAATGCATACAGCTTATAATTAATCCTTTTCACAGATGGCAGAAGCACAAACAAATCCACATATCTTAGTCAGCCATTATGTTGAACAGAGCTAAGAACTTAAAATTATTACCATTCTCTAACTGTAAAAGAAAAGAATGTGACACGCTATTTTGTGGAGGCAGACAAGAATCTGGGGCACACATTACAACTGGCAACCTATGTACCATGGTTACTAAACCAGCAAAAAAAAAAATTTTTTTTTGAAAGAGAAGTATGGGTTACAACTACAGGGTGATCAGTCATCGAGGAAACCAGGAAAGCAGTGTGAGCCAGATACAACATTTCTCACAGACTGCTGCTGTAACTGCTGATAGCAGAATGAGTCATCACTCATTACATTTACATTTTAAACGTAAAATCATAGAATACATTTTATAGATAAAACTGATTAATTATTCACTTGTTAAGTAGTAACAGAGGAGTTACAGTTTTCTGTTTAACTTAAATTTTTTAAGAACACCCTGAAGCAGTTAAGTGAAAAACTTAATGTAATAAATGACAATGAAAATTTGCAAAGCACAGCAATTCCTAAGAAAAAGAAGCCGCAATCACTGGACATGTAAAAAAATGAAAACCATATTACTTACGATACAAATAATGACATGGTTCCCTGCATTCCTGACCTTGAAATTAATCCTACTGCTGCAAAATGGACTGAAGTTGAACAAGCATCCATTACCATACAGTGTAACATTCAAATTTGGTCCAAATTAAGAAATAATCTTTTCCTTTTGCTGCTTTATTTGACTTCCTTCACTGGGCAAAGAAAATGCATTTTTGCTCCAATTTCTTATTTTTACTTTAAATTTGCATTACTTTGCTAAAATGGCGAGAAAATAATATGCAGAGAGAGTCTTAATGCAGGGTTTGGAAACTTTGTAGTCAAGCATAGATCCAATGTGTTTAACCAATTTCTAGTAACTGCAAAGTAAAACTATGCAGCTGTCATGCCAGAGCCACAAATATAATTCACATCCTGGTCTTTCAGGTTACGGTGTCATAACCCAGAAAACTGCAATATAAATCTTCACTGCCATGAAAACTAAAAATCTTACAAATGCAACAGTAAATTTAACTTTACACTGTAAGATACAGACAGTAGGATCTAAATAGTGGTATTCTGGGTTGTGACACCATGCAGTCTTGTACACGGAAAGCAGTGTTTCAAAGAAATATGCTGCCCTAATCTTCATGTTCAGGAGTGCAGGGTGAGGAACTGATTTCAGTCAATTATATATATAAGATGTAAGCACCAGTTTGTTTTATATTTAGATTTACAATTAAAACAATTTTATTTCAGGTAAAACATGTACCCAAATGCTGGCACTGTTTACCAAAGTGATTTAAACTATACATTTACTTTCTATCTGACTTCTTGTCAATGACATACTCCTCTTACTGCCCTTATCCTGTATTTTTAAATTTATTTCAGGTAAATCCATATATTTCATAAATTTGAAGAGGGGCATTATTTGTTCCACTATAGCATGTTATCTCAACAGCAATTCTTTAAGACTCAGAATTAATGGATTTTTGAACTTACCCATCATCAGGTACTCTAAAAAACATGAAAAAACACCGTTTTGGAAACTGGATCTGTTTCTGTCCTCAAGTGAGGTGGGTGATGCCTACTCGGTTCAGTCTCTCATAAAGAGATAACCTCAATCGCTGACATACAGCTATATAAATACCCAAGCCCAGGTCATGTCAAAGGGAGATAACAGGAAACTATGAAATATTGGGATAAAGTATGCACAGACCTGAAACTAAGATAGAAAGGGTGGTGAAAATTTTATGCAACAAATCTAGCCAACAAACCAAGTCCATGAAAATCAATGCTTAAAATTGGAGAATTCTGTGAAACAATTTTGTACCTATTGCCAGCTCCAACTGTGGAGTAAAAGCCGAACACTTGGGATTAAAACCTTATACAAACTCATGAAGAATCTGTCGCATCATACTAATCTTCCCTGTGAGCTGCTAACATCACTGCTGACAGGGGATCCAAATGGGAGAAATGTTCAAACTAGATTGGCTGACTGGATTGGTTAAGCATGCCATATGGGCCAGTTCCCTGTATTTCCTATAACTGCTGTAACTGTATATTTAAAAAAAAATCATAGCTTCATCCCAGCCTACCTTACGACCCTCTTCATAGGCATGTTGGGCTAATTTCTAATCTTTCTAGAAGACCCTCTTTTAGCTGTGCCTATGTTCATGGAACTGCACAGCTAGAGGTCACCCTGTCTTGCCAATGTTGCTTCTGCCACATTCAGAGGGAAAGCTATAGATGCACTGTGCCCTCTGTTGTGATCTCTTTCCAGCCTGTTTTCATAAATGAATTCTTAGGAGTGTGTTTAGCTTTGAAGATGGGGCATAAGCTACAGTGGTAAAACAAGTAGAACTCCAGCTATGTGGCTCTATGAACAGAGGCACAATCAAAAGGAAGGTCTTCTAGGTAAAAAAAGGTAAAGTTGTCCTGTGCTTAACTAATTAAGCACTATGCCATGAAGGCTTATGGCAGAGTGGATATATAAATCCACATTTTCTTGACCTTGGCACTAGCCGAAGGTGAGTTGTCAGCTTCACGCCCTTGTTGCTTTACTCCCCGGAGAAAGAGCGCCAGGTACCCATTGGATAGGAGGTTGGGAGGACCCCAGAGCTGGTCTGGACAACACAGAGAAGTGAAAATTCTTGCCTCTACCACGACTCAAACTCCTACCCCTTGATCATCCAGCTCATAAATAGTCACTATAGCGACTACGCTCACCTGGCTCTGAGTGTCTTCTAGAAAAATCAAAATTAGCCCAACATGCTTATGAAGAGGGTTAATGGGTAGCCAACCCAGTCTGGAAATTTCTCCCATCTGGAGCCCCCTTATAAGCAAAGAAGTCAGCAACTCACAGGGAAGATTAGTATGATCTGACAGTTTCTGCATGTGTTTCTATAAGATTTTAGTTCCAAGCGTTCAGTTTTCATTCCACAAATGGCATTAGCAATGGGCATAAAACGGTTTCACAACATTCTCCAATTAATCCAATGTATTGGCTTAAAGGACTCCAATGTTTCATGTCTGTGCATGCTTTATCAATTTTTACTGTATATTTTTCTTATCTCCCACTGATGAGACCTGGTCTCAGTTATATTTACACAGCTGTAGTTATACTGGCATAGGTTGTCCAGTGACTGAGGTCAGCTCTCTCTCTCTAAGGGACCCAACAGAGTTGGTATCAACCCCCTCACCCAAGGACAGAAACAGATCCAGTTTCTGAAACGTTGTGTTCTCTAATTTTTCAGAGTACCAGACGATTGACAAAGCCTAAAAACTCAGCAATTCTGAGTGTTATATGCCATTACATTCCATTGTCAGAAACCTTTAGTATCTATATTATCTTAAGGTATATTTATAATGCCTCCAATTATAAGATACTCTTCAGACAGGCTATCTGAATTTCCCTGGGCTCTTAGTTTCAAACACTTTCAAATTATAATAATTTTTTCCTTGAACCTCGGACAGTTTTCAGCTACATTACAAGATCTCTTCAATACAGGGCTAACTAACCAACGAACCAAGTGAGAAAGTAAATAACTAAGTCTGAGATGCCAAGTCCTTCTTGGGAATCTGCCAGTCACTTAGATAATCAGAATATTTTATGGAATACGAACGCTCATTACCATGTCCAAAACAACCCATCACTGTTCCTTATCTTACGCCAAATGGATCCATTCCATTGCATCTCATCCTTGATTTCTAAGATTCATTTTAATATTATCCTCCTACCTATGTCTAAGTCTTCCTAGTGGTCTCTTTTCATCTGGCTTTCTCACCAAAATTCTACACACATTCCACTTCTCCCTATGCATGCTTCATGCCCTGCCAATATCATGCTACTCAACTTTATTCCAATTATATTTGGTGAAGAGTGCAAGTTATGAAGCTCCCTCATTACGCAGTATTCTCCAACTTCAAATTACTTCAATCCTCTTCAGTCCAAATGTTCTCCTCAGCACCCTGTTCTCATATTACTGCAGTCTGTGTTCTTCCCTTAATACTTACTTACTTAACTGTAGATATTCTTTTATAAACAGTGTGCAATAGGCGTGGAGGATGAGTGGACAGGCATAAATTATTCTTTTCTTTCGGTATAGAATTTGACTAAAATCCATCCAAGGGTTCTTGAATGATGAGATGATACAGCATAAACCACCACTTTTGTTTAATTACCACAAACACCACGACACTTATGAAATAAGTGTACTCAACATAAAGTGTGTTTCAGTTCCTCCTACAACTTCCACTCAGAATGATTTTTGCTATGATATATATTTAGCGAGTTATACCTGAGATGCACATAAGTCTTCACATAAAGTGTCCATTAATATTATTTGATTTTACCCCCAAACTGGAATCTGATGACATATTTTAGTAGGACTTTTCAATATAAACTGTCATGGGAATCCATTCCGTGGTTCTCCAGCTGTTATAACAGAGAAAGTTTTGCAAATTTTTATTATGTATGCACCAAACAGGACATTCCTGGTTTCAAACTCACAAATAATGACACGGGTAAAATTATCGCTATTATGTTATTAAAAACATATGTGGAAGTGGAGGTACAGCTCCACCACTCTTCTTCACACCCCGGCTGCTTTACCTCCAGGGACAGATTCCCCAGTAACCACTGGATAGGAGGCCAGGTCAACCAGCCTGTAGCTTAGTCACTATACTGACTGAGCTATAAAAGCCCATGATTCACAAAGTGTTAAAACCAAGTGTCTAATATAAATATAATTTAGAAACGATTGGTTCAAGAATTGTGCCTCTGCAATACATACATTTCAGAACTTATTATACAATTCCTGCAGGAACACAAACACATAAAAACGCATGCAAACACACGCACGCATGCACACACACAAAAGACTTCTGCCAACAGCAATACAGATATTTCAAGCACATGACTTTAAATGGGACACATCAGCTGTTGGTCTATCCTGAGAATCTGAACCTACTGGGTGATAATACATATACCATACGGAGAAATGCACAAACTTTAAGCGACGCTAGTAAGGAGGTTGGTCTAGAAGTAAAGATATAGAAAACTAAGTGTATGTTGCTATCTCATCACCAAATTGCAGGACAAAATCATTACATAACAAATCAAAACCCAATTCAGGAGGAAATTAAGGAGAGACTGAACTTGGTAATGCTTGTTATCATTCAGTCCAAAACCTTCTGTCTTCTCCTTTGTGGCTCTGTGGGGGCATGAAACTTGGTCTCTGACATTAAGGGAGGTTGAGGGTGTCTGAGAACAGGGTGCTGAGGAGAATATTTGGACCAAAGAGAGATGAAGTAACAGGACGTTGGAGAAAACTGCATAATGAGGAGCTTCCTAATTGTACTCTTCTCCAAGTATAATTAGAATGACCAAGTCAAGAAGGTTGTGATGGGCAGGGCATATAGCACAAATGGAGCAGAAGATGAAAGCATATAGGATACTGGTGGGAAAGCCAGAAGGAATGAGACCACTGGGAAGACAAAGACATAGGTGGGTGGACAACGTTAAAATGGATCTTAGATAGGATGGGATGGTATGTATTGGATTGACCTGGCTCCAGATAGGGACCAGTGGAGGGCCCTTGTGAACACGGTAATGAACCTTCAGGTTCCATTTAATGCTGGGAAGTTCTTGAGTAGCTGCAGAGTTGGTGGCTTCTCAAGAAGGGTTCAGCTCCATGAGTGAGTGAAGCACGTGACTACTGTAAAACTCCTGAGTCTGACAGTTGGCTTGATCGAATAGTAAAATATATCTGCATTTAGAACTTTTATGATTCTATGGATCAACTCAAAATCGAATCATAAAGGAAAAAAAAAGTTCTTTGAAAAATTAGAAACATGTTCTAAATAGAAGAAAGCAGTCTTCTGGGATTTTGCACCGTGTATATGTGGTCTTATTGTCTCAGCAAGTCTTGGAAACCTCTCATCTGTTCTCTTAAAAACCCCCACTGGGATATGACACCAGATCCAGGCCACACAGGCCATGACCAACCAACATAACAACCCCAACCCCTCAGCTCACGGCTGATGCCCAGCCTTCAACTTGCCATTCTCTCCCCTACACAAAAACCCTGCTTGTCCCAGCTCCCTTCCCCTACCCCTCCCACACTACTGCTTTCACTTGTATACTTGCCCTTCCCCCTTCTCCCTCACTGCTCTCACATAGCTGGGTATTTTTCCAGTCTGCTTTTACCGGTTCTCACGGTCTCTTTGCTTGCAGATTTCTTATATATTTTTTCTTCTACCCTGAAGATGGAGGCGATACGTTCCTCCGAAACGTCGGTTAACACCACATATACACGGTGCAAAATCCCAGAAGACTGCTTTCTTCATAGTCACCGCCGTGAAAGCCTCAAATCTTACATGTTCTAAATAGTTAAAGATACACAGTGACTTCATGGCATGGGATCTCCCAAGTTCTCAGAGCACTGACTATGGAGATTAGTGTCTTCTATGCTATCCAGACTGGTAGATGTTTACAGTGTTATGAAGGAGTGTGTTGCCTCCATCTTCACGGTAAAATAATTTCTTAAAAAAATGTAACAATGATAAGGTCACTTTAATTGTTTCTTGCTTCCTGTTGTGTATTTAATCACTATTAGAGTTAATTTCACCGACCACACAACACGTTTTTATTATTGTCACACTACATGTTTCGACCTCAAGAGGTCATCCTCAGGTGTACGAACACAGTTGCACAATCACAAGCAATCACATTCGTTTTTCCACTTATTTCGATCCTGTATCCTGTTCAGGTCTACGCTCAATAATATATGTCAAGTTTCTTCTTATAAAATACAAGTTAAAAATACTATTCCAATTGTTAAAAGTTAAAATTTAAAATTTAAAAATTTAAAAAATTAAAAGATTTTTGTTTTCGTGAGTCGAAGTTCAATTTTGATCACTGGTTACATTTTCACAGTCACTTGTTTTCTCTGTGTATAGTTCACTTTAACTAGTTATATTATTACCACTGGTTAAAAAGTTCATGAATTAAAGTTCAACTTATTATATTGAAAGTGCAGCCAATATGATAAGTTGAACTTCAATTCATGAACTTTTTAACCAGTGGTAATAATATAACTAGTTAAAGTGAACTATACACAGAGAAAACAAGTGAATGTGAAAATATAACCAGTGATCAAAATTGAACTTCGACTCACGAAAACAAAAATCTTTTAATTTTTTAAATTTTTAAATTTTAACTTTTAACATTTGGAATAGTATTTTTAACTTGTATTTTATAAGAAGAAACTTGACATATATTATTGAGCGTAGACCTGAACAGGATACAGGATCGAAATAAGTGGAAAAACGAATGTGATTGCGTGTAATTGCGCAACTGTGTTCGTACACCTGAGGATGACCTCTTGAGGTCGGAACATGTAGTGTGACAATAATAAAAACGTGTTGTGTGGTCGGTGAAATTAACTCTAAAAATGATAAGGTCATATTATTTACAAATGTTTAAAAGTAGAATTAACTTGGATATGAAAGTGAAACTCAAGAAAGTATATGAACTCTTCCTCTAACTTTAGAGCAGTACTGAGACAAGTTGCAGCAGTCCACTGTGGTGGAGCCTTTAGCTTTCACAAGCAAAAATGCAAATTACCATGCCTAGAGTGAGATCTGAATATACAATTCCAGTGAAATGGAAGCAAATGGCCAGGTGTACTTACACTACAGAACCACTGGGATAAACCATGCTACAGTATTTTCTGTTAGTGAGGAGCCACAGCCCTCATAAGTAACTAGCTGTGAAGTAAAATTCTAGTACCCTATTATGTGACTCTCCTATTTGGGAAATACCTTGTGCTTGAGCTACACATCCAGCTAACACATTCAAGCTTCTTGTTGGAACAAAATCACTATAAACTGATTTCCAAAGATTTTAACAATATAAAATATCTAACACCTTAGAATGAAAATCCAATATCACAAGGACTGTTCCTGACAGTAAGCATGAATGCTACCTGCAGTTAATGATAATGGTCCAAACAACAGAAATACATTAACAAAAGATGGGCATTATATATTCTCACTGTCTATCAGTATAATGAAAACAGGTCACTAATGATGTTAGAGACCATGTTTTCATCACAATCTGAGAGCTTCCTTTGTTCCTTTATACTTTGTGACTGGGAAAATTTTCATGTCTTTCGGAATCAAGATGCCTGTTGGTGAAATTTCACTTTTAATGTATATTTGTTGTTAAAAACATCATTTGAATGGGTTGTGACTGCATTATCTTTTAAAATGTTAGTCTTTTTGGGGTCCAGGAAAATATGTGGCAAAGTGTTAATGTGAAATATCTGAATTTGTGTTTAGAAACATAACAATATAACACAAAATTCTGAACTTCAATGGCCTTCCCTTATTCAAATTTTAACCTGAAAAATAAAATGAAATATTTAATACAGCAATCATCTCAAGGTCAATTTTGGTAACAGGTATCTTAATTGAAGAAATAAGAATTTTCTCCATTATTTTTGCTCATTTCAATCCTTGAAGAATTCTTTACATGGCTTCCTGCTATTCTTGCCACTTCATTTGAATGGCAGTTAAGTTGCTTTTGCTATGGTGATATTTTGTTTCTGGATCTTATTCAGTCTACACAAATAAGGTCTTCAGAACACTTCATTTAATAAAATAATTTATTTTTGTATAATATTGGGTAAATGCCAAATGTGAAGTTCAAAAAGTGGGGCAGTTCCTGATACCTCCACACATGGAGTCCAAAACCAAAGTCAGCAATGCTCAAGTGTCACCAGCTAGTTTTGAGTATAAAACAAATGCAAGGTGATCTTTATATCAGTGATTCTCAAATGCCACAAACTTGTTTCATTTACAATTAAAAATGAAAAGTCAAGAGTAACCAGTTTAGGGTGTTCTTAAGTTATGTTTCAAGCTTGATATTACCCACATACCCTGAATATGAGTAAACTTGATGCTTAAATCCCTTTTTACACGTCCTATGATGGGAGTTCCTTATTTGGGAATATCTGCATAAAATATTATTTAAAACATAATACGATCAGTTACTTCTTTGTGATTATACAAGCAAGTACATAAAATCTTTACTTTAGAACAATTTCTTTAGAAGAACTCAATCAAATACACTCACATTTATCATACCATTCGAGGTTATCCTGAACAGCGTAGCTCTTTCATTGACAGACTTTAATTTTGTGAGAACATCCTGTGTTGTATCCAGTGACTCCAGTTCTGAGAGAGAGCGCTGGAGAGCATTACCATGTTTAAGAGTAAGGTCACAGCATGTCTGCAGGTCCTCCAACCTAGCTGCCAGTGATTTGATCACATTCTGCACCTCATTCTTTTGTGATGTCATTGACTCATCATATTCCTCCTCCTCTTCTTCTGTGGCAAAATACACGATGATCACTGTTGATTGTCACAATGCTCACAATTTTCAGGGCTTGAAAGATACTAGCATTATCCAATGACAAAACAAAAAACACAATGTGCTCAACTTGAAGGATATACGAGTATTTGCATGTTACGTTACTCTGCACTTCAAGATGCCAAAAGTTCAGCTGAATTGGTATTTGACAAAATTCTTAGTTTGCCAGTGAAAACAATTTATTCAGTAAAATTTGAGATGACAGCACAAACTTACATATTTAGTAACAGTAATTATACTGTCAGTTAGAGTTAAAGAAACAATGGATATTTACAGTTTATATGGTTCGGACATGTGTACAAGAAGGAAAATTAATGACACACCAAGTATGACAGGCAATAAGATGTGCAAGGATTTGGAAGAAATGCAGACAAACATTTTAGAGGAGTACTCAACAACATAATTCTATGAAGAAGAGTCAGAGATTTTCATGAAGAATGTTCAAGCACAGCACTGATTTCATCCAACTTCAATGAGGACTTAGGTGTTTTGATTCAGCTTCCTCTTTTCCTCTAATGATTGTATGTTACTCAGATACAGTTCATTTTGCTGCTCTACTCTCTACTTAGGATAAGATGTAAATTGCCATCTAAGCACATCTCATATAATACTCTGTAATGATTCTATCCTTCTATCTATTCCTGTTGTTCCCACTTGGAGCGTATGGCATCTGTGAAACACTCTGCGTCACTCCAGTTTCTTAATCTTGGACAGTCAGTAGGACTTCTTGAATGGGGGAGGGATCAGCTCAATATACGGTCACTATCTACACAGGACAACAAAAACAGAATAAACATACACAAACATCCATGCCTTGAGTGGGATTCAAACCCAATGTCTCAGCATTCAAGTGGGTGAAGACACTTACTTCATGCCTCAGACCACGTGGCCACTGTGATTGGCCCTTGTAATGTTTACAAGTTGTTAAAACCCCTACATGTTTCAGTCACACAAGACCATATTCAGCAGGTGTACCATATTAAGGGGGAACTTTACAACCAATTTATATAAAAAATAAAAGATTTAAAATATCTGTGTCACAAATTTCTTATAAAAGGTTAAAAATAACTTTGATTTGTTTCATTCTGGTCCATCACACTAACATTTACAAAAGCAAAAATAATACTGTCTAATGTGACTATTTAAGTATTTTATCACTTGAGGATTTATCTCCCTTACATGTTTCGATCCTTACGGATCATCCTCAGAGGGTATCAATACTTTCGGGAACTACTATTACAATAGATGTTAATTGTCTGGATACACATATGATGTCTAAAATGCACAATATACGCAATGTTCAACCTTCCACATTCACGGTGGCCTTCTTGGTGTTAAAACTTCTTAAAAAAGTTGGAATGAAGAGATTTTGCTCATTAATTTCATGTTTATACATATTCAGAATGAAAAATTGTAACTATGTAATAATTTTAGACATGTGCATTTAGGGCCATGGTAGCGTAGTTGGTTGAGGCACTATGCTACAAGCCAGAAGGTCATAGGTTCAAATCCCGAGGATGTCATTGGATTTTTTTCAATTGACCTAATCCTTCCAGCCGCACTATGGCCCTGGTGTCAACTCAGCCTCTGACAGAAATGAGTACCAGGAATATTCTTGGGGGTAAAGGGTAGCCGGCACGTAAGGCTGACAACTTTGCCGCCACCTATGAGCCGATTATCTAGAACATGTGGGAACCTCAACATCTAACAACCCTATGGGCCTCCACGGATTGTTACAGGGATACCTTTACTTACATTACTTTATGTGCATTTAGGGCATGAATAGTCTACAAAATCCTGCTACTAGGTGAGCAAGATGTATTTCACTCAGCTGCTAAGCAAATGCAAATACGGGAGCCAATTTTTAGAACAAATTATTTTTCACATCTATGGAAAAAAAAGAAGAAAAAGAAGGCATGTGGTAGTGCAGTTGGTTGGGGCACTATGCCACAAGCTGGAAGGTTGATGGTTTGATTCCCAATTAAGTCGCTGGATTTTTCAATTGACCCAATCCTTCCAGTCACACTTTGGACCTGGGTCTCTAACAGAAATGAATACCAGGAATCTTCCTAGGATAAAGGGCAACCAGCACATAAGTCTGACAACCTCACCGCCACTTGTGAGCTAAGTGTCTAGAAAATGTGGGAGCTCCAATGTCTCACAACCTTATGGGCCTCCATGGCCTGTTACAGGGATAGGTTTACCGTATTCTTATGTAATAAAATACGTGTAAATGCAATTTACTGCCTTCCCTGTTTTTGCTCACTCAGCAATAGGGCTTTGTAGGCTGTACTCATGCTGTTAATGCACAAGTCCAAAATTACTGTATGAGTACAGTTTTTCATTCTAAATGCTAACACAGAAGTAATGATCTTAACTCAGAAGTTGCACAAGGCAGTAAAATCATACCAACCCACAAATACAACCTCATGAATACAATCATTTGATAACCTTCCTACTGTGAAAGCTGGCTAAAGCAATAACACTTCTGTCACCCCAGATAGAACACCATCTATCCTGACTAAGGTTTTTCATGATTTTCCTCAGCCCCTTTGGACAAATGCTAAAATAGTACCTCAAATTAGGCATAATCAAACTTTCTGATTCACTTGTACCTATCTTCTTACAATTTAAAAGTATACAACCTGAGCCAATGACAGCATCCTTACACAAACCACAAATATAAAAACTGGTATAAGGGCATCGCATGTAACTTCTCATATATGACCTGCCCTGACTTTACTGAATGTTGCCTAGCAGACCAATGTTTGCTGACTGCTGAGTAGCAGTGAACTCTGTCTGACCAGTGAACCTGGTTTCAAGTAAACTGACATTTCTTGTTCAGGACCATAGCATGTGCTTCCTGTGCATATCTTCCTGAAGATACTGCATACACGGTTCTATTTTGGTGATGGACTCCATAAATTACCGAAATTTAATCAGAAATATCACAGCAATTTTTGAGAAAACTGTCATTCTGTTTTGGGAAACATTTGAAGAGCCATATTCTGGTAGCCAGAATTGCCATATTATCCAGGCACTGACCTATAAGGCATAAACTCTTGAACACTGAATAAAAATAAATGAATAAAATCCAACCAATCTTTCAGGGGCTAGGATAGCATGCATACATCTAGAGAGCATTCCAAATATCACTTAGTCATATTGGGGGGTTAAAATGCATAAATCAGTCAAAATCTCAAGATCAAATATTTTCACAATCACAATACTTTCTCATATATACTATGTACATGAGAAGTAAAACGATAGCCTTCCATATGCAATTCCTACATGGATTGGAAAGTGAAGGAAAGTAAGACATGAACCCTAACCTTCCATTCTAATGAAGCACAATCACCACACTCAGATCTACATTCACCTGTGAGAAGCTGAAAGGCATGATTATAAAAATAGTATAAATTTACAAGATGACTGAACAGTCTTATATGCAAAAATTCATATCATGAATCTTCTTTTTTAGTGCTCACTAATAAGTGTAATAATAAACGTTCTTAAAATGGCATTAAGTTACTAAAAAGCAGCATTTTAAACTAAGATCTCAAATGTCATAACTATGCACTATGTGACAATGGGTTGTGTTATAGTAAACTACAAAATATGGGCTGACAGTCCTCATGAGAATTAAGTTTGGAGGGGGGAGTGGTGATTAACAGGGTTGTAAAAAGCATTACATTAAGTTCTTTCAAAATTTATGATTCTCTGAACATTAGAGAAAAAATGGAGTGCAAGACACAACTGTGTTACATACTGACTGACATTGTACACGTATATTTGACATACACAAGATTTATGGGTTGGATCAATGTGTGTCATGTGACTGGCTGCCAATACAGTCTTTACTTTATTTATTATAGGTCATGCAGTAGCATAGTTGGCTGAGGCACTATCCTACCAGCTAGAAGGTGGTGGATTCAATTCCCGATACCTTTGGATTTTTCAATTGACCTAATCTTTCCAGCCACACTATGGCCCTGGGGACAACTTGGCCACTAACAGAAATGTGTACCAGGAATGTTCCTGGGGGTAAAGGGGCAGCCAGCACATAAGGCTGACAAACTCACTGTCATCTGAGAGTTGACTGTCTAAAAAAATACATGAGAGCCTTGACATCTCACAATCCTACAGGCCTCTAGGACCTGTTACAGGGATTGCCTTACTTCTTACTTTTACTTAAGTATTCGAAATAGTCCCTAAATACCAAACGAAAATCTTGTTATGAGATTTCAATGCCGAAGTAGGTAGGAAGACACATTCAAACCAACAATTAGGAATGACAGTTTGCACGAAATTAATAATGACAATGGAGTTTAGAACAGTAAATTTTGCCACATCCAAAAATCTGACTCTTAAGTACAATGTTCCTGCACTGTAACATTCATATATTTACTTGGACCTCGCCTGATGGATAGACTCACAGCCAAACTGACCATATTTTGATAGGCAGGAGATGGCATTCAAGTATACTTGACATCCACTCATTCAGGGCAGCAGACTGTGATACTGACCTCTATCTGGTGATGGCAAATTCAGGAAGAGACTGGCAGTGAGTAAACAAACAACACAGAGTTCATACGGAGAGGTTCAATTTCAAGAAATTGAATGGTGTAGAGGGTAAAGAGCAGTACTGTATCAAAATCTCAAATAAGTTCACAGCTTTGGAAAACTTTCATGCTGAGGTGGATATTAATATAACTCAGAATATTCTCAGAAACTATGAGACAAAATATCAAAATTTCAGCCAAAAGAGTCTAGGTTATTATGAACTGAAGAAGCATATGCCATGGTTTCATGAAGGATGCTGAAAGTTAGTAGATCAAAGGAAACAAGCCAAACTGAAGCGGTTCCATTATGCATCTCTTTATACACATAAAAGAAAATCATATTATCAGGATCACATAAAAGACAATTAACACTATTGTAGATTAACAATTTAAAAGCAAATTTCACTTTCCATACATGATATGGCATAAATTACCCATTTTGATACAGATGCTTTATGGGGTTAGATGAATGGATTAACCTCAGCACTATAATTCACTGTTCATGAATACTTTTCTCTCTGTGAATGTTAACAGTGGGAGATCACTGTTATATTGAAACCTCTCCTCATCTTCACGCAGGGGCAAATATGACAACATGAATAAAGCAAAATCAGGCTATAATATGGACAGGAGCTGGCAGTATGAAATCTAGAAGTGCATTTCCTTCTGCAGCTGAAGTTACTTATGCTGAACCACTCCTGTTATATGGATGCACAGAAGGAAGTTTTCAAGCATAGAAGATTCAGCAAGCAGAGCACATTGTTTATAATTGACTTCATAACCTTCAAATATATTCATTACAGCTTCAAATGTTACCAACCCACAAAACTTTTTATACATGCCAGCAACATGGCTATGTTAATCAACTCACCTGACTCCATGGCACGAGTAGCTTTTGCCTTTGCCAGTTCCAGAGCTGTGACCCACCGCTGTCGCTCAACTTCATTAGCAGCCTTGATGTGAAAAGTCTGTGTGCCGCCATTTGAGATAACAAATGTACATGAATTTTCTGTATTGATAAGAGCTCCATGAAGACTTATGGTACCACGACACGTATGTGCCATCTCGGCCTGGTTTCTGATAGGAAGCAAAGTGTTAACATTTATTAGCACTTCCTTCAATACTGTAGAAAGAGTATATGCTCAACAGCTGCTAAATGATACATCATCTATTTACCCATCTTCAATGATACCTACTTAATTCTGCATAGCAGAATCCTTCTAATAGTCAATCACCTGATCACAAAATTCTTCACCTTTTACAGGCTCTGAAGGTTATTATGTGTGAACAAAAGCCTGCCAGTGAATCCTGTTCTGAGCCAGATGACTCCAGTACATACACTCACATCCTATTTTTTTTAGAGCTAATGTACAGTATGGATCAAAATTTACAGTACTGAAACTCACGCTTCTCGAACGCGCACATGCACTTGACAATGGGACATAGCTCCAGCCACACGTGGTCCCAGTAGTGAAAAGGAAGTTGTGTTGTGAAGTTGTTGGAAATGGGTCTCTTGACGAAGGAAAAAGTATTCATAGTTGAGTATTATTTCCGCTCATACGGAAGTGGTCACCAGACAACTCGCTTCCTTGGTTTTGAGAGGCAAGATCTTATCATCCAGAAACCACTACATATTACACGTATGATGATATGGTGTGCTTAGGCCCCTATTTCATTGCGGATAAGGAAGGCAATGCTCTTACCATCACTCAAGAATGCTACAAGTACATGGTGATCAGACCATTTCTTCAGGATTTGAGAAGGCTCTGTCGTGCATGGGGCCTTCACATGGATAGTGGTATCAACAGGACGTCTTTTCATTTCAGTACTGAAATTTTTGGCACATACTGTATTTTGATATGAAAGCCAGAAGATTCCGCCTTCATTAACAACTGTTTCATTGTAATAAGGTTCAATATCAAGCCAGAAGATTCCACCTTCATTAACAACTGTTCCATTGTAATAAGGTTCAATATCATACACTTCAGTAGCATAATACACGGAAATTCTGGACATTCATGAGAAGAATCATACAGTAGTGAGAGCAAAACTCTGGCCAAGATGACTGGTGTACCTGTCACCACGTGACAATCGTGCAACTCATGTGACCTTGAACATTCAGCAATTCTACGAACATCAGTACCTAACTCAAATCACACCACATACGCCACTGGAAAATAAGATACAGAATATGAAGGCAAAAATTAGAATATAGTGAAGAAAAAGGCAAACAAAAGAAGTACTCAAAAAATTTCAACAGTGGTAGAGGTTATGTTTCACTAAACGTGAGGGGGTTAACTCCTTGTGCATTCACGGATTAGAAAACTGATGCCTGCACAGGTTTCAAAATCCTCTTTCCAAGGTCTGCTGGAGTCTTCCTTTTATTCTTCACTATGGAGATTTACAATTCCATGCTATATTATCATCCATAATATTCATGTGTATCAATATCTCCTTTACAGGCATAAATGTGTCCCAAGTTCATCATTCTTGTGTTTCTGCAGGGTTCAGATCTCACGATCATATTTTATTACTATTTTAAAAATTACTTTGTACAATAATATTGTATTTTAGTGTCATATTGCATATAGAAATATTTTATTCAGTTTAAGTATCACAATGTATGTATACTTCTAAGATAATTATACAGTTTCTACATTATGACATGTTTCGCCACTATTTCTGGCTATCATCAGGCAATCTTAACATAGTCCCTCTCAACTTTTCTGCTATCCCCCCACTGGCCAACGTTTACAATTCAGGGAAGGCTGTATTGTTGCTTACAATGTAGGTCTTCAGTTACAGACTTAAACAAATATTGCAAATCTGTTCTAGTTTCTGAAGGGTATGCATTATTCACAACATCAGTCTTAAAATTCTTCTTTCTATAGCTATTTTGATTTCAATTAGATTAAAACATAGGATAATTTGAACTAGTTAACGTTAGACCAATACTGATTAATTGTTCTTGCTGTTATTACAATTTTGTTATATTTACTTAATCTTAGATGTGTAGTCCTGGGTCCTGTGTAATGACCATTTCCTTGACGAGCACAGAAGAACGTGGTTCTCTTAGGGTATGTGTATTCTCATGCTGCATATATGCATATTTTCGCTATTTATGTGGTTGTCTTGTTTGTATCTTGATGTTGTGTTCATGGTGTTTGTGTAGTACTATGAACCTACATTATAAAAAATACCACCACCTCCCCCCAATTGTAAACACTGGCCAGTGAGGGGAGACGGCAGAATAATTGAGAAGGCCTGTATAAGTATTGCCAGACAATGGCCAGAAATATTGGCCAAAACATGTCGTAATGTAATTATCTTGGAATTACACATATATTGTGTGACCGAAATGGAATAAAATATTGTCGCATGTTATATATACAGTGCGTACAATCAAGTGCGCGCCGCGGCTGCAATTTGCCGTGAGTCATACCACCGCAGAACGGATGCAGTCGCGGGGAGGAGTTGCAACACTCCCCACGACTGCATCCGTTCTGCGGTGGTATGACTCACGGCAAATTGCAGCCACGGCGCGCACTTGATTGTACGCACTGTATAATAATATATAATTTGTAAAATTTTGTGTAATGTAGTTCTGGACATTATTTTACAAAATACTTGCAAAAAAATCCATTTATATATATGTATATATGAATCTTTGCATCTTGTTGCCAAAATTTTCAAAATATTTTAATCATACACTTGTTATAACCACATAATGGTTTATAATCTAGCAATCTTACACATTATCAAATCTTTTCATTTAAAGGTTATTATTTTTCCTATATTAAAGGGAACTTTAATACTGAGACATTTCACTGTTACTTTAAGAAAAAAGTTTTCTTTACAAGTTGTGTTTTGTTTCACATGATAAAATGTGTAATATAAATCTGAAAGTACTCAGTTTTAGTTTCAGCATGGGAAGCACCTAACAGGCCTGTATTTTTTCATCGTTTTCCTTAGTCCTTTCAGGAAAATTCCACAACAGCACCCTTGAAAGCATCATAATGAACACTTCTGCTTCAGTCCCTTCTACTTCATAGTACAGCAAGATCCCTATTTAATGTTACTAAATTTAAGATTTTCCCTAACTTAGTGTTCAATTTCAATGATTCCAAGCCAATACTCTCAGCGCTAATTTTCCTTCATTTATGATTTTCCTCAGTTTAGTGTCCAAAATGCTTGCTCCGCATGAAAAAGTACCAGGGGATTTCACTGTGAATAACAATACACTAATTTCATACAATGTTAAAAATCATCTGCAGTTATCATAGCACTGATAAATAATCTACATGAAACCAATCACAATAATAAATAATTACTATAATACTGTGGGACAAATAGACAACACTACAGCATTAATGCTTCTATATTGAAAATGAAATCCCATCTGGTAATTCATTACTTTCTGTACAAGTTGCTCCAACTTTCTAAGTGATTCTGTGGGCTCTGTAAACAACTGTGTCAGCAATGAAAGCAACACATATTTGGCAATGACCAAAGTGTATTCTTGCCAAAAGAAATGACACTTCATAGTGACTTATAAACTAAAGAGAGCAAGGTCACAATAGAAACAGAAAAACAGGTCTATTATTACAGACCATGAAAATGAGTACAGAATTAACGTAGGTACTGGTGTGATAATTATGAAGATAATGAGTGAATGAATGATACAAAAGTTAAGTCTTGGCAAAGACGCAAGTCCAGCCTGAAATGATATTAGATCAAACTGAGATCCACTATATCAAAAGCTCTTGCATTCAACGGAAAATAAATTGCACAAAAATAACTCAAGTGTTGCTTTTGACACCAAACTGATTTTCACACTCTAATACTGGGTTCCAAAAGCTGTTTGGACTCAGAGTAAAGTCCAGTTTCTAGCATCACCTGCATTAGACATTTTACTGACACTTTAGTTAAATGAAATGTCACAGATTTTTACTCAGTTACTTTCTTGTGGTCTGCTTTTAAGATACCCTATCATTAGCTTGAAGGAAATTAGTATGTTAACAACAAAATGGTCAACTCCAAGTTACAATAGTGCCTAAAATATTTACTGTCTTCCTCATTATCTTCTTAAGCATTGCTTTGCACTGTTTTATATTCTTATGTGAATATGTTTTAAATTCACAACCTAAATACTGCAAATTCAGCCAATGATGAAACTAAAATCTCTCCTATTCAAACTATGAGAATAGATGGCAATTATGGAATAATGCATGCAACAAATTGTAGGCAAAATTTTTACAACACACTGATTTGTGTTTTGTTTGCTATAAGAAACTTTTTATTTCATATTCTTAATATTAATTTTGGAGAAATTTATATTTTTAAAATGGGACTCAGCTGTAACTAAATGCTGTTAACCTGGCCAGTAAACATCTACAGGGAGGATATAATCTGGTGTGAAGGTTAAGACTACAGTTTACAAAACTAGTTATGTACTCTTTGCTGCACCTGACCCCAGTAGCCAGACTTCATTTCACTCAGTCCATTACTGTGAATTTGATCCCAAGATGATGTTTCTTTCCGACAAGACGTATACTTTGAGAATAGCTACAGCATGTGATACAGACTCCGTTCAGAAGGCACAGAGACTGTATCTGAGCCAAGGGGTGAACATTTTCAGAATCTCCCGTAAAGCAGACTTCCTTATGATCGCAGCTGACTGAGCAGGAAATGAGGCAACTGATGCAGAATGGAGAGCTCTATCGTTTCCATATCAGCATTAGGTGTGTGGTCAGTTCACACCCTGACAGCTTCTACATCTAGGGAAAGAACCACAAGACACACTGGACAGAGGCTGGATGGGTTCCTGTGCCCATATGGACACTGTGGAAACAAGCTGAATCTCTGCCCCTACCAGGAATCAAACCCAAATTCCCTGGTTGTTTAGCAAGTAGCCAGGTCACTATACTGAGTTACTTTGCCCAGGCTGAAATGACATAATGGTGCAAATTAATCAGGACCAAATTGTAGAGAACACAAGAAGATTACATTTCACTATGTAACACAGTAAAAAGCAGAAAACATTTCAACCACAAAACAGAAGCTTCCAATTCCTACATCTCTATCATGAAAATTGAAATTGAATGCCAGCCACAATGTGTAACTTGCAAAGAACACACACCAAAAAAACAAAAAACAAACAAAAAAACTAAATGATTTTAGTCCGCAAGTGAACTATACCAAGTGACTGCCGCTCGTCGGCGAAGTTCAGTGCCAACTTTTGCAGATAGAGGGTGTCATGTGGTCAGCGCAACGAATCCCCACGGCCGTTAATTTCGGTTTTCTAGATCAGAGCCGCTATTTCCTTGAAATAGCTTCTCCATTATCATCATGAGGTTGAGTGGACCCCATTCCAGACCCACTACTTCTCAGAAAAAATCTCATAGCGCCAGGAATCGAACCTGGACCTCTGAATCTGTAACCAGGAACGCTGACCACTATACAACAGAGACAGTCAAAGAACACAAACCAAGCAATAATAAATTACAAAACTTGCTTCAACTATATGTTCAAAATGTGTATATTCCTCTCTCCTGGACTAAATAGACATATACCTGCTGCCTCTTCATCCCCAGTGGTCCTTGTAAGAATATGCAAACAAAGAGACTTTATACATAGCATCATGGTCACAAGCAACTACAAATCAAAGAGGTGCTGATCTCCCAAAAGGAAAATTAAATAAAAATGTAACTCTACTCATGTCAGAATCAACATCTGTTTACACTATATATCCCAAACAAGGACTGCAGCTGAGGTCTGAGTTATTTTAGATATGACAATGTATAACTAGATGCATGACAAAAGTAAGAAAAATTTGATACTAGGAACATAGAACACAAAAGGGTTATTGGAGGTGGAGTGAAGTTAATATAGTAACACCCCAAGCAATTAAAGACTCAATGAAATACTGAGAGAGACTGTTATGTGTATATACTGCCAATGTGGTACTAAACAGAAATGATACCTTTCATTTGTGTAGAATATGTGCAAAATCAGAGCATATTAAGAGAGTCCATGCAAAAAAGTCAACAATTCTCAGGGTTTATTCTACGTGATTCTCATAAAAATTACTGTGGTACTGACATTCTAAAATGAAACTGAACAAAACTACTCCATCTCTTTAAAGACTTGAACATTTCAGGTATATTATTACTATGCACTACTATGTAGTATGAATGAATGAATGAATGAATGAATGTAGGTGACTTATGATCATCCTGCAGGTCTGTGGAATAAACATGCAAACCTAATAAAGCTGTCTCTAGTGGCGGTTGGTAGGCGAGCAAAGGGATGCGGGGCAGCAAAGATGTCTATTTGAGAGGCTGGAAATGGCGGGGGGGGGGGNTCGAGCATAGTTAGTTCTTTCAATAACAAGTGTGAACTCATGATCATGCTGCCACTATACTTACTCGGACCGACCAGACCGCCGACGCCGGCGGATAGACAGTTTGGACCCCCCTGAATTTTCGGCCCTAGAATAAACCCTGATTTGTACGGAGCATGACACATGAAAAAGAAGGTGCCAACACTATACATACAATAGCTACACTAAAAGTGGATAATTCAGATTAAACACCCCCTCAAAACTACTCTAATACCATGCAATTCACACATAAAAGTACAAGTCCTAACTCAATTGTCAAAATTTGTCCTTCACATAGTTTCTAACAGTAAGATAACGACGTAAGTTTACATCCTTTATAAACCAATAAAAAGAACTTACCGTTATTCATATCTATATAAATAAATATTAATGTTAATGTTAAATTCTTGCTGTACAAGTAATAGCCTAAGAAGGTATTGTTTAATGCAATCTGGAAAGAATTTACTCACCTGTAATACGACAACACACCATTCGACAGAACGAACCATCTTCGCTGATAACCTTTTAAATAGTTTGTCCATTTATAGAGCCAGCCTTTCATTTCGGCTTCGCTGTTGGAAACTTTTCCTTCCGTCATTTTAACAATTATTTGTAAAATTTACACAAACGCAACTCTCATCCACGTACCACTTCCCACCATTTTCAAGATGGCAGCTATTAGCACATCATCGTTACGATCGTTACCATATGATTACATACACACAGCGGGAGAAGTAAAAGGAAATACTTACATAATCACTGCTAGGACACATCGATAGTCGAAATAACCCGAAATAAATCCCGACCTCAAGAAGTGGTGGTTGCGTATTACGGTTAGGATGCCAAATGAACTATCCAAATATTTTTAACCACAAACAAAACTGTTTTGACGTAACTGACAAGGCGGATGAATATATGGATTTGATAGAATAATGCCAAAAATTTTCGAGAATGAAAAAAAAAAAATACTGTGCATCACTCTAGATTTCTTATGTGAAACCGTGTGACAGATCAAGGTTAGATAAGGCATTATGATGCTCAATATGTTATTGAATAGATACGGGCTGCATAACCGGGATTTGATTTATGGCAAGAAGGACATGGAGTCTACTTATGGGTACCCACTCAACCTCTTATCCCAGGGGTCTCAAAACTTTTCGAAACGCGGGTCGCATTAGGTAATTCAGCACTTTCAGCGGGCCTGATAAAATGAGAAATTAATAACTCTAGGTATATGAGTTTTATTGAAAGCACAGAATTTCATAAACTAAATACAAAGTACATGAGAATAAATTATATATTAATGACAACAGATAGTAGCAGCGAATGCTCATATCTTCATCACAAATTATAATAAAACAATTAATGTGAATGATGGAACTCTTTTTGCGTTCTTAAAATATGATTAAATTGAGGTACAAATTTTGAAACGCTAATCACAAGTAGCGACTTTAAATGTTCATTCGATAAATTTGCCCTGTATTTCAACTTGATGTACTTCATCTGGGAAAAAGTTTGTTCACACAGATGTCATCCCAAAAATGGAGATAAATTTACAAGCAAATTTCTTTAAATTTGGAAATTGCTCAGAGTTCAGAAATTTATAAAATTCAATCAAATTTCCTTCCTTGTATTTGTCTTTAATATGATAATTTTCCTGGAGTTCAATAATTTCCATTTGAATTTGACTTGGGACATCTGCAGCATCACAGTCAAACAGATTTTGAAACAATCTAATTTCTTGAGCACAGGCATCCAAATCAGCAAATCGCTTCCAAAATTGTTCTTTCAAATCTGAAATGACTAAATTTGCAAACAAGGAAGGAAATTCTGCCTTACCCTTTTTATGCAACTCTGCACAGCATGGCATATGAACAAAGTTACAATTTTTCACTTGGCTTTCCAGAAGTATCAACTTTGCTCTGAATGCCTTGATAAGTTCAAATAAATCACAGACTAAATTATTTTCACCCTGCAACTTTAAATTCAACTTGTTCATATGGTTCACCAGATCGGCAAAAAATGCTAATTTCCAAAGCCACTTGGTATCTGACAGAAGTGGTTCCTGATGGTTTTTCTCTGTAAGAAATAAATCAATTTCATTCCTGAGCTGAAAGAAGTGCAAAAGAACCTTTCCACAGCTAAGCCATCAAACTGCAGTATAATATGTCAGGTCAATAAGCTCGGAATCACATTCTTCGAGAAAAGACCGAAACTGGCGATGGTTAAGTGCATGACAGTGAATGAAATTAACGATAGAAATAACAGGTTTTAAAACAGAGCTCATATCAACGTGTTTTGCACAGAGTGCTTGTTGATGGATAACACAGTGAAGAAACATTGGCTTTGATATTCCTGTATCCTCACAAGCTTTTATGATTTGGCCAACCAAACATATTTTTATACCAGACATGTTTTTTCTTCCATCGACTGTCACACACTGCAGACGGTTCCAGTCCAAATTATATTCTGTTAGTGTTTTTTGTATTTCTTTGAAGATATCATCTCCTGTTGTAGTGCCATGCAATCTGTGAAGTGACGCTAATTCCTGTGTGACATTAAGTTTATCATCGACACCACGAAAAAATACTAATAGTTGAGAGGTATTACAAACATCAGTTGAAATCTATGAACAAGTATTTTTTTTTACAAGTACTCATTGGAAAATTAGTTCAATTGGCGCATTTCTGCACAATTCTTTTGTGGGCCGGATGTGACCCGCGGGCCGTAGTTTTGAGACCCTTGTCTTATCCAATGAGGATAAGGAAGAAACCGACCGTTGCTTAGTGTTATCAAAATTATTGGTTATAGAAATAGCTAACAGTAATCCCTTGTTTTATACAATACAGGGTCAAGATTTCATTACCCATGGTCCAGCATTTGTCCATGTACAATTGAGATCATGGCATACCATGAAGAATGCAGTCTTCTGGGATGTGGAGCCTCGCTCGCAGATTTTTATACCCTGAAGATAGAGGCAATGTGTTCCTCTGAAACGTCGGTTTACACAATATCTACATGGCACCACATCCCAGAAGTCAGCATTCTTCATAATCACTGCTGTGAAAATCTCAGATCTTACATGGAGTACTGTGGCCACAACCCAGCCTCACTGAGCTCACTGATCCTGTGACTTATGTAAGAACATGTAGTGTTATATTTTAGCGTCCTGTTGCACTGATTTATGTCCATGATTTATTCTGACCGTCTTACAGTGCATACATTTATTCACCTCACTCTTCTCTCTTGCACTACATGTTTCAGCACTAAAGTGCCATCTTCAGGTGCTTTTCTATGTACGTCGAACTACTTCATTGCATGCCCTGTTGTCTTTATACTAAAATGACTAAAATATATATTCATCATATATAATGATAAATTTTAAATATTAAAACTGTTCAGGATTTGTCATTCTTATGTTGTATCTCAATACGCAAGTCACACCTATCTTCTTCTATACTTGCGTATCGAGATACGACATAAGAATGACCAATCCTGAACAGTTTTAATATTTAAAATTTATCATTATATATGACGAATATATATTTTAGTCATTTTAGTATAAAGACAACAGGGCATGCAATGAAGTAGTTCGACGTACATAGAAAAGCACCTGAAGATGGCACTTTAGTGCTGAAACATGTAGTGCAAGAGAGAAGAGTGAGGTGAATAAATGTATGCACTGCAAGATGGTCAGAATAAATCATGGACAAGAACATGTAGGTTGGATACTGTAATGTGCATTTCACTAGCTTGGAATAACTTACCTTCTTTTTGTAAAGTGCAATATTGTCTTGCCACAGAATATGTCCTCAAAGTATAAATGTAGTCATGCAGAGTTAGGAAATAATGACTACAGTATTGACATACTTGATAAAGGAGTGTAGTGAAAGTGTAACATCTGTTGGAAGGCAATTCCATAACAATGAATCTTCTGTCAGAACTGCTGAACAAGCTCAAGCAGCCAATAGGTTTAGCGTTGAGCCAGACATGATGAAGAGTGTAGAAGTTGTTTATAAAATCCATGAACCATTAGCAGAAAAAGCTAAGAAAACATTTCATTTGTGGATTTAGGTTTGGAACAAAGAAAATGTTTTTATATATGTACAGTAAGTATAAATAAAAGTCATCTTGTTTAGTTTATGTGTACATATGTGTGTGTTCATTTTGAATCTTGAAATCTGCATATGTATGTTTCATAGAGCAATTTCCCATGCTGCTTGTTTCCCATCATGTCAAGCCTTTACACAACATTGCTTTGATACGTATTGTATAATTCAAGATTGTAACCCCTGTCATAAACAAGGGATTACTGTATATATTTGTACACAGGCAGTATAGTTACAGGCTTCAGATAAGGAAGGTCACTTGGCTGCCTAGAACCTTCCATATTGTTGGAAAGAATATATTGTACCCACACACTGATACATTTGAAGTGTTCTGTTTTTGCTTGCAGCCTACTAGTTTTCTGCTTGGCATAATCTTCAACCCTGAAGATGCAGGTGACAGGTTCCTCAGAAATGTCAGTTAACTTTCAGTGGACTACACAGCACTGTAACCCAGAAGTCAGAACTCTTTATAACCACTGCTGTGAGACCCACAGATCCTACATGATAAATTCCCCCCCACACTACCATGTCCAGAACAGCTCTGGGCCTATAGAAACTAAGATTTAGTGGGTATAGGGCTCCTTGGCATGGACACTGAAAATTTATTTCTTTACCACCTCTTCCAGCCAAATATCAGCTCAGGGATAACACTCATGCAAACTCAGTACTGAGACAGTGAAAATGGATTAGCTGGCCAGTTTGTGTCACAAATATATTTAACGATAAACATGGATGAAGCAATGATGGAATGGCAGGCAGGAAAAATGAAAAAGTTGAATAAATATACCTCACTGCTATTTAATTTCACAAATCCACATGTTTTGCTTTGTGACTGAACCTGTCTCTTGGTGATCACAAGATAATGATCACCTGAATTATGGAATGGTCTCACTGTATTATATAGTAATAGTACGTTTTTAGCCTACTTTCTTTTCATAAGGAACAGAAAGCAGGGTCTTATCTCCAGGAGTATAACAGTCAGAGCATAGAACTGACCACTTTCATCTAGTGCCAAGGTCTAAGCCCTTGCACAAGATTCCTAAAATCAGGGATGTGGAAGCTATATAGTATATTATAGTTCCGTATGCCATAGAGAAAAAATTCTTGCTAGATTTTATTGCTGGTTATCATATTATTTCTTACATAAAAACTTAAGTTGTTAATCATCACCTGTGTGTAAACAGATTTCATCAACTTCAGCTTCAAAATTATCCCCCCCCCCCAAAAAAAAAGAAAGAAAGAAAAGAAAACAAGTTACAAAGTCAGTATATTTATCAAAGCAAACATGCTATCACATTATCAAAAATAAATTACACTGTATGTATTACACTATGCAAATGAGAATCAAATATATAAGTTAGTGGACATAATGTTAACAATTAATCTGCATTCAGCTAATGTAAATGCAAGCACTGGAATAACTGATTTCTGAACAGATTGTCATTTTATAAGGATCACAACACCCAATGATAAATAGTACAAAAAGAAACATTATAAACTGTGAAAGTCTTACAGAAATTTGCTAATCTGTTTAATTTTAATAATCGCACAGATTCATTATCTTCAAGCTAATTATAATATTTTGAAATTAAATACATCCCTAACAACAGACATTCAATATCACAGAATTCACATATCACCTCTTTTAATGGTGTCACATAGTATCTTCCATTATCTGGAGATTATCCCTGAAATGTAAATTTTCAAATTAAATATCCATAAAACATGTTAAATATTTCCAGTCACACTGTGCATTGAGCATTCAAGGTACTAAACCCTTTACAATGCAGTGATGTCTATGTTCAAACTTGCATATGAGCACAACAATTTTCATTTACTCTGTTTATTCATCAGTCATCACAGAATATACTATATGTAGTAATGTTTTAAATGTTATATTTTAGCGTTCTGTTACACTGATTCACGTCCATGGTTTATGCTAACCGTCTTACAGTGTATACAGTTTTTCACCTTATTCTTCACTTCCACACTACATGTTTCAGCACTAATGTGCCATCCTCAGGTGTCTTTATGCACGTTAAAACTATTGTACTGCATGCCATGATGTCTTCATTCTAAAATGACTAAAATCTGTATTTGTCATATATGTCGATGAATTCTAAATAATAAAACTTTTCAGGATTCATCCTACGTCGCGCTCAAACACGCGAATTACGCCAGTCCTCTTTTATGTGAGCATTCTTCCTACATACATTTGTGTATTGTGTTCTGTGTTGTGTTTTGCTCCTGTTACTGCATGCGTTGTACTGATGGATATGTGTGTGTGTGTGTGTGTGTGTGTGTGCTGTCTTCATAACACAACCAAAATGAAGATAGCACAAACACACATATCCAGCAGTACAACGCATGCAGTAACAGGAGCAAAACACAACACAGAACACAATACACAAATGTATGTAGGAAGAATGCTCACATAAAAGAGGACTGGCGTAATTCGCGTGTTTGAGCGCGACGTAGGATGAATCCTGAAAAGTTTTATTATTTAGAATTCATCGACATATATGACAAATACAGATTTTAGTCATTTTAGAATGAAGACATCATGGCATGCAGTACAATAGTTTTAACGTGCATAAAGACACCTGAGGATGGCACATTAGTGCTGAAACATGTAGTGTGGAAGTGAAGAATAAGGTGAAAAACTGTATACACTGTAAGACGGTTAGCATAAACCATGGATAGTAATGTTTTCTCAAGTAGCTTATGTATCCATTAGACATTCATACAACAGGCAGGTTGCATAATTCTTGTATTGTAATGAACATATACTAAAAATTAAATGTATTAACAGACTAAGGGCATCAGAATGAAGAATGAAAGAAATGTACCCCCCTCCCTTCAGAAATAACAGTAATGAAATACTGGAACAACTGTTTGTCAGTCTTGCAGCATCCAACATTAGAGTTTAGAATAATATAATGCAATTATGCAAACTGCTGAGTAAGAAAGTCTTATGAAACCATCATGAATGCCTCATCATAAATGACCATAAAACTCATTTCATGTCACTTCCAAACATTTATTGTGCTTATAGCATTCTGTACAGATTACTTATTTAGTAAAAGTCATTCTACATAGAGTGCTAAGCAACTGCCCTGACTTGAAGCATTCATGGCTTTATTTTAGATGTTTTGTAATATTACATTTTAATTCTTAATGATGGTTATGAAAGCTAAGTTGACATGAAAAAAAGTATTAAATATTATCATTGTCAGTTTTTGAAAATGATAATTCTGCTAACACAAATCAAAAAACTCATTCCTATCTCTAAGTTAAAAACCACTCCCCTAATAAGAAAAGACAATATATTGCTTCATACAAACAAATTTCACATATCAGCTCAGAAATTTTCTTCAAGTAAAGTCATAAAAAACAAATTGCACCCAAGAGGTATTCTTATATCCTTACATATCTGGTCAAAATCAGCTGAGATATTTTGTGCTTCATTACTTGCAGCTGTAAACTTTGTCACTTTTTATGGCATGGAATGGTTGCAGTCACATTATTGTGAAATGATTCTGTGATTAAGGAGTTGATGCTGCCATCTTATCACTTGGACGAGACCCACTTTCCTTTAGAGTACAGTGTTACATTTTCACATTGGTGTCTCCATTCTGCAGGACACGAGAGAATGTCTCCACATGTCTATAAAAACACACACAAGATGGAAACAGAATAAATAATTATTAGCACAAATTTCTTGCTGCGATACCTAGGAAACACGTGACAGTATGTTTCAAAGAGCCTTTAAATTCTTAAACTTCTTCACAGAACAAGCCTCATTTAAACATTTAATATAATCCAGAGCTTTAGCTGCATCTTCCTGTCACTACATTCTTTGAGATAGTCTTGTGAAATAACCATGTTCCCTGGGTGTATCAGCTTTCAAATTTTCAATCGAGTGAACAATTACAAGAAAATTTGGTATGAATACTATGCCACCAGAGGTGACTTGAACCTCAAATTTTGTATAAATTCTTGGTTTTGTTTCCATCTCAACACAACTACTATCAGAACCACATTCACGTTTCACTGTGTATAGTGGGTATACTGGTCTTAATAGTATGACAATGTGCTACATGTTTAGGCTTATAAGGCCATCAGCAGGCAGTATACATTGCACTTTATATGAATGCATAATTACTATATAATAACTATAAAACAAAAACAAACTCCGTGGCTTGAGTCTGCAAGCGAACTATACCGACTGAGCAACTGCTGCTTGTCAGCAAAGTTAGTGCACTAATGTAAATGACTTTGATTCGGTTAATACATTCAACTTTCATCTGAATTAGTACAAGATTTATAAAATGCATTAAAATTGGAATGAAGGTTCTACATTCAATTGAATGCTTAGAGATGTACATTAATGTATATATAATAATAATAAAAAAAAAAATTCAAAGTCATAAAATGTAATGCATTTTTATGGTGTATTAAAACATTTAGACAGTGAATAAAAACTGTTGTTCATTATATTTATGGTACTTGTCGTGTCCAAATATCGTTGCATATACCATTTATGTTGGTGTCTATTAGCGTAATTATAGCATTATAAAACTTGTATATAATTATCTTCAAATGTTGTTAATGTTTGATAATGGGCAGGCGTGTTTTATTCCTGCTCCTATTTGATTTCTTTATGAAGCAGCTGCACTGTTTGGAATCGGTTGTTGCAATGTTCTGTAATGTTTTATTCTATGTTTTCCCATGGTCTGGTTTTCTTATGTAATAGTTAATATATTGTTTAGAATATAATAAACATTTCATTTTCTCTTCTGTTCATTGTTGCTGTCTGATTAGATTCTAATATTGGTTGGTTATATTTGATTTATTGCATGATTACTTATATTTAAGTTATATAGTCTATTATTATCTACTTACTATTTGTATGGGTTCCTCCACTTATCACGTTTCCGCGTCTGGCTTAGTTGTGTGTTAGGTTTCAACTGTATTTCTTAGTATGCAATAAGTTGCTGACTTGTTAGTGGAGGGAAAGAGGCTGTAGGAGGATTATACTGTAGTGGGGGTATGCATAGGTGAAGATGGATTAGTCTGGTTGCTGTTTTCCATTTCCTATGTTTTGGTAGGTGGTTATTACTACATTGTATATTGGGATATATGTTTCAGTGAAATTGTCATTTAATTGTATGTTCTGTTTTCTGATTTTGTATATGTGAAATCTCTTATAAGTGTCAAGTATCGGGCCTTTGTGTTCTATATCTAGGATAGTTTGAAAATATTTGTTAATGCGTACTGCCTGATGACGGCTTTATAAGCTGAAACATGTAGCACTCTGTCGTACTATTAAGACCAATAAACTCATTATACACAGAAAAATGTGAATATGATTCTGATAGTTGTTGTGTTGAGATGGAAACAAAATGAAGAATTTATATAGGATAACACAACAGAATTCATTCCTTGAAGACTCAAATTCTGTAATTTCTTATAATCAGTAGCAAGAACATAATCATCTATTAGGTGGTAGCAATGTTAGGGCCATTCAATATAGACCTTCAATGATGTATGGTAACAAAGCTTAAAAAATAAGCAGTTTTGCTAAGTTTTTTTGGTGGGGGTTAAAATCTAAAGTATGGTGACCACACAAAACTTTTCATTTAACCTTCAGCTTAATGGATGAGACAGGATTGGTATCCTGGAACTGCACAAGTGCCATGAGATATCCATTACTGGGCACCTTCAAGGTAAATGTGTATCCCAGCAACAGCATAAGCACACAGGTCAAGGTACTGTTGGGAACATTTGCAATCCAGCAGTCCCCCATGAGGCTATATAAAGAAGTATACCTGATTGGTCTGAGTTTAAGCCCACTTCCAATCTGTCTACTGCTAAGGAGTGTTGAGGGACTAGGAAGAACACTTCATGAACAAGACAATGAAGGAAGAGAGGAAGACTGGGAAGCAAGGACAGTCAGACAGCTGATTATAGTTACTTATCACTAAGAGTAGGCAGTGCCTAACAAATCCTTTTCCTACCAGAAGCCACAGAGTAATCACTTCATGCAATAACATGAAATAATGCTTATATGTCAACAGTTACAAACATGTGACAGTGTGAAAATTTCTGAGTATATCTGACAAATTTAACATAAAAAGAGTCTGTACTTAAGTAAGCAGTTTTTCCTTCTAAAATAAAATAATTATACTACTAATAACCTATAATATTATGACATGGATGGTACAATGGGAAGTGGGGGTCACGTGAACTCCTTCCACCAGTACGCGATGCTCGGTGGGCGTCCCCCTCCCCCATTGTGACTTGGCAGAAGAGTGAGTGTATTGTTACCAAGGGATACCGCAGTTGCTATGAAGCATTAAACAACTCTCGACAGCGTTGCCAGCAACACCTGTAAACATGGCGACTAGGCAACAAGGAAGGGAGGCATTTTCCCATTGTCTGGCTGAGGGTTTATAAGAGAACTACACTGTCTAAGGAGTCAGATGGTCGCAAGTCCCAAGGTGCTAGGACCGAGAAACACTGCGCTGGCAAGGGCCAGCAACATATACAAAAGACAGACCCATCCTCTCGCCAGAGAGGGTGCCCCACAGAAACAAGACCGTAACTGTCGAGGAGTAATAAATATCTGGTCATGAGCCCCAGGAGGGTGCTTGATACCAAGACTTACTGACTGTCTGATCGTCAGTCGCAATATTACTTTGACTTTGACTTAAGGAGTCAGTTGAAATATAGCAGCAGTCACAGGAAGAAGACCTGAATGTATGGTTGGAAGATTTGATGTGATAATTGTGATACTGCCGATGGCAGTAATTGTGAGATTGTAAACTGTGTCACTGTGAGAGTGAGTGTTCTACAAATTTGCTATATCAAATAAGGCGTGAAGTTATTTGTCACGTTATACACTCAGCACGCAACAACATATTTGTAATTGCAAGAAACAGATTCAGACAGGAGTAGAATTTGATATATGATCATCAATAAATGAGCATAGTATACTAACCCACGTATTATATTTTTGCATTGTAAGCCTATATTGCCAAAATATAACATTAACAATATACGATTTATATAACTGAAGTCCATGCATTAGGGAAGTAAGCTTTTTGAATTCTGTCCAGATCATGAACTGTAGTGGTCTCACCTAGGTGAACTGAAGGGAAACTTGGCTGTTCCTTTATTTTTATTCCTTTCGTTACTTATGCATCTTGACTGACTGGAGCGAAGTTTAACGGAACGTAGCATTTCCAGTGATACCACAGGCCCTCTGAAAGTTACAGCTGGAGTACGACATTCTCCCTAGAATAATTAGAGGTTTTACATCAGTGTTAGAGAAGGAAGAAGCCAATTACATGTACACATTATGTAATTAACTGAAGTGACGCAGATAATGCCTGTGTTGGCCACAGCACTTTAATTAGCATAAAAGCTCTACTTTAATATGAGAATATATAGGTATTTGAGAAAACGTTATAATTAAAAAATTCAGTCACAAAGCTTTTGCCAAAGTAATCTGGTAAAAGATTAATATCAGCTACAGTGACAATTAACATTTTAAATATTTCCAATAATACACAATCTGTAATTAACCAGTATACAAATTAATCTTCCTTTATGGTGATGTCAAACATTTTACATTAACTAAGTGTCTCAAAAGACATTTCTGGTAGTGATGTATGAAAACGAAAATTTTGTTCAATTTGTTGAATCCAGCAATTACCATATTCAATATGGCCCAAAAATATAAGTTTGCGCTCTGACTCTATTAGGAAGTTGCAATATTACATTTCACAAAAATATCCAAGTACAAGATAAGAATTCCCTAATTGTTTCCCTAGCCAAAATTTGAAATTTCAAGCGCAGTATAAGTTTTGATAATAAAATAAGGTAAGGGCTACTTATATAATAGAGTTCATGAAATGTCATTCAAAGTCCTGTTTATTGCTTAAGCCTAGGTTGTGTACATTTAAAGGTTTCAGATTCTCAGGATAGTGGCTATGAAGATACTGTCTTCTGTGATGTGGCACCGAGAAGTCTCCTAGATCATTACCTGTGTTTCCTAGGTATGTCAGGAACAATCTACCAGGCTACAGTGTAATATCCCAGAAGGCAGTAATCTTTATATATGTTTTCTTTGTTCAAGGCAGTGCCTACTACTGTAGAGTTAATGAAAACACATTCCTATACGTATTTGACATGTTGTGCACTTTCATGCCCTTGTTTAGTTTATCCCCACTTAATTCTAATACACTCTGAATAAAATGTTTGCAGTTTAACATACTGTCACGTATTTATGGGTGTGACTAATAAATGGGTTTGGACTGGATAACTGGATTTATTGATCACTCCTTTACAATCACTCTTAATCACAATAGATTATGAGAACTCACAATAAATCTTCAGTTGAACACTTTTTCCTAGACTACCAAGGATTTGCTCCATTCTGATCCTGAATAGGTTCTGTCCTGTACTACTTATAGTCTCAAGATGGACCCATAGAAAACACGTCCGTTGCCTAGCACAGACGTCCTCTATTGTTGGCTGCATATTTGTTGTGTGTTTGTTTAGTGAGTTATTCCCTAGCAATGGGCCAACATGTCACAATATTAACTACAAGTTTATTGGATGCAATACTTACACGTACAGCAGATGGTGTTTTCTTGAGTTGAACTTTGCGTATGTCTTCTACAGTAATGGCCAAACGTGACATCTGTTTGGTGGACAGTGATGTTCCTGCCTTTTTTATAGTTTTCAATGTGGCCATTCCCTGACCAGGAACAGGTGGCAGTGGCGGTGGTGGTGGTGGTGGCGGCGGTGGTGGTGGTGGAAAATAACATGGAGGTGGTAATATTGATGTGTTCTTTAATGTCAGTAATTCAGCATTGGATTTGTCAATAATAATTTTAGTAGATAAAAGTTCCTTCAACTTCACAACCTCCTTCTCCACTGCACTAAGACGCTGTTCTAGTTTTGCATTGTGCATTTGGCAGGTACAGCATGATTCCTTCCCAAACTGGTCTCTTCTTGACATATAACATAACACTGATGTGTAACCCTGCACAGTAAATTCATAACCAAACTGTAAGAATGTTTAATAAATTGATGAATTATAAAACATGTACTACACAAGTGTTACACACAATGTTCAGCTTTTTGGAAATAGGCTGAAAGAATGTGGGCTCAGACTTTGTCTGATGACCTATGGGAGAAGTGTGAGCAATAAATATTTGCATAATTAAGATGTATAACTCTTCTTCAAAACATTTTCAATTTAATTTAAATTTAATAAGATAACAGAAAACTTAACATAATGCTTTCAAGTAACATGTTGAGAATCGTGGACTCAGCATGACGCGATAACGCATGCGTTGCCAGTGACATTACCCTGGAAATGTTACAGTGACAGCTCAGGTACTATTGCTTAGTAATGAGTAAACAGTTGTTGTTATGTAAGGTCTACAACAACAGAGGATTGGGTGCTAGCCAAGTGAAAGCTAGAAACAATTTGCTGCCTAGCAACGGCTGAGTAAACAACTGGTCCTAGGCAAAACCTGCAACAATACGGACAGTCACATGTTTTCTATAGGTGTGGAGGTGGGCTAGAATACCTCCATCGTGACCCTGCAAGTCGTAGGAGGCGACAAAAAGGGAAGTCTCAGATCTGAGATAGTAAAATATGGTCACGAGTCCCAAGGGACTTGGACCCAAGGAAGACTGTGCTGGCAAGGGCCAGCAGCATATACAAAAGACAGACCCGTCCTCTCGTCAGAGAGGGCGCCCCGCAATAACAAGACCGTAACTGTCAGAGTAATAAATATCTGGTCATGAACCCCAGACAGGGCTTGACACCAAGACTTACTGGCTGGCTGACTGTCAGTCACCATATGACTTGGACTTGGAAGTTCACAGTTACAGTTTGACAGTTCGAGAGCAGAGCAGTTCTACAGTATAGTGAGAGTTGTTAATACGAAAGGAGCTTGTTCAACATTTTGTGTTATGGTTACGCTGAACTGTAGTTATGGCGTTGAGTAATAAAGTGACGTCACAAGAATACACTCCTTGAGGTCTTGTTTCGCAACATAACATGTCAGTCCTAAATGATCAATAAAATATTTTCACATCAGTTTGTGTACCATTGTATGCATTAGGATTCAATATAATTTGGTAACTTCCATCAAATTACAACATTAACTAACATTTATTTACTTAATATTTATTCAGTTATATTAAATGATCACTAAAGCTTCAAATATTATTTAGTGTATGGGAACCACCCACAGTGAATTAAGAGCTAGCTACTCACAGGCTAGGAACCAGCCAATGCTAAGCAACGGCTGGGTCATGGCATGTGATTGGCTAGTGCTCGATTCAGTGCAACTAGGTTTAACCAAGCAACGACTGTTTACCCAGCCATTGCTTATCATTGGCTGCTTCCTAGCCTGTGATTGGCTAGCTCTCGATTCACTGTGGGTGATTCCCACAAGTCAATAAATTTCAGTAAGACTGCCATATAAAATTCATCTAAACCCAATAAGGAGTCAGGAGACGGAAATTGTAAGAGAAAGACAGCCAGACACATCGAGTATAAGACATTCTCAATTTATAACCTCAAGGAAATAACGGGGGGAGGTGAAATCTAATATACAAGGTAACTTAAATAATGTCACATGTATCAGTGACTAAAGACCACTTATAGGTCGTTACTACAATTAATTATTACACTATTGCTTATTTTCACACTACAAAGCACTTCACACTAATCTCTTCAGTCTATCTGCACCAGCCTTCAGGGATTTAGACAAGAGGCACTATAAAAGTCTCACTAAATCACACACTCTCAATATCACTGTGCTGCAGCACACATAAAGTTAAATCTTCACAGGCTGACTTCTTGTACTCTTCTGTACTCTCCAAGCTTACTACTTGCTTGCTGTATTCCTCCTGCTTACCACTATACTCCAGCCGCTTACTACTCACTGACTTACTCACTGCCTGCTTATTTGGAATATGCTCACTTATGAAGATGCAGCACAGACACAACTAACAGAAAACACATGTCACGTGATGCTACGTGCTCCTGTGTGATGTCACAGTGCATGCACCAGTTGTGCAAACAAAAAGATCACACATTTTACATAACCACTACCTACTGTTATGTGACATCACTGCAGACACAAAGAAAACACAGCTTCCCCTATTGTTGCGTGCGCATATTTCAGGCATGGCCTAGAGATGTCCTTCTATTGTTGCATGTTGGCTCATGTTTATGGAGCTGTGGCCTGGCAATGGGTATTCACGTTACACTGCTCCCTCCTTAAGGCTGGACATCCTGAATAGTCCAGCGGTGTATTACCGTTCCTTCTTTCTGTGGTCTTGGCTTGTGATGTCTCACCTTCCTTCCTCTTATTCGGATTTTTTCCTCCTCCCTCGGTGTTCATTCTCCAAGCACTACCACTGTTCCCTCCTTAAGGCCGCTCACCACGAGAGGCTCACTGCTAAGGTGCCAGTAGGTTCAGGTGTATCACCATTTGTTTCATAGTATTTCTTCCTTTTTCCAACCGGTGGGGGTAAAATTACCTAGATCAGCCAGTGCTCCCACAAATCTGGCTCTTCTTGTGCCAACACTATTAACAGGTTCTTCCGATTTGGTGGGGGGGCAATCCCTCCATACTGTCCAGTACCTGATTTGCCGCAACCTGCTGGAAATCCTGGCCGCTCGCTTCATGAACGCCAGTCCAAAAGCCTTCCTGTCGAACTCCTCTGATGTACTTTTGATCTTAAAATGCAGTTGCTGTCTTGTGCCAGGGTCCTTTATTCCCATTTTGCATTCTGGGCCTTTCTAGTGTCTCTTCTCCTTCTTTCATCCTTTCCGGGTTTTCTGTTCAACACTGTTTGACACAACCTGATGAAGTTTCCTTTGTGCCGTGCCCCTCCTACATGGCTGGTTATCTTTCTGCTGGCGGCAGCAAATTCCTTGCGTGCTCCACGATTCCCCCAGGTCTGTTCCTCTGGCTGACCAGAGTATGGCTTGTAGATCAAGTGCCTGTCTGAGGGCCTCGTTTACCATTTTATCCCCTCCTATCGGCAGTGCAACTTTTATTCCATGGTCTACTACCCTGTCAGCAAATGCTTTCCTTGTTTATCTCCTTATGTGGTCCTTGGGCAGAGTGGAGTATGCACGGTGGGCAAGCTATTCAACGGCCGTGGAAAAATCTTGCAGGCATTCCCCTGCCCGCTGTCTTACATACATTACAATATTTAGAACTAGGGTCAGGTATTTAAGAAGTACAAAAGCATCTACTTAGAATTTTATCAAAATAAAAAAAAGGTCATAAAAATTTGAGGATCCTAAATACTAATCAGGGATAAAAATCATATTTCATAAAATTTTAGAACAAGATGTCAATATTATTAATTCAGTTACTCAGTGACAGCAGCTTTCTTCATTTGTATCCATATTGTAACATGTTTTGCTACTGAAGACGCAGTTTTGATTGTTAATTGGTTTATTTAACAACCTATAAGTCGTAACTACAAATACTTATAACAATGTTGCGGGTTTAGACAATTTACAAACCCCACACAATAATCTCTTCAGTAGTCTTCACGTATTTACAACGCGGGAGCTATACAAGTGTCACTGAATTACACACTCCCAATACCTTCTCAGTTATCACCAACTATCACTGATTATCACATATAAACTCTTCTTAGGAATATCCTACATGAAATAAGAAAATGGAAGGCTAATCGGATTGGTCATATCTTATGCAGTAACTGCCCTCTAAAAGAAGTTATTGAAGGAAAGATAGAGGGGAGGATAGAAGTGACCAGAAGACGTAAGAAGATGCTGGATGACCTTGGGAACAGAAGAGGATATTCTCACTTGAAGGAGAAAGCTCTAGATCGCATCAAGTGGAGGAACTGTTTTGGAAGAGTGTGGACCTGTTGTCTGACAGATCACTCACTCATGAATGAAACTCTTCTTATCACACGTTCGGTTCTTCTTCTTCCATGACAGCTATACTTCATCCGATTTATGATGTCTTCTTCACGTTCACGATTCACTCACTACAACTGAACTCGGCGACTGCGAGACTTCCACTGACTTGAATGCTCCAAGTACTAACTGGGTTCGGTGACTGCTACATTTCAACTCACTCCTTATGCATTCCAGTCTCACTTATAAACCCTCAGTCGGACAGTGGAAAACCCACATCGCTTCACTGTTGCTGGGCAACGCTGCCAAGAGTTGTTTATTGCTGCGTAGCAACCAGCGTGCTTTGGCTCGGCTCACTTCAGCTCTACTCAGTATGGCACAGAAAAACACCGCTTTCCTTACTGTTGCATAACTTGGCAACCAACCACTTATCAAGGGTCTGTCTTCATGGTAACTCGTTCCATCTCCCATTGCCCAGCAACAGTCAGACATGTCACAACATAAACTGACAAATGGTCTGCTCTTTGAACCTTTAAAATCAGTCAATTAAACGTTAAGTTCATGACCAATTAAGAATTCAGATGCATACAAAATTACAGGTGGACATAATGTTGAATGACAGGAAGGCAGATACATGACATCTGTATTACACCACTGTAAGTAAAGCTATCCCTGTACCAGGCCGTGAAGGCCCATAGGGTTGTGAGACATTGAGGGTCCCACATTATCTAGATAATCGGCTCAAAGATGGCGGTAAAGTTGTCAGCCTTATGCACCGGCCGCGCTTTACTCCCCAGGAAAATTATTAAATTAATTCCTGGTACTCATTTCTGTTAGAGGCTGAGTAAACCCCAGGGCCTAGTGTGGCTGGAAGGATTAGGTCAACTGAAATAATACAATGACCTCATCGGGTCTTGAACCCACGACCTTCCGGCTTGTAGCATAGCCCCTCAACCAACTATGCTACCACATGCCCCCATTACACCACTTTGTGGCACTAAATAAGAATGTGAGATTCTGCAATGTTAACTTCTTGCAGTTGCAGAATATTCTGAACTACTGGGAAGAGATAGACTGAGTCCCATGGCATAAACATTTTCCACAATTATACGATACAAGGTTTTCAATGGCCACAGAACTTACCTTCCTAATACATTTCATTGTCAGTTCAAGCCAGCAGACTATCTTTGAGCAGATTGACATCCATAGCTCCAGTAATTTGGAAAGGGAGACAAAGGTTGGCCATTGAACACGTTTCTCAGAACCCAAAAGGCTCAGGGACAGCACTCTCCACATGGATGATTGAATGTAAGCCAAAGATTCCTTGCGATGATCAATCACCTTTCAATAAAAGAAGAATGCTATATAGGGATGAAGAAACAATCCACCATAACATTAGCATATTTCATTTCTGTATATAGATATGACTAGGATGGGATGGTATGGATTGGACAAATCTGGCTCAAGATAGGGACCAGTGGAGGGCTCTTGTGAACACGGTAATGAACCTTTGGGTTCCATAAAATGCTGGGAAATTCTTGAGTAGCGGCAGAATTGGTGGTTCCTCAAGAAGGGCTCAGCTCCATGAGTAAGTAAGTAAGTAAGTAAGTATATAGATATGGCTAAGAAACCAAGTGATTTAAAAAATAAAGACAAATTTAAATAAAAAGGATTCTCAGCAATAGCCAATATGACATGGAAGGAAACAATTTCAGAACCTAAGCATCTGATAAAACAAAATGTCACAAACAGAAATGTGAACAAGTCCAGTCATCACATCATGTTAATAAAATACGAATAAAACAAAATGGAAGCAGATGGTGATCATTTCAAACAGAATTGGCTGCAGTCACCTGAAGAATAACATGTGATCACATAAACTGATTAATATTTACAAAATTATACCATGCTTGCCAACATAATCCACACTGGCCTTAATTTCACAAATGGTCATATAAAAAATTATACATTTATTCAAACTAGAATATCTGTGTGTGTGACTCAAATGAATACCTTAAATTTGTAATAAAAAATCGAAATTTCGCGCCATTATCCTGTAAGTTGGTAAGCGTGCTACAAACAGCATGCAGAATGGCCTGTAGGTTGCAGCATAGTGCAGATGCACGAACACTGTCACAGCACCGGTATAAGATGACTGCCCCACTTGAGACTTGCACCAGGGAAGAACAGCATTCTGTTATTCGGTTATTGTGTAGTGAAGGTGTGAAACCTATTGAAATTTATTGAAGAATGAAGTTTCAGTATGGTGATGCATGTTTGTCACAGCAGCAAGTGTACGAATGGAGTAGGAAGTTCAGTGGAAGATGCTCCTCGTCCGGGTCAAGCACATCAAGTTGTGACTCCGGAGAACACTGCAGCAGTTGAAGCCATAGTGAGGGAAAACCGCCGAGAGACATTGAATGAAATTGCAGCAAGTTTAAACATTAGTCATGGTTCAGCACACCACATTGTGCACAGTTTCACAAAGTGTCTGCAAGATGGGTGCCACGGCAGCTGACTCCTGAATTGAAAGACCGATGTATTGATGCTTGTGAAGAACCTCTGTGGCGCTTTGAACGAGAAGGTGATGATTTCCTTGCAAGAATCGTTACTGGGGACGAAACCTGGGTTCACTTCCGCCAACTGGAAACGAAGAGAGCGAGCAAGGAATGTCGCCATTCCTCATCTCCAAAACTGAATAAGTTTTCAACACAACCATCAGCAGGGAAGGTTATGCTCTCTTTTGGGACAAAAAAGGTGTCATCTTGGAGCATTACATGCCTAGAGAGACCACTGTCACCAGTGCATCATACTCAGATCTCCTAAAATATCATCTTTGGCCTTCCATCAAATCAAAGTGATGTGGATTGCTGTCCACAGGTATCCTTTTGCAACATGACAATGCAAGGCCCCATACTGCCCATACAACAGTTGCGACAATCAATGACCTGCATTTTGAGTGTCTTCCTCATCTGGCATACTCCCCAGACCTTGCCCCAAGTGATTTCCATATGTTTGGACCACTCAAAGAAGCAATGGGAGGAAAGACGTTCTGTTCTGATGGAGGGTACGCCACATGGTGCATGAGTGGTTGCGCGGGCTACCAAAAGAATTTTTTTCTAAAGGAATTCATGCACTTTTTAAGCACTGGAGGACTTGCAATGAGCATGGGGGAGATTATGTTGAAAAGTGATACAGCTTTTTACCACTTGTGCACAATAAATACTCAAAAAAATATTTAAGGTTTTCATTTGACTCGCCTATGTGTGTGTGTGTGTGTGTGTAAAACTGTCTTTATGCTTAATTAATTAAGCACCATGCCACAAAGATGTGGGGTTGGAAATATAAATCCACCATTCTCAACCTCAGAAGAAGATGGAGCTGAGTGCTCAGCCTCATGTTCCAGTCACTTTTCCTCCAGAAAAGAGCCTCAGCTACCAGCTTCTCATAGCAACAGTTCTCAATGACTGAACCCCAGAGGTTATCTGACTCATGGCTCCTAACCTGTCCTGCATATAACATCTCGGTATGTACCACGTAAAAAGAAATGTTCCTCTGTTGCATAGCGATGGCATGACATATTCCATTGTTGTGGAAGAAGTATATTACTGCACCAGCTCACAAAAAGGGCGATAAAATTGACTGTAGTAATTATCAGGGGATAAGACTGCTATCAACTTCATACAAAATTTTATCCAATATTTATCTCACAAGGTTTAGTCCATACATAGATGAAATTATTGGGGTTCATCAGTGTGGGTTCCAATGTAACAGATCGACTACTGATCAGATCTTCTGCATTCATCAGATACTAGAGAAAAAATGGGAGTATAATGAGACAGTACTTCAGCTATTTGTAGAATTCAAGGAAGCCTATGATTCAGTTAGGTTGGAAGTATTGTACAACATTCAGAAGAGTTTGGGGTACCCATGAAACCAGTTAGACTGATTAAAATGTGTTTAAATGAAACATAAGGTAATGTCTGCATAGGTAAACATTTGTCTGATAATTTCACTATCCAGAATGGTCTAAAACAAGGAGATGCTTTACTGCCACTCTTTTTCAACTTCGCATTAGAATATGCCATTAGGAAGGACCAGGAAAACTAGGTGGGACTAAAAGTAAATGGGACACATCAGCTGTTGGTCTATGCTGATGATGTGAATCTACTGGGTGATAATATAAATACCATAAAGAGAAACACACAGACTTTAACTGATGCTAGTAAGAAGGCTGGTCTAGAAGTAAACACAAAGACAACTAAGTATATGTTGCTATCTTGTCACCAAAATGCAGGGCAAAATCAAGAAACAGAAATAGGTAACAGGTGTTCTGAAAATGTGGCACAGTTCAAATATTTGGGAACAACAATAACAAATCAAAACCTGGTTCACAAGGAAATTAAGAGGAGATTAAACTTGGATAATTTTATGCTCATGGGCTGAAAATAGTTTCACAATAACTAAGAAGACTTCTGAAAAAACAATCACCGCTATTGTTTAATTTAAAGTAAAAACTGACACATATTTCCATCAGTCAAAGTTAGTAATGAAAAATATTTTAGCAACTGGATAACATCTACTGCAAGAAAGAACAAATATTTCAAAGATTTAAGTAAGATGTTGCAAACTATGTTTGGCGCTGTGACAGCATATCTGTGGTAAACAGTGACAATAGCAGCAAATGCATCGATATTTTATCTAAATTTTACCTGCAGAGAAGAAGAACTGCTACTGATCACTGTGCTGCTGATTTGGTTAACAAGTTCTTCTTTCCCAGATAAAATGACTGACGAAGGTGCAGACTGGATGAGTGTTTCGGCATTAGAGTTGCTGCCATCTCCATCAAGCTTAAATGAAAAACTTATTTTTTTATATTTGTAACTAAATCTCAATACTGTAATATTATTAATACATACTGCCACATAATTGAGTGACTATATACAGGGTTTGGATTGGTAATTGGATTTACTTTGTTCTTACAGATTGTGATTCACTCAGTCACTCACTCATGGAGATGAGCCCTTCTTGAGAAGCCACCAATTGTGCAGCTACTCAAGGATTTCTCAGCATTTTATGGAACCCGAAGGTTCATTACCGTGTTAACCTCCACTGGTCCCTATCCTGAGCCGGATCAATCCAATCCATACTATCCCATCCTATCTAAGATCCATTTTAATATTGTCCACCCACCTATGCCTTGGTCTTTCCAGTGGTCGAGATTACAAGTAATTATAACTGTTTCGCTAATTCACATACTTTGAAGTTTACTAGAGCTCACACTTAATTCTTCTCAAGTCTTCTGGTAACAGCTACCAACAGTGGACATTCCCCTTCCTCTGGGTCCCCAAACCGTACACAGTCTCAGCTACAGCAACTCTAGACTGAGAGACTGAGTGATTCACCAACCAACTACTATTCTTCACTTCACTCAACTCAACTGACTAACTGCAGCTCCCAACTTGATCTGCTTATAACATCTCGGCACAGACCACACAGAAAACACCGTTCCTCATTGTTTTTGTTCAATTGCTGCCATGATAACATGTTTGTTTGCAAAGCCGTTACTCAATAACAGCTGTTGTACATTTGCTTATCTCATGGTAACTGCCCAGCAACAGGTCTACATGCCACAATATTAATATCTCACATCTTAGACATGCAAATAAGTACTCTGGCTTTATTCCTAAGGTCAGACTTCCATACAAAGGTCCTTTTAGACCAATAATGAAACATGGCTCTTGATCAGGGACTAGAATTTCAGTGACTATTGAAGTTCAAGAATTTAAAGCTAAACTATCTCCTTTTTAGTTAAGCATATTTTATAGGGTATAGAGACTGGTTATGGGTTGGACGACCGAGGGGTCAGAGTTTGAGGCCCAGTAGGGTTAAGAATTTTCACTTCTCCACGTTGTCCGGACTAGCTCTGGGATTCATCCACCCTCCTATTTAATGGGTATGGGGGCTCTTTCCCCAGGGCTAAAGGGGACCATTCACCTCCAGTTAGTATCAAGGTCAAGTAAATGTGGATCTATATATCCACTCCCCCATATGCCTTCATGACGTAGTGCTTAATTAATTAAGCACAGGAACAACTTTACCTTTACCATATTTTATAGGAGTAAACTTCAAAGACAATGAAAACAATTTAACACAAATGAACCGTCATAAGATTTTAGGCTGACACAGCAGTGGCTGGAGTGGATGGTGCCAACAGTGTAGGTTGAGGCATGGGAGTCAGATTACAATAAGTGACTTAACTGAGACTAAAGTGTTTATTATAAAGGTTAATCATCTCTGTCCAGTGTGACCGATAAAATGTTTCTTCTTTCTCTCCTTTTAATCTTTCATCCTTGACACGTTTCAGTCTTAGAGACCATCTTCAGATGGCTATAACAATACAGGCAGAAACTACTATTACAATGTGTGAGGCCAATATCAATACATACATACAATTTCATCACAATGTCATGAATATAAAATCTAATCGTTTAACAACTACAGTCATGCGCTGTGTTGTTATACTGTAGAAATCTAACAACAAGATATAAAGAACACATAAGAAACATAGAGCAGATGAAGATGGTCTCTAAGACTGAAACATGTCAAGGATGAAAGATTAAAAAGGAGAGAAAGAAGAAACATTTTACTGGTCACACTAGATGGAGTTGATTAACATTTTATAACATTACTAGTGTGAAGGGCCAGGATGAACCAAATCAAACTAAAGTGTTTGTTTCTTCGAAATAATGATATCACACAAATTCTTGGTTCTATATTAAACAGGATTAGATTTTGGCAAAATGTTTTAGCTGCAATTTAACATACTAAAGAATTTGTTTGCTTGATTTTAGATCTGGAGAGAAGTGCACTAGCAGTGAACCTACTAGACAACAGCAAAACTACACACAGACTGAAGAGATACACCATCCTCACTCTGCCTGACAGACCTGAGTGAATCCCCAATACAAGAATTAAAATGATATCTAAGTGAACAAAAAAAAAAAAAGTTGTGAGTTACACCACTGGGTATAACTTATTCACAAGTCAGTATTTATTGAACATATATACTTACTGCAGATTATGCATAATAAATGTCTGAAAATGAAATATCTGAAGAGTAGCAGAGTTATTCATTTGGTAGGACTCCTTGCGCGGGTGATCAGCTCGTCGCAAGGCCTCTACCTGTACACAAACACAGAAAAACGCACACCAAACATCCATGCCATGAGTGAGATTCGAACCCACGATCCCGGCTTCCGAGGGAGTGAAGACAGTACATGCAAAGAAATGATTACTAGTATAAAAATATCAACGTAGAGACATTCAGAAAACTGTTGAATGTATGGATGTATAAGGGGTGGGCCTTCTAGGCCCTTGCACCGCGACCTACAGTGATCTTGTGCCGTAATTTATTTAAGGAGTTACATATACTGCCACTTCAATCTCAATATATATTTTCCTTACTTATGCTGGTTGTCAATAATAGAGATTTCTATATAACAAACTCTGATGTCCACACCAATAATACCAGATTTAATCATGACTTGCATCTTCCGGTGGTAAACTTAACGATATTTCAGAAAGGTGGACGGCATTCTGGTATCAAACTTTATAACCACCTCCCTCCAGAGCTTAAACGATTATCTTACGACATCCCTGGATTTAAAGTGACGTTAAATAAGTTTCTTATCACCAATTCCTTTTACACTGTTGAAGAGTACTACTGCTGGAATAAAGATTGATTCCTCATGTATATTTAAATAAATGCTGTTGCCTATTGCTAGGATTCAACGGACTATGGAATAAAATACACAGGAAAAAGGTACTATTACTGTTGTGATATAGGTGTATTATATATTAAGAAATTAGATTTTATATGACTATATTAAGAGTCTTGGTGATCTCTTGATCATATATGTAACTTTATATGTTATTTTGATATATGGAACGTACTGTTGTACAGTAGTCTTGTTGTATTGAGTATTTAAAATTTTGACAATGATGACTATCTGATTATGTATGTATATTCATATGCCATATTGTATTACTGACTTGTTCTATATCTGAGGCAGACGCCTCCATGGATTTTGTAGAACTGTAAATAAATGAATGAATTGTGCTTCAGAAAACTGTTACAGGCCACAAAGGCACATGCCTCTACTGTAAGATACAATGTCCTTCACCTAATAAGGCAATAAGAGCTATTATAATCTTCGGTAGGAATATGTTACACTGCACAATGACTAAATAGAAAGCCTAAGACACATTAAGGGCAATGAACTTAACCTTCTCAATATTACTGTTGTAATGTTTGTACAAAAGTTGTGTGATGTGGCTAGGTAATAGATATAAACCATACAGTTTCGTATTAAATATTTATGGGGATGAAGATTACTGTTTTCTGGGATGTGATACCACGTAGTCTGGTAGATAATTACAAACATTTTGGAGGAATGTGCTGCTTCCACATTCAGAGGATATTTTTTTCTGAAACATTGGTAATAATTTAACAGATTACATGGCATCACATCTCAGAAGATAGTATCTTCAATCACTGTTACAAGAATCTCAGATCTCACTTATAGAAGCTCAGATCAAGTTTCATAATTTCTCATCATTCTTCCTACCATTGGGTCTAGTTGATCTGTTGTGGTTACAAGCACAGTAGACTCCCAGTTACCCAGGGTAGTAGGAAAATGAATTTCCCCATACGGTTGCAAACCCCAGGTAATCTGTAAAAGGAATAGGTAACTAACTTTTGAGTTGGGATTTGCAAGATGACAAATATATTAATAAGTTTATTTCACTTGAACACTACTGGTAGAAACATGAGTGCAGTTCCTGAAAAGCTCCTGTACCACTTATATATGTGTAGATGAAAATCCAAACAAAGAAACCCTCGAGTTTCCAAGTACACATTCAAACATGAAATGAAACCACCTTCATTTGGTACTTGTTCTTTTTTAAAATATACTTTCACATGAAGTTCATCTTTTGACATTTGACACAGCAGTAACTTTTCTAAAATATATTTATCTATTAACAGATACTCAATACTGGGTGAAAAATTATCTTGTGTCATGTTTATTGTGTATCAGTATTTTACATTTCTATTCAAATATAGACACTCAATGAATGGTTGTGCTGCCCATCTACGAGTATGAATGACTGCAGCTATAAAAGATGATATTATGATCAGACATATTACATAATACACACTGGAAACCACAAAGAAAAAAAGGAATAGTGCGAACTAATCAGCTCTTTACTTTAGCTTCTGGTACACTGAAATCAAGAAATGAAGTTCCATTAGGCTGCACCAGTATCAAGTTGCCTGTTTAGAATGAACTGTGTAAAACAATAAAATCACTGGTAAAAGAGATGGAAAATAATTTACCTTAGCCTGACATTTCTTAAGCTGATATTCAATATGCAGAACATGTGTACATTTAAAAACTGCAATTATATTGAGCAACATACCTTTTGTAAGCTCTTGTTTTGTGCATCCGTAGATAAAAATGACTTAAATAAATTTGCGTTATTGTCCTTCGATCGTAACTGAGGTGTCACAAGACAGTGTTCTGGACTTGTTGCAGGAATGTGTATGGTCACTCTGTTTTCAGGAGGTGTAACAGATTTAGTTGGTGTCATGTACAAATTTGCTTCCTGTGAAGATAATAAGCAATCTGGCAAAAGTTCTGATGACTCTTTTGCTGTTTGAGACAATATTCCTGATATGCTCTTTGTACGTTTTTTTGGCCTCAGTACTGGAGGTGAATCTTCTGTTTCAGAATACTTTTCACTTGTAAAGGAATTATTCAAGGCTGAATTGTGCCTTGTTCGCTTGTTGCTAGGCATTAACACAGGTGGTGTTTCCATTATCTGTTGAGCAGATGAGCATAAAGATTCAGTAGAACTTTCAACACTCTTAGCTTTTTTAACAGGTTGACATATAACAGAAGTGTCCTCTGAACATACAGTCACTTCATCACGACTTCTTTTAGCTTTTGGTACATTTTCTGTCGTTGGAGGTGGGAGCAGTATCTCCTCTGCTGCAATAAGCCATGATGTCAAGCAGGAGGTTGATGAATTCCTTTTAGGCCATTTGACATCTTTCTTTCCAGATCGATTCAGGCTGCAAGTTCTACTTCGTTTGTTTGCTCTTTTAACCGATGATAATTCATTTTTCCTGTTTTCCAAAGGGTTCATGTTAGTAAGTGTGACTTTTTCCATATGTTCTTTTCCTTCACTCTCAGTGTTTGGTATTATATCAATGTTAGGTAACTGTTTATTATTATTGTCTGAAGTACTGGTTGTCACATCAGATGACTGGGAAGATTCTGCATTAAATATGTCAGCCTCTGAACATCTTACATTTATTGGCGATTCCAAGTCTTCAGACATATTTTCCTTCTTTTTTATTCTTTCCATCAAATTCAGCATTTTCTGCCTTTTTGTATGTTTCTTCCTTGGACGATTTGCCCTCCTCCTTCCTGCCATTGTCACTGTGCCTAGAATGGAATACATTAAAATAAATTCTTAAGTAGATGATATATAATTTATTTTTGTAACCAGATAATCTGCGCAGCATAATATACACATATATGAAACAAACATTTGTAACAAATCTTTTATCAGAACTTATTGAGGGTGTTTGAGAACAGGGTGTTGAGGAGAATATTTGGACTGAAGAGAGATGAACTGACAGGAGAAAACTGCATAATGAGGAGCTTCATAACTTGTATTCTTCTCCAAGTATAATTGCAATGATCAAGTCAAGGAGGATGAGATGGGCAGGGCATGTAGCAAAAATGGGGGCGAGGAAGAATCCATATAGGATATTGGTGGGAAAGCTGGAAGGAAGGAGACCACTGGAAAGACCAAGACGTAGGGGGTGGACAATATTAAAATGGATCTTAGAGAGAGAGGATGGTATGGCATGGACTGGATTGATCTGGCTAAGGATAGGGACCAGTGGAAGGCTCTTGTGAACACAGTAATGAACCTTCAAGTTCCATAAAATGCTGGGAAGTTCTTGAGTAGCTGCACAATCGGCGGCTTCTCAAGAAGGGCTCAGCTCTATAAAGTTAGTTAGTTACTTAGTTATCAGAACTGATCTCTACAAAATAAATAGATTTAGACACTGCACATTTTCTCCTGTATGAGCCTGACCTACAGTATCACACATCATAGTCTTTAGGATTTTGCAGCTGGAGCTTAACATGCAGCTTTGGCTTTGGGGACTAGAATCCAACAAACGTCAAAGGTTTCCTAGCACTCTGACAAACCTTGTAGTTGCCATCGTCTGGGTTAATAACTGGTGCAGGGTGTTGGCAGCTCTTATATTGCTCTTCCATTAGGCAGTGTGTCAGAGGTGAAGATGTGATTGGATGAACAAAGGAGCAGGTTGCTAATCAACAGGAAGCAGGTATACTCCTAGCAAATAGAGGTAATGGAAAATATTTTGGAGTTTGGGCACTCTTGAAAAGAGATAAAGATAAATGTTTCAGCAAACAAGGAAAGATATGATGAAAATATATTGTGGCGACCAGGTGGTCCTGATGTATTCCAAAATCCTGGTGCATATATGGTGGCCTGTGAGGCTGATATACAACTTGCCACATGAGCTGGGGATCTTGTAAATTCTATATTTTTAATTTGGCAGCTATCTGTCCATGGTGGATCTTCATCATGATGCCAGAATGTTAAACAGTTTCTGGGATATATGAATTCCTCTTTTCTCCAACAGACTGGAGATATACCCAATGGTGCCTTGGTTGCATAGTAAGCAAGCTATTTTGTCTCTCTTGCAGTTTTTGATGGCAAATCTGGCCTTGGTTGCTCTGCTGAGGTTCTAGACCAAGGGTCTCCAAACTATGGCCCGCGATGTGATTTTATCCGGCCCCCCGAAAGAATTGTGCAGAAATGCGCCAATTGAACTAATTTTCCAGTATGTACTGGTAAATGTGATCCCGAGCTTATTGACCTGATATATTATACTGCAGTTCGATGGCTTAGCTGTGGACAGGTTCTTTCACGCTTCTTTCAGCTCAGGAATGAAATTGATATATTTCTTATTGAGAAAAAAATCAGGAACCACTTTTATCAGATACCGAGTGACTTTGGAAATTAGCATTTTTTGCTGATCTGGTGAACCATATGAACCATGTGAATTTAAATTTGCAGGATGAAAATAACTCAGTCTGTGATTTATTTGCACTTATCAAGGCATTCAGAGCAAAGTTGATACTTCTGGAAAGCCAAGTGAAAAATTGTAACTTTGTTCAAATGCTATACTGTGCAGAGTTGCATAAAAAGGGTGAAGCAGAATTTCCTTCCTTGTTTGCAAATTTAGTCATTTCAGGTCTGAAAGAACAATTTTGGAAGCGACTTGCTGATTTGGATTCCAGTGCTCAGGAAATTAGATTGTTTCAAAATCTGTTTGACTGTGATGCTGCAGATGTCCCAAGTCAAATTCAAATGGAAATTATTGAACTTCAGGAAAATTATCATATTAAAGACAAATACAAGGAAGGAAATTTGATCAAATTTTATAAATTTCTGAACTCTGAGCAGTTTCCAAATTTAAAGAAATCTGCTTGTAAATTTATCTCCATTTTTGGGACGAAATATCTGTGTGAACAAACTTTTCCCTAGATGAAGTACATCAAGTCGAAATACGGGGCAAATTTATCCGATGAACATTTAAAGTCGCTACTTGTGATTAGCGTTTCAAAATTTGAACCTCAATTTAATCAGATTTTAAGAATGCAAAAAGAGTTCCAACATTCACATTGTTTTATTATAATTTGTGATGAAAATATGAGCATTTGCTGCTACTGTCTGTTGTCATTAATATACGGTAATTTATTCTCATGTCCTTTATGTTTAGTTTATGAAATTCTGTGAAATTAATTTCTCATTTTATCCGGCCTGTTGAAAGTGCTGAATTGCCTAATGTGGCCCATGGTTCGAAAAGTTTGGAGACCCCTGTTCTAGACGAACAACTAGGGCCAGATCCACCAATAAAAACAACAAGATAGACCACACAGCATACCTAGCACACATTCACAGCACCACTGACCACATCTAAGGCTGCTGCAGAAGGAATGAATTCACATAATCCAAAACTCATTTTTAAAAAATGGCATCCTGCCTCTGGTTTGCCATTGGCAGACAACCCAACTAAAAATTTCTGAGTTTACAAGAACCCTGAATCACGTAGCAAGACATAGCCACCAGGACTTTGGAGCATGTCAGAAACACTAGACTGGAGAACCAATGATCAGCGGTAGGTGAACCATTTGACTTTGACCAAACAGAGGTCACAGCCAATATCAAGACCTACCATACCAGACGTTACGGAAACCACCAAAATAACAGAACATTCCCATAACTTCATCCATGAAGATACAGAACGAGTAAAACTTGGTTTGCCTCTTCTCTCCCCCAAAATCCATCAGTGAACAATCTCTGCCCAACATTCACTGAACTTCCTTTCATATCCATGCAGGGAGAAAGAAGGGGTGGGGGACAAAAGATATTCCATCATTTCCTAAACATGACATTATTGAAACTTTCTTTTATCCCCACCTCGTCTCAGGATCACCCAGTCGCCAAAATATTTTTTCATTGCCTGTTTTCACTGTCACATGGTTGCTGATACATTTTTCTTTTCAAGCTCATCTCATCTCTAAAACTTCTTCCATCATGTCTTTCCACTAATCACATGATTGATCTCTATTGGCTTGAATCCAAATCCTTTGTTGACCAAATCACAGCTTCACCTCTAACACTGCCTAAAGGGGGAGCTATATATATGCTGACGGCCCCTCCTCCAAAGTTACTAAGCCTGACAATGGTAACTGCAAGATTTGTCAAAATGTTGGAAAACCTTCAACATTCAACACTGCCTAGTCCTGAAAGCAGATGCCACACAACAATGATATTTCTCGCCCGGACTTTGGAAATGAAATACATCTGATTGGTAAAGCCTAATTCAAGGAAACCGATATTTCTTATTTAGGTCCCTGCTGCCGCTAACGTTATTTTCAAGTGCTTAAAACTTCCTCAGCGAAGTCCTCTGCCATGATGTCAGACTTGGTCGTAATAGGTGCAACATGTTGAAGTGTATAAAGAACGAACAAACGAACGAACGAAGAAACAAGCAGACACACTTTTCGACATCGATATACTAGGAAACAAACCGTGTTTTGTGGGAATAAAATGTGAATATGACTTAAATGTTACTTAACGTACAGCAGAACGAACACTGATTCAAACGTGAACGTACCGGCTTCCTCACAAATTCAAACTGATCATGGTCACGTCATTGTGAAGAAATATATCTAGAGCTGGTTAGATCACCAGCCAAAATAGTTTGAAGTTCCCTCCATATTACAAATTATCTAACCTTCATATTCACAAAATTGTTTCAGTATTTCCAAGACAAAATTAATTACAGAACCGGTGCATAAACAATTAACATATTCAAATAATAAACACGTTTCGTCGTTAATAATTACGTAAGTTATATTAATAAACTGAAGCTCTCATACATTTACATCATATTCGCTTCCCACGCCGGAACTCCTGTAGTACAAAATCAACCAACGTTTAAATTCAACCAATAGGATGAAATTGTAAACAAATGAACATCTTAATCAAAGACAGTAATTTTAAAGATATCCCAATAATCTGAGCTCTTGTAACAATTTAGAATGTTCATAACATTTATAACTAAATAGCGCATGTCAATTAAAACCTGAGTGCCGTATAAGATAAACAATCTTACAGGTGTTTCCTTTTATTTACGTCTACTCTGCAGTTTGTCCACAATATTGATGAAATGATAGTGAAAACTATAATGTTTACGCAGATCTTTGGCTAATGCACACTGCCGTACACTGCCATCTGGAATGTTTTGTGCATAACAGATTGTTTAAAATTTTGAAATTGAGTTCTAGGTTTCAAGTCTGAGAATGCTGTGAACACGTATTATAGCTAGATCTGAATATAATAATATATATTCACAAAGTAAACAACATATATAATTAAATGAATGGACTTACACGCAAGACTGCATAGAAAATACGAGCCTTCGTAACCTAGGAATGGCCATGAACGCAGAATACATGTACCAAGGAAAGGAATCATTCAGTATCAGTCGTATGGTGATGTACAGGATCAGTAAATAATAAAATAATGATAACAGTGTTTTAAAGTAGATAGTAGAGGTTAACGTGATCCGAACTGGATACCGCCAGAAAACAGCCAGACATTTTGTCTTGGCTTCATCCTATTCAGCAGCTGACGCAATATTGTTGCATAATATGTAGCAATTACGATTTGCAAGTTCCAAATGTGTATGCCTTTTGCAACTTTGAAACTTATATAACAAATGTGTCAACATAATGACAGTTTTGAAAGTCAACAAAGGAGTGAAGTTAGTCTAATGAAAGTTCATGTCGCCTACACTGTAAATACAAATTTTTTTAAAAATTGGAGCATGGAATTTATTATTTTGAGAATGTTAGTCAAAATTAAAACACACAATCTGTCCAAAGCCAATCCTATATATGTACATATTGATAGAAGCATTTCATGAATTTGAACGTTTATGATGTGCAACCAGTATGTGTACAGTGCAACACAAAATACCTTAAATTGAAGCATAAAAACACGTCCTAAGAACAAGCTACTCAACAGTAGACCTTACAACTTTCTGTATTTAGATAGGTAATACACATTCACATATGCAAGAGCTCTGCATGTAGCACATTTAGACTAGGCAGATAATACTGTACAGAAAATTCATTTTACATTAGGATTTATATTTAAACCCTTCATTACAGTCTAGTAATTCTATATAAATTCATTCACAGTACAAACTAAGAACCCAGACAACTGAGTTGGTATAGCAACCAGGCTATACTGTCTACTCAACAGTAGACCTTACAACTTTCTGTATTTAGATAGGTAGTACACATTCACATATGCAAGAGCTCTGCATATAGCACATTTAGACTAGGGAGATAATACTGTACAGAAAATTCAGAATTACATTAGGATTTATATTTAAACCCTTCATTACAGTCTAGTAATTCTATATAAATTCATTCACAGTACAAACTAAGAACCCAGACAACTGAGTTGGTATAGCAACCAGGCTAAGGGTTTGATTCCCTGCAGAGGCAGGCAAATTTTTTTTCTCTTGACCGTAGTGTCCAGATCAATTCTGGAGCCCATCCAGCCTTCTTTGTAATGGTATCAGGGAATAAAAGGGCCAGACATGAAACTGACCACTCATCTCCCTCTAGTGCCAAGGTTAAGTATGGAGCTATTCCTCTGCTCCCTGATACATCTTCATGGCTTAGTGCTTAATTGATTGAACACAGGGATACTTAACAGCAGCAAGTGTGAATTTTAATACTACTTTAAGAATACTGTCTTCTAGGATGTAATGCTGGGTGGTCAGGTATGTGCTATTACAATACAGAAAATGGTACTCTTCACACTCACCACTGAAAGAATCTGAAATCAAGCCTATTCTAAGTTGTTTTCTATTTAAGGAATACCACTTTTGAGGGGGAGCTTATGCTACATTTTTATCTCAGCATTGTACACTCTTTAATAAGACTGTAATATTAGCAACTGATGTGTGAAGATCAAATTTGTGTCCTGAATTACTTCATGAACTCCTGAGTTTCTTGAGTTTGAGTAACAGTCTCCATGTTATCCAGACTGGCCTCCTATCTAATGGATCCTGGGGGTAAAGCTGACCACTCATGTCCAACTAGTGCCAAAGTTAATAATATGTGAATCTACAAATCCACTCCTCATATGTATAAATGGTGTAGTTCTTAATCAGTTAAGCACAGGGATTTTACCATTTACTACTTAGTTTATCTGAAACATTTGTGTGTTGTCAAAGCCAGTAAGTATTCAGTGGTAAGGGACAGTGTGTGGAATTTCATAAGCGAGTTTCCCCATGACACTCTTGTTATGTTTTTAAAGAGCAACAGTATTTTGGCCATGGAAAGGTAGCATTCCCATGTTACAATGCACATACTGAACTGTGAATTTCTTCATTATATATTACAGAAATTTAAATTAAAATAATAAGTTATAACTTACAAAGACATGTCTTAGGTGTAATTATTCTCATAACTTGAAAAGAAATGTCTTGAATGTAATGAAACTTTATATTTAATGTGGAAGTGGTATTTTTCAAACTTTTACATAATGTGCAGTATTTGAGGTTTTCACAGCTGTAGTTGTGAAGAGTTCTGTCTTCTGGGATATAATGCCATGTAGTCTGTTGAAAGTCAACTGACATTTTAGGGGAACATGTTGCCTTCATCTTTGACCCTGAAGATGGAGGTGACATGTCCTTCTGAATTGCTGGTTGACTTTCAGCAGAGTACATGGCATTATAGTCCAGAAGATGTCTTAACTACACAGCGTTTTCTTCCTGCTGCACTATGGCCCTGGGGTTGACTCAGCCTCGAACAGAAATGAGGACCAGGAATCTTCCTGGTGGGTAAATGGCGGCTGGCGTGCAAGTCTGACAGCTTCACTGCCATCTGTAAGCGAACTATCTAGAAAATGTGGGAGCCTTGACCTCACACAACCCTATGGGCCTTGACAGCCTGTTAGGGATTCTGTTACTTTTTTTTTTTTTAAATTATGCTTTACCAGGACTGCCTATGTGGTCTATTGGTCAGAGGTCCTGGGTTCGATTCCCGGTGCTACCAGATTTTCTGAGAAATAATGGGTCTGGAACGGGGTCCACTCAACCTTGTGAGGATAACTGGGGAGCTATTTCAAGGAAATAGCGGGTCCAGTCTAGAAAACGGAGATTAATGGCTTTGGGGATCCATTGCGCTGACTGCGTGACACCCTCTATCCGCAAGAGTTGGCACTAACTTCGCCAACAAGTAGTGGTTGTTCAGTCAGTATAGTTCGCTTATGGACTACAGGCCACGGAGTAATGCTTTATCAACAACACTGTGACTGTATGTCGTATAGTAGTGCTGGTTCAATTATCTCTGAATCCATCCATTCATTTCCTTTATTTTCCATATATCCATGCAGGTAAAAAACCTAGGATGTGGAAATAGCCCCTTTGGTAATAGATGTAGATAACAGATAACAGTTTGCAGGGCATGGATATGGCTATTGGAGGATCTTCAAATCTGGCCTATTTAATTGTAGTAGGTATTGTTATTTGTTACTTCTTTTCACAATACTACTCACGCTTTTATTTATTCCTTTAATTTGCATGCCTGTACTTATGTTACAAATATGAATGTGAATGCATATGGCAAGAATGGGGTAGATGAGCTGCTACAGAGAAACACAGATGGTGTCCACAGTATTAGGTCAGGACTATTTAATTAGTATGTTGAGTGGACCAACTTCATAAGGTTCACACTTTGGGTAAGCCAATGCCTGTTGTTCTTGATTTTTGTTACACCAATACAGTACTTGGTAAAATCAGACTTAAAATCAGTTTCTATTATCTGTATACAGGAATATTGAATATTTCATTGAAGAAACTGAATAAAGATTCATCATGATACTTTCTTTCTGTCAACACTTGAGTCAGTGGACTGGGTCTCATAGGCAAGATTTGGCCCAGAGTCTGCTAACTGAATAGCCCTTGGCTAGATCATTCTATGAAAACAAATTTATGAAGTACACATGCATTTTCTGAAGCATTCAAAAAATGAGACATGAAAGAAATTAAAAACAATTATAACAACCATACTTTACAAAATTTGAAGTTCTCACGGCAGTTACTCTGAAGAATATTATCTTCTGGGACATGATGCCAAGTAGTTGTGCAGAAATTTATCAACATTTCAAAGGCACATATGTTTCCACCTTCAGGGTCAAAGAGCAAGCCAGGTCGAAGTTGCTGTGCTTGGTCTTGGGCCCTCAATATTGAGGCAGTCTAAGTGTCACATCTTAGAAAAAGTACCCTTCAACCTTATTTCCATTTTCTCCCCATGTTATCCTAAGGCACCTTCATCCGGTTGGCTCGTCATATTTTAGTTGTATTTGGTAGGTATCTAGTTCAAATCTCAGCACAATCATGATTTTACAGGTCACAATAGCTTCCTGCTCTAATCCAAGTTCATGTAATCTTATATGATTCAAAATAACCACTGAAGTTGATACAATATATGTAATTAGCTAAGGATCAACCAGTTCTTTTGTAGGCCACATGACCATTAACAACTGCTTGCTGACATATGTGTACTTTCAAAGCCACTGTTCCAAGTGAGTGAGTAGCACCATTCTTGACTGTTATGAACAAAACCAGAACTGTATAATAAAACTGTCATTGCCTTATTCTTATATACTCTTATATTAAAGCTGTGTGGTAGCATCAGCTGCATGTTCATTGTTTTTCTTACAGATATATTCACTCAAGTTTATGTCTGAAATTGATTTTTGAAAATGGGACTTTCAGGCACATCATCTCTTTGCCACTCTTTTATATGACATGCTTGTGCTGTTTTGATTCATGGAAAATAACCCTCTACACATATTTAACATGACATATGAAGGCAAGAAAGATAAAAGCTATACAGGTGTGAAGGTTGCTTTTGGAACTTTTTTCCCCTGTCCGAAACAGGTCCACGTAATGTAAACCACATGGGTGAGAAGAATTATGTGTACCCTGTATAGAAAGTTCTGAAGGGAATGGTAAGAAGCATTTCCAGAATCATATTTAATTTCATCATGCATGTTGTTTTGATTTATTGCTACTCCCAAGCTTAAAATGAAGAATGGTTTCTCAATATGAGCACAGACAGTAATCACAGCCTTGCAAAGTGCACATACAAAATCGTGTATTTTTTCTGGTATTTCACTAAAATCTGTTTCCTTAGCAGCTTGTTGCTAGATGAACTAACACTACCAACAAACTGTTTACTGTTATATGTTTTGGGGGGGAGAGTAAGGCTTGATCATGCTGAAGGCCAGTGGTGCAAAGTCTACAAAGGTTAAGGACCAGAAACCTTTCTCCTGGAAACTGTCTAATTACAGCAAATTTAGCCATAAAGTAAAGCTATCCCTGTACCAGGCCATGAAGGCCCATAGGGTTGTGAGACATTGGGGGTCCCACATTATTTAGACAATTGGCTCAAAGATGGCGGTAAGGTTGTCTCCCCAGGAAAATTATTTAATTAATTCCTGGTACTCATTTCTGTTAGAGGCTGAGTAAACCCCAGGACCTAGTGTGGCTGAAAGGATTAGGTCAACTGAAAAAATCCAATGACCTCATCAGGACTTGAACCCGCGACCTTCTGGCTTGTAGCATAGCCCCTCAACCAACTGCGCTATTGTGTACCCCCCAGCAAATTTAGGCATTCTTATACATTTATATTTGTATTGGTAAGGACCAAACTGAAATAGGGATTGTATTTTCATGTATGGTCTTATCAGGTGACATGACTAAGTTTCCTTTGTTAACCTATTCACTGTACCACACTTAACTGCATATGCACACAATTCAACTGGCCCAGCATTACACTTTTTAGTTATACCATTATCTGAAGTTTTATCATTCAGAATAGCAGAATCTATGACTTGTACTTGTATTTCGGAGAGGGCTTTATCAAGTAAGAAAAGTGGGGAAAAGCAAAGTAAGTAAGGAAGTAGTAGAAGTGTTCAATAAATACTTTATAACTGTAGCTGAGAATCTGGAAACAAAAAGTGCCAATAAAAATTAAGCTATTAAATTCTTCGACACTTTGAAATTTGATAAATTCCCTGAACTGAGGCTAATACCTACAATGGAGATGGAAATAAAGAGCATACTTATGTTGCAAAAATCAAAAGATTCTACAGGATATGATGGCATTTCTAGTAAGATTTTAAAATATTATATAACTGAGATAAGTAAACCATTATGTCACATATTTAATGCATCTTTTGAGCATGGAATATATCCTGATAGAATGAAATTTGCCTCATTTAGACCTATATACAAAACAGGTGAGAAGACAATTATAGCAAACTATAGACCAACATCACTGGTAATAAGTTTTTCTAAGATTTTTGAAAGAGTGATGTACAATAGGATAAAGCAACACATACATACAAACAATTTAATGTCTTGCACAGTTTGGATTTAGAGAAAACAGTAACCCAGAAATGGCAATATATACATCAACTAATCATATTTTAGAAACAGAAAGACGCAATCATTCATTGGGAATTTTTTGTGATTTGACAAAAGCATTTGACTGTGTGAGTCATGATATTCTTTTGACTAAATTAGCAACATACGGCATTGGTGGTAAAATAAAAATATGGTTGAAGTCCTATCTGGAAAATAGAAGACAAAGAGTTGAACGCTATAATCATGAAAATGGAAAATGCTGTTCAGACTGGGGAACTGTCAAATATGGAGTGCCACAGGGCTCGATTTTGGGTCCTTTGTTGTTCCTTTTATATATTAATGACCTGCCGTCAGCATTAAGTACTGACAAGTCACTGTTGTATGCCGATGATACAAGTATATTAGTGTCGGGTAATAATATCGATGAAATTCAAGAAAGGTCTAAACTTATGTTAAATTCCCTAAGTCACTGACTTAAATACAATGGCTTATCCCTAAACTTGAGGAAAACTAAAGTGTTAAAATTTGAAACAATCAATCGTGACAATATGCCTGTACATTTAAAGTTTAACGATGAATTATTACAAGAGGAAACTCATATGAAATTTTTGGGCATTGAAATTGACAAGTTCTTGAATTTGAAGACACAGGTTGAATCACTGTTACCCAGATTGGTAAAGGCATGTTATGCAATACGAATTATGAAAACATATACTCATCTACCGTAAAAGGAGGGCAGGGGCTGCTGCTGCTGCTGCCGCCACTGCCACCGCCGCTACTACTATACAAGAAGTTGAAGGTTTGCAAATATGTATTTATTACTTCTAGAAGTTCTGCTTTATTCTGAGCAGTAGCTGACCATCCAGTCAAAGGCAGAAGAAATGCTGGATCCAGTTTCAGAGTAAATTATTTATGCCACTGTACATCTTTTTACATGTACACAGCTTGGAAAAGCAAATTCAAACACACAATAAAATGGTTTCAAGAAAATAAAGCATTATAATAGGTGTTAAAGGCTTCTTTCTTACATCATTAGTCCACTACACAAGTTTCTGTGTTTTGTACAATAATATACAAATCTGTAATTGTTTCACAATTTCAAGCTATGACAAAGCTTCAGTATACAGTATATCTACATGACCAATCCCACACAGCAGGTCCTTTGATGCAATCACCCTTTCCTGAGGTTTGCTCAACAGCAGTAATCTCCTGCTTTCACTTCTTGTTGACAAAATCTTCTCCTTTCTGAATATTTTTCTTCAATTCTGGGATAGCAGCTACCAACAGTTCATTTTCAAAATCAGAGAGTTTTCCAAGACCCAAATTCTTCTGGATTCCATTGGGCTGTGTACCATAAAATTGCACATAATCAGAATTCAACAGGGAAATGTGGCAAGATAAATGTACGTGGAACTCCCGTTTAATGTTTGATTTGAAGTTTTCCCTCATCTAACATTCAATCTGAATGATCTCAAATCAAGAATGTGCATTAAATTTCCTCAATTTATTATTGAAATTCATTGGTCACAAAAGCAACTTTAAACGGGGGTTCAATGTGGACACAATGGAGGGGGCACAGAGGAAAGGATGTGCCATAATGTATTCGGACACTGGCTTCTCATAGCACATGTTTGGACACAAACATGAGCCTGTATGGGATTTGTGGCAAAATATGACTGGGACAGGCATTTTATCCCGCTGTTATTCCAAGAAGCAAATGTTTTTTATAATCTGTTGGAAAAAGGAAGAGACATTAGCAAATACCAATGACATTCCATTCTGAACATCTCTATAATAAAAGTTGTTTTTCATTATACTAAGTTTAGTTTCAAAAGCTGCATAAAGTAAAATGTACGAAGTATGAGCATGAAACAATTCCTACTCTCAGTTGCCTCTGCAGTTCTCAAAACGTGGTACCATTATTTTAGTATAGCCCAACTGCAATCTTACGACACCTGCAGAAATGATGGATCTGAGCCCGTGCACTTGGACTTGTCTACAACCTGTACCAGAAGGATGTTGGTGCTAGAAAATTACAAGCAGTTAGATAATTAAAACTGGTCTGTATCTCCTGCTGTCATCTAAACAAAAACACTGCTCTTAATAGGCTGCTCATTTGGAACTAGAGTATCTGTGGTAGCAAACTAGAGAGTTATCTATGGGAAGTTTATATCAGAAGAGGCACTCAGATTGAAGGAATAATGTCTGCAGGTAGGAACACTGACCCATTATTTTAGAAAGAGAGACAACATCTGTCCCAGGATGTTTGTTCAATTCATCTGCCCAGCCTATCACCACCACACCCTTCGTATGGAGAGCTTTAAGCAAGCAGCATGGACACACCAGTATTATAGGACTGTGACTGGCCTCTGCTGATTTTTAAGCTCACTTTAGAAACTAATGTATGTAGCTGAGACAAGTTTCATGTGTTAAATTTGCTCTGTATGCACTGTATTTCATTCTTCAGGTTTTCGTAAGTAGGGACGATTAACCAGGTAAAGTTGTCCATGTACCTTATTAATTGCTATGGCATGATATATGCCAATAGTAGTATTATCACTCCATTCTTTCTTAATCTTCGGCACTTATATGGAAGTGCAACTTACCAATACTTATTACAAATTCTGCATTACTTGGCTATGCTTACAATAGTATTTAAAATGAAGCCCTCTCTCTTTCTTCCTCTTCACTAATAGAAGTAAAGACAATAATATCAATGGGAAATTTAACACTTCCATTCCTACATTGATTTCTCAGACACACATAGCACAAGCTTGTAAGATAACACCACTTTTATATCATCTCTTGCAGCCAATCCAAATTCTATTTTGTTACATCTTTTCTTGTAGCAATAATTCTTGTTACAACAGAAAACAGTCAGTGCAAACTGATTTTTGATCAGAAAATTATTATAATGAGAATGGTTAAGGACAATCCTCAAACGTGAATATTTCGGTCAGGACATCTGATGCCCTAACCTTCCAAATACAAATCAGATACTATGCTGCTACACTACCTAGTTCAGTTCCTTACAATCCTATCAAATAGTCCTCTACAGACTGTATCTGCTCTAAATTTCATAAACGCATAAATTGTGCTTACCCCAAGGAGCAGAGGAGTGGAGAAATACTTAGCCTCTGTAATATTAGAGCGGACGTATGCACACTCAATGACGTTAGGTTCTCCCTTCAAAGCCCGGCACAAGGCAAATGTAAAGCGAGCACCAGCAAATGCCATGGACAGTGTAGCTGAGCCTGCACCTGCCTTAGCTTTGACAACCTCAGTACCGGCTTCCTGTACAATGCAACACTCAGTAAGTCACATGGCTCAATGCTACTGATCACAACTACATCAAAACTGCACCAAAATGTAATATTATCAAGCAAATCTAGTGACACCATCCCATCGCCTATTTCCCCCAAGATATTTCATAACATTTATTATTATCCAATGTTATGCTTCGTCTTTCAAGCATTTATTTTCCTACTACAGGAAGTAATGTTGTTTGGGACTGCAAGTAGCTCAATTTAATGGATCCAGCAAAGTATGTTTCATACTTTTACTTGATGGCAAAAGCAGAATGAGCTTGGGGGGTGGGGGGATTTTCAAATATATGTGTTAGTTATGAGGCTTGAGGTTCTCATGGCAGTGACTGTGAAGATTCCTTACTGTCTTCTGGGATGTGACACTGTATAGTCTGGTAGAAGTTTACCAACACTTCAGAGGAAAGTACTGTCTCCATCTTCAGGGCCAAAGCAAAAGCAGAGTCACTCTGCTTGCTGCTTGGCTCTCTCTTTAACCTGATGATGGAAGCAGTACTTTCCGCCATAATGTCAGTAAACTACCAAACTACACAGCGCCATATCCCAGAAGACAGTACTCTTCATGTTACACATTTCTTGCATTACTACACGAAGTATGACATTTTAAAATTCAAACAAGATTAGCTCAAATTACATCTAGTGATGTGTTCATATAAATATGCTATCCGACTCAGTAATGCCATTAATGATTTCATGACATTAGCGTTTAACTTTCTCTAATCAATTACTTTTCTGAGGTCTCATGTTACACATTTCAGTTCGTTCTTGAGTATCAGTTAACTCTTGTTGCAGAAAAGCAGATCACAGCTCAGCTGACCAAGAAATTTCTAGCCTTTTTTGGAACATGAAGGTTTATTAGTTTTTTCAAAAAGAGCAATATACTGTTCTTTCTTCAGTTTTTGTACTACTACAAGACAGATATTTACCTGTATCCTTTCTGTAAGAGCTTTCAGTTTGTCCTTGCTAAAGTCAACATTTGGCTTTGCCTGGGAAATCAGTGGAATGATGGTAACTCCAGAGTGTCCACCAACCACAGGAACATTTACTTTTGTTGGATCCAAGTTCTGTTTTTATGAAAACAGAACAAGTAATAAAACTGATTAATCGAAGCACAGATGCAAAATACTAAATAAGTACATGTAAGTGTAAGCATGTTATTAATACTCCATTTCATCTCCCTGGCATACATTAATCTTCAGCATACAGCATTTAAATTGTGCTTGTAGCTACTACTCAGGGCTGGAGAGTTTTTAAATTTAAAAGCTCAATTCTGCAACAGGTAATATTATTTATAATTAATATATTTTTTGAGCTATTTGAATAAAACCTAGATTGTTAAGAATGAATACACTACTCACGCGTGAACTTATGAAGCAACCATCTTTAGAACTGTATTTATTTATGTTTCTGTGCAATTACTTCAACCACATTCACACATTTTACTTCCTACTGCTGATTTTGAGAAATTTTAAAATAGGATTTTATATTGTGACACGATGCCTGAAAGCTGGAATAGTCCACTGCTAGACAATGGCTCGCTAACACAGGTTTCTATGGAGATGTGGATTTGTGGAGACTGACTTGGTATGGAACTCGCTTTCCATGTCAACGCAATCAACATAGGTTCCACGGATACCTCCACCATAGCCCTGTGTGTTGGAGGCGATGAAAAGGGAACCCAGTGCCTGGGGGTATAACCGGACCACCCTGTTCCTGGGGGATGACCTGAACCTCCAGGTTGGGCAAGTCTCAAATCTGAGACAGTAAAATGTGGTCATGAGCCCCGTGGGACTCGGACCTGAGAATGAATGCACTGGTGAGGCCCAGCAACAACTGTAAACAACAGACCCATCCTCTTGTCACAGAGAATGTGACATAAGGATTATAACCGCAAGTGTTCAGTTGGAAAATAAAAGTTCTGGTCATGGGTTCCATGGGGCTTGTCACCAAGATGAACCGACTGGCGGTAAACTGCCAGTCATAAAGTAACCCTGCACTCTGACTGGTTCAGTCAGATACGTAAGATAAGCATGATCTGCTCTATAAAGCCTGTACTGACAGAGGACTTGTCCATAGTGTAAAAGGAAGAATTTTCAATAACATGTTATATGTGAGAAATGTACACTTGATGAAAGGCCAAGCATATTCATAAAGAGACAAACGCACAATCTCGTCAGAGAGGATGTTACATAAGGACTATTACCACAAGAGCTCAGTTGAAGAAAAAAAAAACTGGTCATGGGTCTCAAGGGGTTTGAAGCCAGGACAAACTGATTGGTGATAAACTACCAGTTGTAAAGTAACTCTGACTGACTTTGATTGGTACAGCCATAAAAGAATTCAGAAGTTGAGTGTCCACAGTGGAGTGTTAACCAATGGACAATAGAAGCTGAAGAAGTGACCAACTTCAAAATCAAAACCTAGTTGGTCATGCAGAAGGGAAGGCATTTGTAGTCCAGTAAGGAATGGAGCGAGTCTGAGACAGTCATAGATTATGAGCTGTTATAATTGGTTGTGACTGTACTAGAAGTGCCAATAAATCCAATCTAACCATTCATCATAATTTGCCGGACCCTTCTGTATTAATTACGTTTATATTAAGTTAAGATCATGTAATATACAAACAGAGATCTGGCAGATAGCCAACTTTTACACTCAGGTGTGACATAGTTCAAGTTTTGCTATGTGGATAGGAAGTAACATCTGGTACATTTCCAGGAATTCTGGCAGTTTCAGCAGAATTGGAAAGTCTTTGAGAATTTGAGAGCTGACAGCTTGGAACAACTATAACTTAGAAGTGGGAGGGCCAGAGCCTCATCCCCTGATCTTAATACATCAAGTCACTGTCAACCTTAGTGTCAGGTCAGCAACTGCCAGAATCACATAGCAAAGCAACATGATTGGAAATTCACTAATTTAGGGAACCTCCTAGTTTTCAAACTAAACCAATGGCACATGTTGGAGGAGTGGATTTCTCTTGGAACCAGCGGCCAAGAATATATAAAATTAATTATGGTTCCTTTAAACAGCTTACTCTGCAATTTCTTATAATAATCTGTGAATATCATTCATTAGATTGTAAATACAACTGCTGGGGCCACCAAACTTCGAAACAGAGAAAAATGGGGGGAAAAAGGGGAAATAATTTTGCAGAGATGAACATATATATTTAACATACCACATTTTACGCAGTTTCTTTTTTTAATTTTCCGGGTTCTTCTCTTATTTGCAGAACAATATCTATAAAATCAGATCAGTTGTGATTTGTTTTGCCAATATGTATTTTCACAGAAAACTGATTGGCAAACCGTGTAGGTTCTTTGAGGCTGGGGCATGGCAGTAGTAGGATTACATACATAGCTTTACAGATCCGTTGCCCGCAATGGGCCAGATATTGAGCTTGTCAGAATAGTTAAAAGTAGTCACACTATGCAACCAAGTCCAAGTTGACACAACCTATTAAGATACCTGATCAAAACAACTACTAATTGATTTGATGTAAATCTTTCTAAAAGCTCTTAATTTCAGCACTGGAAGGAAAACTAACAAGACAATTGTTGAGTGAGACAAAAATTCAATAATCATGTGGCCCTGCCCACATAGTTTTAAATGTAGGTGAAATAATGAGGTGTACACAGTACACACTGGGTACTAACAGTGACGTCTGATGCAAAACCAAACTAGAAAAGAATAACACAAATTAAGATACTATATTACGATTCACTGTCCTGTTCCTAAAAATGAAAGGGTTTATATTTTTATGATATATCACAGTAATACTTACTGTTCACCTAAATACAATGCATTTGTCTCTAACCTTGGCTTCTGCTATGAAGGTGTTTGCCCTAACAACATCTAAGGTGGAAACTCCAAAGATCCTGTTTGGATCATAAACGCCAGCTTTCTGGAAAACCTCAGAAGCAATTGGCACTGTACTGTTTACCTGAAACACAAATATTCTTGATCTAATACTGTATTTTGAGCATCCTGTTGCATTGAGCAATTGATATATATATATTACACTTACACATTTTATGTGCTATGAAAATATTGCACATAATATAGAAATTTATATGAGTCATTATACACACACACACACATATATATCTGTGGCCAAAACATGTTGAAAGTATACATGAAAACATGGTTTAAATAGTGTTCTACCCAACAAGCCATAGAAATGGTGCACTTACAAAACTGTATTATACAGAAATATCAAGTGATTTTTTACCTATGTTCTTTTCTAGAAAACATACAGATTACAGGCATGACAAAGAACCTTATTTCTGTTTAATGGAAAGCAAAGTCATCATTTATAGGACTGTATGTTACTGTAGTCATGTCACTAAATTATAAGAAACAGTATGAATGAGTTTTTTCTTTTTGTTACCGCCATCAGAACTGTTTCACTTATCAGTAGTGTGCCATCAGTATACTTCCTGTTTGCTGTGTAATGGTATACAAAGATAATGAAGTTGGCTAACAAGAAAATGATAATACATTATCTTTAGTTGGTACTTCACATGTTTTAAGGTGTGATATTAATGAAGTATTCTTAGAGTTGATTTTCTGGTAGCCTGATTACATATCTCTGAATTACCTAAGACAGACTTTGGTAATTATAATTTATGTTCCACAACCATGAAGACAGAATCTCAGTAATACATATTCTGGCTACATTTCAATAGTTTGTGCAGGACACAAGAGAACTGTAACCTTTAATCTCAAATCATTTTCATCTTGTTACCATCCAGTGTAACAGAAAATATGCTCTTTTAATTGAAGATATGAAACCTTATAGTGAAGATTTACACTGGCAAATGATGAAAGAATACATGAACTAATTTTACAAAAGTGATATGTTCTTTGAAAGTTGATTCCTAAATGACAAATCATTAAACATGAATCCTCCATTACTATAAATGTCATAATTAATATTCAGATATAAGATAATATATAAACAAGTTTCTCGAAATAATAAGATAATTCAAGGCAATTCTTGCAGAAAACAGAACCTTCAGCATCCAGTATGCAACAAACAGAATACAAAGATGATGCCTGGCTGAACATGGGGAAGGATGGTAGGAGGGGTTGGAAACATATGCCTGGGTTGGTTTTCACTGAAAAGAAAAACATTATGCATTATCACTGCGAATTTTTCATAATCTAAAGTTCATAAGAAGAACAGCCAAACACAAATATTACACAGAAGATTTGTTAACCCAGCAAGCTGGTACTGAGGATCTGAAATATTGACAAATTAAAGAAACATGGCCTGATAATTAAATACTATAATCAGACTGATTCCATGAAAACAGTTAAAAAATGTCCACACAGCAGAACAATTCTTACACTTTCTTTACCATAGCATCTAAAAATTGCAAAATGTTTGATCTTCAATTTCTTCTGTCTCAGGGACTCTGGACCTTTCAACTGGAATCTATGGCAATTTATTTCTGAGTTATATTGAGAATTCCTTGCATCACCCGTCATTTTTCTGCTTAAGGGTTGGGTCTTTCCAACAATCTTGTAAGTTCTCATTCAGTGCTGAGACTTTTTTCCCCCCTTGGCACTAAAGCCCCAGTGGGCCTAGGCCTACCTCCATGAACTTCTCCGTTCACTTCGGTTTTTTTAGATCTTACACAGATGGTAGGACTCCTTGGGCGGGTGATCAGCTCGTTGAAAGGCCTCTACCTGTACACAAACACAGAAAAACGCACACAAACATCCATTCTGAGTTGGATTTGAACCCACGATTATGGCTTCCGAGCGAGCGAAGACAGTGCATGCCTTAGACCACTCGACTACTGTGACCGACCTGCTGAGACTTACTTAGTACAATTTTGGCACACACTTTCTTGAAGTTCAGATCTTGATTAAAATCAATTTCATAATTTCCTTTTTAAGCGCCACTTCTTCTGAAGATTCAAACTGTAACCCTGTTTAACCACTAGTTTTTAGAATACCAAATGAAGGACAAAGACTGAAGACCCAATAATTCTGAGTAGTACGTCGAGTCTTTAGGGCTACAGCCCTTCATTCATATAACCTGGCTGTTTAGATCGAAAATAATATATGCTCCTGAAAGAGGGATGAAGCCACAATAGCTTGGTCAGCACAGCAAGGGACTATGGGCCGATTCCCAAGAAAAGACATTTTTACCTTCTTGCCAGTGTTCAGAATGGCTCTGGGGCCCACCCGGCCTCCTATTTAAAGGGTACTGGCAGCTTTTCCCTGGGGAAGGTACGTAGCTGAGGCACTAGGCTGACCACTTACCCCCATCTAATGCAAAGGCCAAAAATGAAGAAGCTATATCCCATTCCCCCCCATGTGTCTTCAAGGTATGATCTACATTTAAATACACACAGGGACAACTTTACTCTTTACCTTTACACGAATCAGGGAGGTCCACTTAGAGATTGGGGGGGAGAGATAATGTATAGTGATATGATGGTATAGTTTAACAAGAGAAGCCATCTGCTGTTAGACAAAGGCAAACTAAATATGTTTCCATGGCAAAAAACATGTTGTAATCACAACAGAGAAGTGCTGGAAGCGGTGTTTACTACTGGGTCATATAAGGAGAACGAACTGGAGCTTTTAGTCAGATGAGAATGTGAAGGAGTTTCCATCATGCGTTAACCACGGGTATCGCCATCCAGTGAGGACAGGAGCCACTGAGCATGCAATCAGGGAACACTGCTGGGATCTGTTACACAGGTAATGACTGGTGAAGACAAAGACAACTGAGAAACTTGGTAAAGTGTTGCAGTGAGAAGTCAAGTAAATGAATTAGCAAAACTGTTACAGTTACCTGTAAGTGTCCAATAATCAATCCAAACCCTGTGTCTAGTCACTAACACATGACAGTTATTTTGGTGTTAAAAGTATGGTTAGGTTAGGTTATGTTATGTTTAGTTAGTTTAATTTAATTTTCTTTCATATGTTCACCTGATCCTTCCCAATTTTTCCCTAAAATTTCACATAAAAACTGTGGCACTGCCAATTTTATTATATAGTACATGAATGAATTTGACTTCTCTATGCCAAGGGATTGCAGAAACTGTTAACATTAAAATAAAATGGTTTTAATGTATTCAGATAAAAATATTACTCACTGGGTTTGAAATAATTCCTATTAGAGCCTTTGGGCAGACCTCAGAACAGGCTTGGGCAAGGTCACGCACAATGGAAGCATTAGTATTGAAGAGGTCATCACGGGTCATCCCAGGTTTCCTGGGCACTCCAGCAGGAATAATAACAATTTCTGCTCCCTTCAGCGCATCCTGAAAGATGAAAAACAAAAATATCAGTGACTTATAGATTGGTGCTTGTTTAATCTAAAGTTTCAGTTCAAGCCTAGAACACAGACACCACTAGCAGCAAACTTACAAGGCCTCTATTGCCAGCACTGCAATTCACTACAATTATTCACTATCAATCAATAGACCACGCCACTAAATAATCAGCAAATAGCAGTCTTCTTCTGATATATTCTAAAAAGGGAGCCTTGATGTGCTATGAAGTATCAGCCACCAGTGAGAGGGTGTTTTCAAATGACCCTTCTGATGTGAGAATTTGTCGGGTTAGCTTCTTGGATTACCTACACCTGAATTCCTCTTCATTTAACATGTATTATCTCTTACTACAAATCTATGCTGCACTCGTGTCCTACTTTTAAAATAATTGGGCCAGATGTGGTGGTTCACCGAGGCCTCTCTTTAACCTATACTGGGATCATTCCAAACTTTATTTTGCTGTTGTATTAACTCCAGTGATTCTGGCAGCAGTGACTAACATGCCTACCTTCAACTGCTCTGGTCCGTTGAAGCCCTTAACTTTGGCGGCTGTTTCAATGTGACTAAGGTCAGCGGCCACGCCGGGAGTATGTACAATATCATAGAGTGATAATTCTGTCACATGCGGTGATCCTTTTAGCAACAAGGCCAAGGGTTGTCCAATGCCACCACTAGCCCCACATACAGCGACCTTTGCGTTCCTCTGCAGCGAAAATGGAAGAGTGAATTTATACACGAATCCTCGATAAAATATGTGCTCCATAATCAGTAACACAGATACTCTCAATAACTTATCTTTGAACACTGCCCAGGTTAAAGAATAGTCCATTAGTGTAGGAGCAATTCTAAATCTTAAATTTTGAAACACACTATGGGCAAAAATAGCTACCTGAGTACTTGTGCCGAAGTTCTTGGAACTGTTATGAAGGGCATAGGCAGTCTGCGGTCTCACAAATCGGGAAAACATATTTGATAAATTAATTTGTTATTCCTTCACTCTCGACTTCTTTTCCCGTCGACCTTGCAGTGCAAAGAGAACATACGCATGCCTGAACCTAACCTTACTAGATATCAACATTGCATATTCAGAAGGTGTGTTATCTATGTTTAAAAGTCTGGTATTGATCCGCGCAAGCAATACTCTGCCCCTTTGATCTCATACTTGTAAACTGTAAATAGAATGTAACATTTGGCGGAAGGAAATGTTTTCGAATGTGTTGCAATTTGCTAAAGTGCATGTTATGACTTTACTCTGCAAGTAACAATACTGAAGACTGAAAGGGTGTAACCACGTACATATTGTAGTGTTTTGTGTTATTGTACAATTTACTGATGTTCATCAGTTGAATAATAACAATAAGAACAGTAATGTTGTAGATAATCAGTTTGGTTTCAGAAAGGGTGCGTCGACGCAAAAAGCTATTTTTACGGTTACTGATTATATTTATAAAGCATTGAACAATAAGGATATGGTTGTGGGGATTTTTTTGTGACCTCACTAAGGCATTTGGCTGTGTCAATCATGAACTGCTTGTCCAAAAATTGAAACACTATGGAATAAAAGGATCTACTAAAAGTTCTTGAAACATACCTATCTAACAGGAAGCAAAGAATCATTCTACAGACTCAAGACTCAACTACATATGTTACTAAATGGAAAACTAGCAAACATGGAGTTCCGCAGGGATCTATACTGGGACCTTTGTTGTTCAGTGTGTATATTAATGATCTGCCTAGAATTCTAAATGGGTTGGCACATACGGTTCTATATGCTGACGACACCACTTTTATTGTCTCTTCACAGGATATTAGTAGCCTTAATAACAAAATCAATTTACTTATGAGACATTTATATAGATGGTTCCAAGCTAACCAGTTAATACTAAATTGGAAAAAAAACCCATGTAATGAAATTTATGACCCCCAAGGACACGGACTATCCATTACATATAAAATATAATGACCAAACACTTAAATTTTTTTGTAAATGTTAAGTTTTTAGGTGTGTGCCTGGACAGTCATTTGGGCTGGGAATAATACTCCTATGATGTGATAAATAAGTTGAGTGTTGCAAACTTTCTGCTTAGAAAACTACAGCCTATAGTAAATAGGCAAGTGTTGAAAATGGTTTATTGTGATTACTGCCAGGCTCAACTTAAAAATGGTGTTATTTTCTGGGGCTCTTCTTCGTCATCAATGAAAAGAGTTTTTGTGGCTCAGAAAAGAGCAATTAGAGCAATGTTAATGATGAGGCCTAGAAGTTCTTGTAGAGAGGTTTTCAGAGAATTAGGGATACTTACAGTTCCCTGTTTGTTTATATATGCCATGGTCATGTTTGTAATTGAAAACAAAAATAATTATCCTACAAATGATAGTGTACATAAAATTAACACTAGAGTACAAAATAGACTACACGTCATGTCAGCTAGACTATCAATTATACAAAAGGGAATGTATTATACATTCATAACATTTTTTAATAATTTGCCACATAAATTATATATTTTAAAGGATAATGTTAATTTATTTAAACAAAAACTGAAAGACTTTCATATCTTGAAAGCTTTCTATTCTGTTGATGAATATATGGCAAATACCTAATTATATTCCTATTGTATCTAGGTTGTGTCTATTTGGACTCGGTTGCATATCACAACTACTTTTAATTAATCTGACGAGCTCAATATCCAGCCCAATACGGGCAACGGATCTGTGAAGCTATGTATGTATGTATCTAAGATTTAAATTCCACAGCCTGCAACATTTCTACCTTTTCTACTGAGTGGTACCATAGAAAACTAAGCTGGCACCGGGGTCTGTCTGGCAGAGGAAATGCACTGTATTTTGTATTCTTTATTTTAGTTCCACAGATCCCCACTGGCTTATCAGAGCCATCAGATATAGAACATGTTACGTATGAATACATTAGTTCTAAGCACAGAATTCGTCATCTTACAACTACATTGATAAGGAAACAATAATTATACATAATTCAGTAATTTAGCAAGCATTCAGTACTCATCAAGTTGACAGTAACACCTTATTAAAAACATAGCTTGAAATATATAAACATACCAAATTATAATTAATTTATACAATGTACCATATAAACAGCATTATAAAAGGTTTAATTATTATTGTATTTAAAATATTCGTCTAATGTATAAAATGAATGGAAATACAACAAATTTTTAAAGGCCGATTTAAATTGTTTTGTATTATGGGACAAATCCTTTACTGGAACAGGTAAGCTGTTAAAGCACTACCGACATCTTAGCATATCTATAGTTGATTACTTGAACTAAGCACATGTAATAATGATCATTAATGAGCGTAATGAGGGATGATCCTGGTCGCTAAGTCCATCACCTATCAGTACCTGAACCATCTGAACCAATCACAGACCCAGTCACTAGATGTTATTTATACATTTGTACAGAAGGTTGGAAGATGTGCTTAATCCTTGTTTGTCTCTGGCTTATGCTGAATTGCATGTATATGACTGTATCATAGAGCTTTATTGATGGGCATTCGACTTGTACTTTTTGAGGTTGATGAAAGGATATTGCTGTTGTTTTTTCTTTATTAATAATTAATCTATTCCTTTCAAACCACTCTGTGAGTGCATTTATTGTTTTATTTATTTTCCTTTGGACATGATTAACACTATTTCCTGTTATAAGAATACTAGTATCGTCGTCGGCAAAAAACGTTGGTCTTCCATGTTCAGTGCCGGCTTCTAGATCATTGATATATAGCAAAAACAAGATTTGTGTCTGTATGATCTGAGTCACTGTCAACATTGCTAAAGAAACCACAAAGCTGACTGAAGTTTAAACTGTTTACTTCAAGAACAAAAAGTCTAGAGTGTTATTCTGGTAGGATTAAAATATGATTTTCAGGGTAACAAAAGAATGAAAATATATGCTGATGTGAAATTGGTCCTCAGCAGTCATCGAGGTCAAGTTTCCTTTGAAGGTGTATGTCTCATGGCCTTTTACAACTTTATGGAACAACTGTCAAAGGCTAACACAGCCTTAATTGGTTCATCATTCAGTGAGAGCAATCTCAGAGCAAAATCTCCAAACAAGGGGACAAAAATATGATCAAAATTCAAATGATTCCAATGAACAATTGGAAATCTGGAGTTTAAATGTTAATATTGAGTGCAGTATGACAGCTACGTATAGTAAAATACACCTGATGATGGCCGGTTGTGACCGAAACATGTAGTGTGAAAGAAGGGGGACAAGAACTACAATAAAGTGTTGCATTTACGATGGAGTTTATATTATACATATTCAAATGATTCATTTTACATATCAACATCCTTTTACCGCAGCATGATGTGTAAACACATGTCTTAACTTTGCAGCCTGTGCAAGAAGTGTCCAAGGTCTGACAGAACCATTTCCCATGAATATTATGGTAGTTTGAATTAATTAATTATAAATTTATAATTGAGTTCCATATATTTTCAGTATCTCTATGCTGTGTGTATCACATGAAACTAACCACTTCCTTAGATTACCAGCTGACCACTTCCTGGTACCTTGATAAGTTAACACAAAAGACATCAAGAACAGAAACTTCAGTGTGAGCTTATAGTCAGTGAAACAGTTCCGTTGTTTAATGTGGAAATGGGATACAGTATCTAAGAAATGGTGATGCATAATCATCACTGGGAAATAATGGGGTTAGCAGCTTACAGTCATGTTTTGCCAGAAAGGATGTAGCTGGAAATATTCCAGTGTATGTGATTATGAGTCAGGAACAATAAATTTTACTGCGTTACTCTTCATATAAACAACAAACATTGCCATATAACAAGAAATACAAATAAGGGTATGTGCTTCAAAACTTTTTGTAAACATCTTGATATGGTAGTACTGAAAATAGGAAAATCTTATATTGATGATAGAAATGACACGTAAAACTGACTCAGTAATAGAAGGTATGGATTCCAAATTTTTATGCCATCAAAGTGCTTTGTTAATGGCTGCAATCAATAGAGGTGCTAATGAAGATGTTGAGAAACTGCTAACAGACAGTGGGGAATTAGTGTCAGCTGTTGTCAATGTCCCCTGTGGAAGGCTACAAGTTACAGCATTACAGCTGGCAGCTGCAAAAGGTAGGTATGAAAATGTATGTAACTTGGCCTGTCATTCGGAGGAAATAACAGAGATTGAGGATGTAACCTTTAGGCATTTGGGCAAAAGGATTTCAAGAACGATGTATTTAATGGTGTGACTTGTTCAAGTGTTAACTGTTGTAGCAGTTATGAATGCCAAATAAAAATTAAATTAAATTAAATTAAATTAAAAAAGTAAATTCTGAGGTGACGGTTTGAATTTAAGGAACAGGAAACTGTATATCTTTACAATATTGCTTTTTTTTTTTACCATGAAGCCTTGGTTAATACAACATTTACAGTAAAGCTAAGAAAGCTTTGTTAACATATTTGGACATATTGTTATTTTTCTGAAGCAAATCCAAGTTTTGTTAGATTAGATGTGAAGTTCTCACAGCAGTGACTGTGAAGAGTATTATCTTCTGGGATATAATGTCATGTAACCTGGTAGAAGTCCACTGACTATTTCTTGCTGTTTACTCTTTGACCATGAAGATAGTGGCAGTATAGTCCTCCATAACATTCAACTTATACAGGAATACAGGTATTACATCCCAAAAGACAGAACTCTTCTGGGCAAGATAGTTTAATTTAATAAATTCAGTTAATAAATATTATGTTTCTGTTGGTTCTATTAACCATAAATAAGTTTTGAATTTTGCAAGAAATTTCTTGGTAGTTGATTTCATATGATTGTATATTATTAAAGGGGCTGAAGTATATGGTCCTGATATTCTACAGTAATTCTAAGGAAGTAATACACAATTCTTACACTTTACATACCTAACTAACTCCATGGAGCTGAGCCCTTGAGAATCTGCCAGTTGCACAGCTACTCAATAATTTCCGAACATTTAATAGAAACTGAAGGTTCATTATTGTGTTCATAAGAGCCCTCCTCTGGCCCTTTCATAAGCCAAGTAAATCCAGTCCATGGCACCCCCATCCTATCTTTTGTATTATCCTTCCACCTACATCTAGGTCTTCCTAGTGGTCTCTTTCTATCTGGCTTTCCCACCAAAATCCTACATACATTCCTCCTCTGTCCCATGCATGCTACATGCCCTGCCAATCTCACATTTCTTGACTTCATCATTCTAATTATAATTGATAAAGAGTACAAGTTATGAAGCTTGTCATTATGCAGCTTTCTCCAATCTCCTATCATTTCATCCTTCATAAGTCCAAATATTCTCAGCACCCTGTTCTTGAACACCTTCATGCTGGTTTCTTGCTTGGTTTACTCTTCAACCCTGAAGATGGAGACATCGTCATGTTCCTCCAAAACATTGTTTGACTTTCACCAGACTACTTGGGTCACATTCCAGAAGAAAGGATTCTCCATATCCATTGCCGGGCGAACCTCAAATCCTCCAATACAGTGATATTTCCATCAGGATAGTTTCTCTTAGCATGAGATGTTCTCAGTTCTGCATCTTTTCATTAGCACTCTGTCTCTGTCTTTGGGCTCCCTAGTGATCATTTACTTGTACTGCAGGAAACCTATTATTATCCAAACTACGGTATCCTTATTTTTAACTTTGAGATTTTGTACAGTATCCTGGTTCCGGATTTTGTTTATTCTTATGTGTTTCATAATACTCCATAGAAACTCTTATCTCTGCTGCTTGTAATATATTTACATTTTTTTAGTTCATATCCAAATTTCTGCTGCATATGTTAGAAAATAAAGTATTTTATGAATATTTGAGAACCAATGACATAAATGATATTTTTGTATTCATACAAGGTATTGTTAAATTTGACAGCTCATATTTTTATATTCTGTTGGTGGAAATATCACTCTTTATTTGCAGAATTCGCTCCTGGGTCATAATTTCTTTTTTCCAGTTGTTCATCCACATTTTCATAAAGTTTACTTTGATTGCTGTGCAGATTGGTTTATGAGTAGTATGAGTGGTATGTAGTAAATTTTCTGCATCTGTGCAAAACATTACAAATATTGCAACAACACACTTCCCCCATTGCAGGCAAACATGGAGTTCAGTTGGTCAACCTACTGCTGACAAATGGAGCAAGGGTAAATGTGTCTGATAAACTGGGTAGAACAGCCCTTCACAACGCATCCCTTGTTGGCAATGAAAAGGCTCTACAGGCTTTGTTGAAAGCTGGTGCTGAGGTTGATTCTCGTCTTCAGATCAGTTCAGGGCCCAGGCAACAGTTGGACAGTCATTTCATTTTAGATTCAGACTACACTGTAGATGCGGATTACAAAGATCCTACTTCAGGATTCAAGGTAAGCAAAATAGGTGATAACATTCTTAAAGTTGAAGAATGCTGTCTTATGGGATGTGGTGCCATGTAGATCTTGTGTGAACTGATGTTCTGGAGGAACATATCATCTCCATCTTCAGGGTAGAGAAATCCGTGAGCGAGGAACCAGCAAGAGCAGGTGGCTGCAGCCGTTCCTGAAGTTATTTTTCATCATTAATATGTATATCAAAACATAGTATAACCATAAAATATCAATTTTTAAATATTTTCCATCTTATTTTGAGATGTTATTAAAAATACTGTGAAATGCTGTTCTTGATTGATTTAATGATGGTGTGTGAACTGCATTAGTTACATAACATTGAATGAAAAAAAGAGACTTGCAAATGGTAAAATGGCAAGGCTGAGGGAGTTCGTGGTCATGGCTTATTTTAAGGTATTGCCTCAGCTTCTTTCTGGGGGGAGTGAGGACAGAGTGAAAAACCTAAGTCAGAATTGTTAGTCTTCTCAACAAGACTGAAACTGGAAACATTCTGAATACAAAGTTGGAGTGAAAATAATTAAACTAAAGGAGTCAGTTTTAGTGAATTGTAATAGAAAGTTCGGTATGAACTAAATTAAGCAAAATATCAAATTTCATGGTTATAAACAATGAGTAATGTAATTTAACATTTTTGCTAATCTAATACAATTTTATGCTCTGTGTAGTTACCTGTTCCGGAATGCTGGGGACGCACTCCATTACATCAGGCCGTAAAAAGTGGTAATCCTGCATGTGTGTTTCTGTTGCTTCAAGCCGGGGCAAAAGTGAATGCTGAAGATGAGAAGGGCACAACTCCTCTTCTGCTAGCAGGTGCTGGGGTGGCACCAGACAACATAAATCAGGTTATTAAGTAAGTGATCATTTGTTATTTATTGTTCATCTTGATGATGTTTAGGAGCTGATTTTGTATTCCACGCAATACATATGTATGTTACACGATTGCACAGCCATGTGACCTATTTAAATTTCAATAATTTCTGTTCAGATCTCTCATTTAAGTGTTATTAATTCTTATGAAGTAATATGGCAATTTTTGGTTAGGTTACATCTCTTTGACTTCACATAACAACGTTAAGAAAATGTGCTTGGTACATGACATGATTATTCTTTTATACTAGTATAGTAATTAAGAGCCCAGTTGACTAAGCTGGTATAACGATGGGCTGCAGGCAAAATGGCTGGGGTTCAATTCCTGTCAGGGGCAAGATTTTTCTCCGCAGCATCCCTATCATTACTGAGGCCCATCCAGCCTCCTGTCCAGTGGGTACTGGGGGCTCTTTCCAAGAGTCCAAGAGATAGGACAGCGTGAAGCTGTCCAATCATATCCATGTAATGCTGAGTTCAAGAATGGTGGAGCTCTTCCTCCACTTCCCTCATATGTCATCATGACACAGTGCTAAAATGATTAAGCACACAAGGAGAACTTTACTTTCTTTTCTTCTTGTAATGTAATTTATCTTACATCTTTCACCATCATATTATAACCATTATATTGCAGGTATGAGGAAGTAGTAGAACTCTTAGTAAAAGCAGGGGCTTACGTCAACGTACAGAATCAAGACACTGGCTCAACTCCCCTGCATCATGCAGCGGTGTTGCGCTCAGTTCGTGCCGTGCGGTGTCTGCTGGATGCAGGTTCCATACTTGAAGAAGTTGGACGTGAAGGGAGAATGACAGTGCTTCATGAGGCAGCAAGGGCAGATTCTGCTGCAGTGGTGGAACTTCTGTTGAACCAGGGAGCAGGTCATTTGGTCAATGCCAAGGATAAGGTCTCTTGATTTTATTAAGATACTATAACATTTAAGACCATAATTATGGTCCACAGACCAGAATTGATAATGATTTACGTTGATGCAGACCTTCTTGAAGCATTTCCAAAGATGACCCCTTGAACTGTAATAAGTCTTATGCTGGCTTCGCTCCAACATTCGTAAAAATTACTTTCAGGTTTCCTGTTGCTCAGATAACTGTTGGATTCAGTCATACATTTAAAAAACCAAATTTAATTATTATTATTATTATTATTATTATCTGGTGCTACAGCCCTTTGTGAGCCCTGGCCTCCTTGATAACAGCCTTACAACTATCTCTGTCTTGTGCCTTCTACCAAGCTGTCACTTTTAAAATTTTAAGGTCTTACAATGCATCATCCAGCCACCTTCATTCTGGTTTTCCTTTCTTTCTACTGCCTTCTAGCTGGGAGAAGGTTAATTTCTTGCAGAGCGAACTTTTATCCATCCTTCTGATATGCCCTAGCCATGTAAGTCTCTTTCTTTTCATTGATTGAACTATATTTGGTTCTTTGAATAATTTATATAATTCATTTTTATTCTCCATACTCCATTTTTTTAGCTTGGGCCATAGATCTTCCTTAGAAGTTTTCTTTCAAAAATTTTCAGTTTATCTTTATTTATTTCAGTGAGTGTTAACCTCTCACTACCGTAAAGTACAACCTGTTTTATATTTAGTAACATTTCTTAGAAGTTTTCATCTCAGTAAATTCTGCAACTCATAATAGCATTTATTTCCCACAGTTATTCTATGATTTATTTCCATATTAATATTGTTTTCACAGGTGACTATGAACCCAAGATATTGAAATTCATTTACTTTTTCTATATTTTTGTTATGTATTATAATATGCTTCTCTTTTTAATTTTATTTATGCTAACTTCCATAAATTTAGTTTTCTTTTGATTAATGGTTAACCCCATTTGGTGTGCTGCTTTCTTGAGCTTTATGTATGTGTCTTTGGCTGTTCTTTCATATCTACCAATAATATCATCAGCATATTCTAAAATATGTAGAGGTTTATGGAGTATGGCCCTTCTTATATCAAGATCTGACTCTTTTATGACCTTCTGTAGGGCTAGATTAAATAAAAGGCACAACAACGCATCTCCTTGTCTGAGTACTCTATTGGTTTCAAAGGATTCAGTTATTCTGTTAAAAGTTCTAACTCTGCATCTTAAATTTTTAAAAGTAAGCTCAACTAGACATCTAGGGACATGAAATTCCTCCATAGACTTGAAAGCCCAGCTCTATCAATGCTGTCATATGCAGCTTTCAAATCTACAAACATATAGTACATGTTAACTCTATATTCTCTCATATTCTCCAGTAATTATCTGAATGAATGCAAATGGTCTGAAGCGGACTTTCCACGTCTAAACACGCACTGATAATTTCCAAGATTTGTCTCCACAATGGGTTGTAGTCTTTGAAATAGTATAACTGAGAATACTGTATATGCCATGTTCAGCAAAGAAATACCGCTATTGTTTTCACACATCATTTGATCTTTATTTTATAGGTAGGTCATATTAACCCTTCCTCCCACTGACTGGGAAATATTTCCTTTTTCCACATCGTTTTAATCAACTTCCATAGTCTAAGACTCATTTTGTCAACTTTTAAAATTTCGACATTGAGTCCAGCTGGTCCTGAAGCTCTGTTATTTTTTAATTTTAAAACTGCAAAATTCACCCTCTCCAAGGTAGGTAATGGTATTTCTTCAACTTTATTGGTAGATGGTGCTGTTCACTGTGGATGCATTTCCAAATTATCCTGTCATACTCTACAGATTTTGAAATTACTTCTTCATCCTATTCAGAATATCAGCTTTATCTGAGAGAATATCACCATCTATACCCTACAACTCAATGGTTTAGTCTGGAAGCCAAACCTCGTTTTATTCATTTGCTTGTAGAACTTCCTACTATCATGTTTAGCATCACATTCTTATAGCCATTTAAGTTGTTTCTCATAATAATCCTTCTTTTTCTTCTTGGGGATTCTTTTTTCATTCTAGCTTTACAGTATACTTCTCTTGCTGGTCTAGTAAATTTCCTTTGAAGCATACTGTAATATTTCCTATTCTCCACTGTCATTTGTTCACACTTTTGTTCAAACCATTCCTAAAGCCCCTTTTAACTTTCCAAATACTGCTACTGTTTTGATAATTGTTTCAGTGTTGGTCCACTCTTCTTCAATTGTCACTCCTTCCCCTACCTCCCGACATAAATCCTTAATTTTTGCTCATATTCTTTCCATACCTTTGTCTTCATTTCATTGCCTATATTGTATCTTATTGGTTTCTCTTTATTCAAAACGTATTTTGACCCACTAATTTTCATCCTTATTCTGCTAATAACAAGATAATTATCTGAATCATCATTTGCAACCCTGTAAGTCCTCACGTCCATCATATTATTTTTATGTCTTGCATTACTCAATATATGATCAATTTGATTATTTGCTGTGCCATCTGGGGACCTTCAAGTTGCTAAATATATCTTCTTGTATGGGAATTTATTCCAATCTAGTGCACTAGCTCATCCAATTAATCTTAGTCCATTATCATTATTTTCCTCATGCAGTTCACAATTCCAAACAACAGATCTGTCTTGACTAGGGTATCTCTTTTAGTCTGGCCTATAACCTTTGAGGCATGGGAGGCCCTACTGGTAAAATATGTTACTGCAGACATGGCTCTCAGATTAATTTAGTCATACAAGCCCCACCACTATGACACAGTAGAGATATCAGCAGGGGGCAAATTTAATTATAGTACCATGAAAATGGAGGCAGTATGTTTCTCTGAAATATTGGTATCCTCCTACAAGACTACATAGTGTTATAACCCAGAAAACATTACTAGTAATATGAGTAGTTAAAAAGTAGTAAAGGAAAGGAATTTTGTTATCTGTATTGTGCATTGCAGACTGGATGTACGCCATTACACAAGGCAGCCTATGTTGGTTCCCGTCACTGCTTGACCAAACTATTGAAGCATGGGGGTGATCTGGCAGCTCAGAGTAGCACCAATGTGTCTGTCATGGATGTCATCTTCTCCCACATCCCACGTCCACTACATTTCCTTACAGATATCCTGAATGGGAGCGTTATCCCTAATGGTGCCTCTGTTAATGACCGTAGTTTCAAGGTATTTACTTCAAGCAGTTCCTTATTATAACACACACACAAACACACGCGCGCGCGCGCGCGCAACACTTTATGATCACCACCACCACCACCATCATCATCATCATCATCATCATCATCTTTGTCACTATTGGATGAAGTTCCAAAACTCACTTCCAGCTATTCCTGGAAAGAAATTACAGGATAGGACTACTCCAGTTCACTGTTTTCATGACTCTTCCAATTTCAACTTTCTATTTATTTCTATATATCATATACCATGTTGATAGAAACATTGCCTCTTAGAGTGCATGTTTTAGTTGTGATAAAGTTATTATTAAATATGTATATGATGTAGAAGAAATCAGAGCAAAGCAGTGGAGGAAATATGCGAAAGTCACAATGTAGTTTGCCTTATGACACTATATTTTTCAGTGATATTATCTCTTAAGTATAAATCATACAAAATTTGTCAAGGATATTGCAACTCAGATTTCTCATTTTATGTATCATTTAAAATGATTTGCATATTGGGAATTTTTCCATTCCCCTTTGAGAAAACTTCCATAATAATGTGTAAGATCAACAGATTCAATATAAAACTGAACAAAAATTGATATATGTGTGGTTCAGCCTATAGAATCCAATAAAGCCAAATATATTTTTGATACTATTTTATCACATTGCAGGTTACTGACAATTAGACTTTATGAGATGTCCCTGAGTTGTAATTGTCTGATGTTTCAACGCTTGTACATGTGAATTAAGTGATTACCTACCTTAATAATTCATTAATTCAATCTCATGTGTGTTAGTTTGTATGAGCCAGTTGTTCACCACAGTGACTTCTGCCTCATCTTCCTGTATTTGAACCTGTTATTTCTCAAGAAAAACTCTTCTAATAAGAGAAAAAATGAGTAAATAATAAACTATTTTTTCAGTTTGTTTTTTATTTTGTTTCATTATTAATTTTGTAACAATATTACGTTCCGTTATTGTCTTTCCAAATATACCATATTTCAAAATAATTGTTGCTTAAGTGGGCCATAGTAAATTGGTATGTGAATATGACCTCTGTTTATAACATTAAGTATATTGGAAAGATCTGATATGAAAGAGAGCTTGTAAACAAACTTGGGAGACCATTCATTTGTAACTTATGAACTTCCTGTATTTGCTTTTGAGGGTTGTGGACATATTTTCAGCCCCTCCCAGTAATAGAAGGTGTATTAAAACTTGCATAGTATTCAGTTAAGTCCATACTTTTTCGGCTGAAACTGAGAGACTGAACTTCTCAGCAGACAATTACCTAAATTCTGCTTTTGCTGAAGATGGCTTTGTAGCATTACACAATTTGACCATCTTAAAATTTGCACGTAGCTTTCCTAGGTAGTGGTTATTCATAATTGATTTTGGTGTTAATCCCCTTCAAGTTTGCTTTCCCTTCCAAACAAAGACTTACGTTTTAAATAATTTCTTCCTAAGTCATTGGTATATTATAGATAGAATTGAAGAGTTTATGAACTGTGGCCATGGCCTGGAAACTGAAAATGTTGCATTCTTTTAGAATATTATAATGGACAATGTCCAGAAGCTCATTAATCCCAAATGTCTTTATAATTGTTGCATTTAAGGTAACACTTGACTTCAGCTTGTTATGTCCTCATGGTCCTGAACAACAGATGGCAGTAGTATCTGCTCTTATGTCTGGTGCAAGTGATTTCCAGCAGATGCGAATTCTACAGCATCCTTTGCTTGAGACATTTTTACGATTCAAGTGGCACCGCCTACGAATGATCTTTGGCATGCTTGCAGTAGTGCATGCATGCTTTGTGGCTTCTCTCTCGACATATTGTCTCCTTCTGGTGTACAACAACAATAATTCTTCGTTAATTGAGGTAATTAAATTAGATGGTCAATTAGATGTTACAGGCAACTGTAGATATAATTTAATCCCTTAAAATAATGATTATTTACTTTAAATGAAATTGACCAGATGCAATAGTTGAGTGGTGAGCACTGCTGATTCTTATTAAAGTGGATCTAAGTTCAGTTCTTTGGCCAGAGGCCACCTATCACTGAGGTTTTCTTTTTGTATATTCTTTCAGTTCCTCCAGCAAAACACTGAAGTAATATCTTAAAATGTGCCATATTCTGTTTCTTCACATCTGTCTCAATTCATTATTTGCAATCATCTTCACATTCAGTGCATTAAATAAATTTAAAAACAACAAGAAATTTAAATGCAGTGGTTGCTTAGTTTTAATGACCACCTCGATTGTTAGTAGATATATCAGTGGATGAATAATAAATCCAGAGGAATTTATTTGGCAGTTGTGGCCTGTTTTAAAATACTATTTCAGAATTTGCAAGAGGGATTGAGGAAATCCACAATAAGCCACTGAGTATAAATGGCTCATACCAGGATTCAGACTTCTCGCTTACCAAATATGAATCAGACAAACTATTGCAAAAGTAACTTGCTTGTGTTAACAATTTTAGCCCAGTCAGATCTATCATTAGCAATGTGACCATCATTCTGTCAAGTAATAGGACACAATAGTCTTTTATGGTCTTTGTCAATCTTTTGAAGATGTTCATAACCTATTGTATTTATTTATTTGTAGTTTATTCAGTAACCCTGTCAGTAAGTCACACTATGTAGCATGAAGTTTTCATAACTTAAATTAAATTATATTGTATACAGTAAATAGATTTTGTTTAGAAATATTCACCCATTTCATGTGTCCTTTCCAAAGTTTACTGTATTTTGGACTTGAATATAATAATATTCTATTTTCACATCATTAAGAATGTTGATTAATTTGTCCTTATCCAACAGAGTACAAATGCAAGCTGTCAAAATTAATTTCTGCATTACGAGTAGTTAATATTATTGTCTGATTCCCAGATAGTCCATGTTTCTCTGCTACATACCAAGGTAGGTTTTATGGGGATTTTGTAGTTTATATTTGCTATACTGTCATACAAATTAACAAATTAGTCAATAAATCCAGTAACCTTGACAGGCACTACTTTTCATTTCACAAATAAATTTTCTTGTTTAGTGTAACCTTGAACTTCGTGGAAGTAAAGCATGGCCGGTGCATAAGGCTGACAACCACACCACCTTCTGTGAGCTGACTATCTAGAAAATATGGGAACCTCAACCTTTTCACAACCTTATGGGCCTCTGCAGCCTTTTACAGGGCTATCTTTACCTTCACAAAATCCTGGTATTGGGGACTTTGTCCTTGTCTGTTCATTTTACAGTATTTGTTGTTCTTTTTCTGTTTTCAGGTTGTTGTGTCACGCCGAGTCCTGCTTGCATCTGTCTTGGTATTGTTCATACATTTATTGGTCCAAATTCTGCTGCTCCCACGCCACTATTTACTGCAGTATGAGACATGGGTCAATCTAGTGTGTATCCTTCTCTCACTCACCATTGCTTTGGGTGGAGAGATGGGTGACTACATGATGCCATTTCTTAGAGATCGTGAGCCAACTGAGAGTACATGGGTGCTCCATGTCATGTCCTTTGCAGTGTTACTTGCATGGACTGAGCTTATGTTACTAATAGGGCGGTTTCCAACCTGTGGATACTATGCACTTATGTTCTACCAAGTCCTTCAGAATGTGGTAAAGGTACGATGTTTTTACTTGCGCCAAATCATATCCTGTTTCAACATCATTAATCTGAGTTTGTGAGGTTAGTGTTTGGAGACATCGTGCATGAAATATTTACAAAACAATAAAACGGTGATTGACATAGAAAATTTCAGTGCACTTGTTTTTGCTTTGAACTTTTTAATCCCCTCAGCCCCTTAAAGATTTTCAGTGAGCATATGAACAGCTGCTATAAACTAACTAACTAATTTTATGGAGCTGAGCCCCTCTTGAGAAGCTGCCAATTTGTAGCCACTCAAAAACTTCCCAACAATTTATGGAACCCAGAGGTTCTTTCCGTGTTCACAAGAACCCCCCCACAAGTCCCTGTCCTCAGCCAGATCAATCCAGTCCATACCACCCCAATCTGTCTCTTTAAGATTCATTTAATATTATCAAACCACCTACTTATCTCTCCCTAACTTTAACCATCACCATTTAGTGGTCAGTATCACAGTCTGCTGCCCTGATTGATTGGAGATCAAGTATTCTTGAATGCCACCTCCTATCTATCAAAATATTGTTAATTTGATTGTGAGTCTTACCATCAAAAAATGTCCAAGTAAATTTATGAATGTTACAATATGGGAACATTGTACTTTTCACAGTCAGATTTTTGGATGTAACGAAGTTTACTACTTGAACTCCATTTTCATTACTATTTCATGCAAACTTTCATTCCCAGTTGTTGGTTTGAAAATATCTTCCCTACCTACTTTGTCATTAAAATCTCCTAAAAAAATTTTAGGGAATTTAGGGAATTTGTCAGATACACATTCTACTTGTAGTTCCTCATGTGTGCTGTTCTTCACATCATCAGTTTTATTCTCTGTTGGGGCATGAACATGCAGAAAAATTATATCACAACAGCGACACAAGGTGGGTCCTTTGTCAGCACAGCATGGGGCATCCACAGGTTGTGGATGGAGGGGATGGCCTCCAGATATTGAGGGTAGCTGCAAATATATTGAATAAGAAGTTGTGGACAGCTGACAAGAGGTTTTCCTCCAGCTTGAGGGTTGGGTGTGTAGCTGACAACTCTACACCGTAAAAATAAACTTGTTATGAAATGTCATCTGCTATAAAATTTAATAAAAATTCCCATTTCACACAGAGAATATATGTAGCATTTTAAATCTTTAATTTCTGTCGCACTATATCCTCTTCTACCTTTTGATAAATCTTCTGCATTTCCTACATAACTGTCATCTGTTTGCATGATTATGTATACGTTTCAACATTCTAAATTTGGTAATGGATCCAAACCATTGTTGATAGCCATAATCTCTGTAAACCTTTTGTGTTATTAATTATCCACTTGATAATGGTTGTAATAAAATTTAAACATGTAGTGGAGAATATTAATGAATTAAATTATTATTATTTGTATGATGAATATATATAAATTGATACCCTGCCATGTAGTAAGAAAATAATCCCCCGTTGCAGGGTTAATGTTTAGTTATTGAATTTCTTTTTACGTTTCTTTTTTATTGTTCGGTTATAAAATTAAGAATTCAACAAAATATGGGCTACTCTGATTGATGAGATGAAAGTATTAATTTATTATTGTTGTTGTTGATGTTGTTATTTTTTCATTTTAATAGTTAACCACAGATATACCATGCTGGTTGTAATGAAGTGTTGAGTAATGCTGTCTTGGCTCTCATCTTAGAGCTTTCAAAACTGGATCTAAAATGAATTATTTCTTTACATGGCAGGTACTGTTGACATTTGGTGGCTTGGTGATGGGATTTGCCTTCAGTTTTTGTGTGCAATTTCATGAATCTGGTCAGTTCAAGAATCTCTGGTGGTCCATAGTGAAGACAGTTGTAATGATGATGGGTGAATTTGAATACGGAGAGCTGTTTCCTGAAGATGACAAGATGCAGTTGCGTCTGAAGGGAACGAGTCGCATCATTTTCCTTGCATTTGTGGTTCTTTCATCAATTGTGTTGATGAATCTCATGGTTGGTCTTGCAGTTAATGACATCCAGGTAATTTGCATGATATTGACTAAGAGACAAGTAGTTTTTCATGCTGATCATACGACTTTAACGTTATAAAGTAGATTGAGAGGTTACGTCTTTCAACACTGAAAGATTCAATTCTTTGCAGTAACCTCTGTAAACTGATTCTGCTTAGGAAGGTGATTACAGTAAATCCTTACTAATCTGGGTATTGCATACTGCAATAGGGTTCATTTTTCCTGATTTACTGTTATGAAATCACCATAGAATACCAAGGAAATATATCACTTTTATTGAATTTTCATCAATCACATTCTTCTAATTCCCCAACATGTTTGGATATCATGTATGTACTTCAGTCAGTCCTGGCTTGGTTGGTATCATGTAATCATGCTTGCCGAAGTGTTTCTTAACAGCTATAAAGTGGGGATTTCTCTTGCCAGTGTGATGTTTGAGAGAGAGCTGTGTCTGCCCTACAGCCTGCTATTTAGGACTCCCCCTGATAAGGAGCAGTGCATGACCAACTTCTGGAACAAGTTGTAAAGATTATCAATTAATGGAAAAATTATTGTTCCACCATCTGTAATTACTTATGCTCTTGAGATCAGTTTTGTGCCCACTTGTCACTTCATAGCAGCACTACTGGTCACAATACTGCGGTCACTATTGTGATGACTGACCTGTAACTCATCTGCCTGATCAAGTACACTGCACTGAGAACAACTACTAATAATTTCACTGATTAACTGAACACAACTGACTCACTGCTTACTTCTCTGCTCTGTGCTGCACTGAACTGAACTGAACTGTGCCCTTGTGAGAACTTGGGAAACTTCTGTTGTAGGCACATAACCTACTGGGAACTTCTAGCAAGTTTGTGGTTGACCTCAGCCTGTGTTGCCAACTAAGTAACCCCATGAACAATCCAGATGTTATGAGAGTTATATGCAGGAAAGGTGACATATCCTCGCAGTTTTTCTTCTATGACAGTATTAAAATGTATAAAATGGAAAGAAGATTTTGTTTGTGGGTGTGGATTAAATTTAAGTGTCTCTGGACATGGTCTAGTTGCAGACTCTTGTGAACATAATGATTAGCTGTCAGGAGGGAATTTGCTCTCAAGGACAGCTTAATGAAGTTATCATTTAAATGAGATGTTTGTAATTTTATTTCATCATCAGCTTGAATTTTGTAATTATTTGAACATTCTCAAGGAAAGTGCTGTATACTTACATTAAATAATCTCTGTGAGCATGATAAATAATTGAAGTTATTTTGTGCTGCAGGACCTTCGGACAAAAGGGCATGTCCAGCGGCTGTTGAAACAGGCTGAATTTTTGGCTCACTGTGAAAAATTAAGTTCTCATCACATTCTCAGCTCAGCACTATTTCCTGGTTGGCTTCATAAAATTCTGTATGACAGACGTAGCATGGAAACCTTGTTTGTGATCCAGCCAAGTGAGATCTCAACCTATAGGAAGGACTTGTCTTTTATGCTCTTGGAGTCACTTATTGGAGTTGCTATTCACAATGAGCAGAAGTCTGCTGGACGTAATACAGAGTATTCAAAGGATTACCACAGGTATTGTTGAGAGTCTCATTAAATGTTAATGCACAGATAGATGTACGAATAGGTATGATTCATGCCTCAATTCCCCTGTTTAAGGTTTTCCTTACTTGTTATTCTGTTTCTTTTCTTTCTATTCTTTTTATTATATTACTTTTTCTGGATTTACATGCGTTCTCAGATATAAATATTTTTTTTCTGAAGAGGAACCAGGTCCATGACAAAACTTAGATATAACTTTAATTGAAACCAACTAGAAGATGAGAGGTACTAGTGGTGGAATATATTTCTCACAGTCTGTCTTGTCTTAATATCAACTTCACCTAAATGTGCATTTGATTTTTATAAGCAGTATAATGGAAACTGAGTTCTGGCGATATAGTCATTGTGGCTGATGTGATGCAAAAGTAACTACTCAGTTACAAAAGACAAAATCTCTATGTGGTATGATCATTACGTCCGATATGGCAGAAATGGCCAGTCTCAATCCAGAAGAGCAGGCATCACATTAAACCACTATATCTTCCATAGCAGAAATACTATTAGGATGGATTAGTTTTAAGTGTAGTTACCATATTTAGATTTGTATTGTTATTGTGTTCACCAGTGTAGTTGAGTTGGCTATAAACGTCCCTTATTGAAAGAATTAGTATTCATGTCATATCTTAGATCTGTAATTCAGCATTCATTCATGAGTGCTACAGTTGAAACATCATCATTAAATAACCTAAGAATATTATATAAAACTTGTTTCCAAGAAAACTAAAGCTTCTGATTTTCTTACAGATACCGGCAAAACAAAATCAGTGATGGAGGTGAATATGGAAGAATGTCAGATCAAGAGGCTGTAGCTTCTGTTGATCACAGCAGCATTATAATGATGCTTCATCAACTCCAGCTGGACATTGCTGATATCCGCCAGGCTCTTCATGTGGACCAGGATATGGAAACTGTCATGACTACGGGGATGGCAGTTGGAAATCATAGTGTGATGATGAGTGAACGGCGACATAGCAGCCAGCCTGTGGGTGTCAGCAGGTGGGCAAGACCTCTGGCTGAGATTCAGGAGGCACAAGGTATACTGCGGAGATTGCGTCGAAAGAGCAATAAACATAATATTGTGGTGTGATATTGTTATACTTGGTTCAAGTTAAAAATGTTTTCACATGAGATAATGATAAACCTAGCTCTACCAAGTCACACAGCATAGTGGATAACACTCTTGCTTCAACTTGGGAGTTCATATTTTTAATCTCGATCCAAAGTTTATGTATCTTGAGGAGGGATTTTATACTTTTTCCATTGAAAATGACAATTATGTGGAAGTCTGTATAAATTATCAGCCCAGATGCTTGATTTCTTGGACTGGTGGGGCTTTTTTATAGGAGGGGCGGGTATTTCCTCTCACTCCCTTCAGTCAAATTCTTGGACAGAACCTCATGTCTGTTTCCTTTCTAATCCTTCCAAATTCATCAGTCACAGTCATTCTTCCATTTGATATTTGGTAGTCTGTACACTTGATAAAGATTTGTTAAATAACTAGCCTGTTGTTTTTCTCAGTCCCTCCAGACAAACTGCAGAAGAGGAGCTTGAAGTGGGCAAAGAATTATTTTTTTTTTCATCCTTTCCAATTCAGCATGTAATGATCCTGCCATTCAACACTATATAACATGGAGTTGATAAGGCATCAATATATAAACCCATAAATTATAAACTCCAGTTGTATATTTTCCAAATACAAGTTTTGCCAGAAGGGCATTGATAACATATTTTGATGGGTGTCCTTATGTGACACAGAAAGCAGGGGACCCAGATTCAGTCTGTAAGATTTGTTTAATACTCCCATCTATGTACATTAGCTTCTTAAATGATTACTATCCATGATATTTTCAAATGAGAAATGTTGCACACATTTGTTTTTCACATCCATGTTACATATGCCTTTCATAAGTACCAAGTTTATTTAATTGTTTTTAAGTACAATCAGTGAAATACCTCATTATGTACTTTTATTTATGCCTCATTTATCTTCCTTGTGTCTAAAAACTTGGTTCTTGCACACACAAATCCTTGTTTTTCCTGCAGAGTAGGCACAAAGTTTTGCACCTATGTAAAACAGTGATTGGTAAATGAGATAGCTGTGTATATAGCAACTAGGCTAGGAGCTTGATTACCAAGGAATCAAGGTTAGATTCCCAGCGAGAGAAAAATATTTTTTCTCTTCTCTACAGCATCCAGATAGTCTCAGGGGTCCATTCAGGATCCTATAAAATATTTAGTTTTTTAAGGTAAAATGACTTGAATGGTATGTATATATGTGTATGTTCTTGAAAATAAATAAATTATTTATGTAAGAAGCGTTTTCTTCTTTGGCTTTTACTTCCAGACAGGATAGACTGATATCCTGTAGTTAAGATCAGTGAGAGAAACCATTTTAAACTTCAGTCATTTGAGCCAACAAAGCCAGAAGAGAAATAAAATCTGTATAACTGAAGCATAAGCATAAGAAATGCTTTGAAATGTTTTGAACATATGGCAGTGTATGATGAAAGCATTCACATGCTTCACATGTGCTATTTTACTATATTAACTATGTGACTGGTTCTATATCTATGTATATGGATTTATGGAATATACAATAAATGAATGAATGAATGAAATGGAATTGAGCCAGTTAAGTTGCATAATGCATCTGACTTGTATTTGGAAGGTATCCAGCTTGAATCTTGACCTGCAAACTGGCTATCATGACACATTCTTCTTGTTTTTGACACAAATGCTGGAACAATTCTTTGAAATATCCCATTTCACTGTATATATTCATTCATCTCATACAGTAATAAATAATCTGTGCAGTTAAAATAGAATTGTTAATTAAATGACCAACAAGCTGCATGTGATCATGTTAGTTTTGTTTCTATTTTTAGGTAGACTTCCTATTTTTTGTGGTTTAGTTTGGACACTGTCAGTGTCTAGACTATATCATGGAATGTTAGAATGATTGGTAAATAAGACTTTGGAGAGGATTTAGAAGGAAGTTGTCATTGCTTGACCGAAGTACTATTTTGGACACAATGAGGACAACCTTAATGACTTGTCAGGATTGCTGGTGATCTGGTTGAGATTCAAACTCAGCATCTCATTAATATGTGTTTAAAGTGTTACAAATATACCAGCATACTCAGTGTTTTTTATTTTAAAGTTTACATGAAATACTGGCTCCTTTTCACTACCTAGCATAAAAACTATAAAAATTATGAGTAGGGAAATAGAGAGGATTATATGGTCCCTAAAATCTAATCAAACCCATGGATACTCGTATGATGAAATTTCGAATAATATACTCAAAGCCTGTAAAATCTTTATTAGTGAACCTATAAGTTGCTTATGTAACAGAGCTATGCATGAGGGTATATTCCCAGACAGATTAAAATATATATTGTACCAATATACAAAAAGGGTGGTAAAAACTTAGAATCAAATTACAGACCTATATCCAAATTGACATATATTAATAAGATATTTGAGAAGGTAATGCATAGTAGATTGTTAAAACATTTGAATGATAATAGTATATTAAGCAAATACCAGTTTGGATTTAGAGAAAATCAAGGGGCTGAAAATGCAATTTATAGACTTATCTCTGGAATACTAGACTCATTAAATAAAAAAATGCAAGTCTGTTGGATTTTCTGTGACTTATAAAAGGCTTTCGATTGTGTTAACCACGATATTCATTTATCAGTAATCTGTCAGATGACAGGTCCACAGTCTCTTCCAAAACAGTTCCTCCACTTAATGTGATCTTCTGTTTTTGGAAAGAGACTATCCAGGAAAAGTGATAATGTGGTAGTTTTTCCATTTGCTTTCCACATCGCAGTACAACAGCCGTTCAAACCACTCTGGTCACGCCTGTTGCTATACGAACTTGAACCATCTCGAGCATCATTTGTTCTGTGCTTCAAGTCGCTGCTGATGACGCTGCTTCCGGCATCAGTTTTTGGTGTCTCTCTTCGTCTGATGCCTACCCTTTGACCTGTCCAGCAACGGAGGCCCTGTCAGTAGCTACGCTACCACTGGTATAGCTCTCAGGGTCCTTGGCATACTCAAACCGCCTCACAATACAAACAGACAAACAATACGACCTATATAAGTCATATCTATTGAATAGAAAACAGAGAACTGCTATCTCCAATGGGACAAACAGTAGTAAAGTAAACTCTCGATGGGTTAAAGTAACTAATGGTGTCCTGCAAGGGTCGATACTGGGACCACTGCTGTTTATAATATATATAAATGACCTACCAAAGATTTTGGAGACTAAGAGTATTCCCATTCTATTTGCTGATGATGCCAGTTTTTTAATCTCTCAAGACAATCCAATAAAACTTAAAAATACAATAAGTGAAGTATATAGGATGCTGGAGGACTGGTTTAAAAAAATTAATGTCACTTAATGTAATGAAAACATATTATATAAACTTCACTGTAAAAAATAATGTAGTTAGAGAAATGAGAGTCATAGGAACAGTTTTATTAAATACAAATCACATAAAATTTCTTGGCCTGACTATCCAAAAGGTTATAACTTGGGATAGACATATAGATGAGATAATAAAGAAATTAAATACATTTTGTTATATGATAAGAAATGTAAAACCAGCGGTGTCTGTAAAAATATTAAAAAGTGTTTATTATTCATACTTCCATTCTGTTATGACATATGGAGTAATGTTTTGGGGTAACACAACACATGCAGGAAGAGTTTTTAAGATACAAAAGAGAGTTATAAGAATAATAAAAGGATGTGGTTACAGAGAGTGATGCAGAGAACTGGTTAGGAATATGAATATATTTCTTTTAAGATCACAGTATATATACTCTATACTGATGTTTGTAGTAAAAATAGAGAAATATTTGATACAAATAGGGATCGCTATGAAATAAATACTAGACATAATATGGATATACATATGAGCCAGGTAAATTTGACGAAATATGGTAATGGGGTAATTCACATGGCCGTAAGGATTTACAATGCACTACCTAATAAAATTAAAGTAACTTCTAATNGTATATAGGATGCTGGAGGACTGGTTTGAAAAAATTAATGTCACTTAATGTAATGAAAACATATTATATAAACTTCACTGTAAAAAATAATGTAGTTAGAGAAATGAGAGTCATAGGAACAGTTTTATTAAATACAAATCACATAAAATTTCTTGGCCTGACTATCCAAAAGGATATAACTTGGGATAGACATATAGATGAGATAATAAAGAAATTAAATACAGCTTGTTATATGATAAGAAATGTAAAACCAGTGGTGTCTGTAAAAGCATAAAAAGTGTTTATTATTCATACTTCCATTCTGTTATGACATATGGAGTAATGTTTTGGGGTAATTCAACACATGCAGAAAGAGTTTTCAAGATACAAAAGAGAGTTATAAGAATAATAAAAGGATGTGGCTACAGAGAGTGATGCAGAGAACTGGTTAGGAATATGAATATATTTCTTTTAAGATCACAGTATATATACTCTATACTGATGTTTGTAGTAAAAATAGAGAAATATTTGATACAAATAGGGATCGCTATGAAATAAATACTAGACATAATATGGATATACATATGAGCCAGGTAAATTTGGCGAAATATGGTAATGGGGTAATTCACATGGCCGTAAGGATTTACAATGCACTACCTAATAAAATTAAAGTAACTTCTAATGATATAAATAAGTTTAAAAACAAAGGAATTTCTCTATTTAAATTCTTTTTATACACTGGTTGAATTTTTTAAGAGATAATGATTATACAACTATATAAATATATAAGATGTTGAGTAGTACAGCAAATGAATAATCATCGTGAATGTACGATAACCATACTTATAATTAAATGTTTTTATATGTTGGATTTGTTGTATATGTTAAAGCTATATGACCAAAATATTCTCTTACTTTTGACGGAAATTTTTATCTTAAATTTTTATTTTAAATGATAATTTTAGTGTATTGTGCTAGAGAGTAATTGTATTATGATGTAAACAAACATTGTCATATATTATAAGTCTTTTTGACAATTGCTTGATAGTATTAGCAAGATAAATTGACACAATTCTGTATCTAAGGCTTTAGCCTACTATAGATGTAATGGAATAAGGAAGAAATAATAATNCAACTAAGGTGATGAGTTTTATACCAGCTGGATCTAGCGCATGTGACAATTTCAACCTGACAAGATAAACACTTCTTGATGCCTTAACCATGATTTTGAGGTCATATAAAATTTAAATTATCACAATGTTAACCTTCCTTTGGAGGTAGCAAAATGTGCCTCACACCACACTGCTCCTAATTCAGATACAAACTTACCTCACTAGACATGGAGTGTGCAGCAAGGTTGTTATGACCATAATATAATTTCACAAGAAACAAATAAATTTATTTTCACTATTTTCTGGATGTGACACCATGTAATCTGGCAAATATTTACTGATATTGCACTCTCCTACCTTGAGAATGGAAGCAGCATATTTCTCCAAAACATCAGTAAACATTTAATAGACCACATGACATCATACCCCAGAAGACTGCAATTAAGTCACTGGTGTGAGAACCTAAAATGTCACAAAATTATTTTTGTCATTATTTGTTCTTGAACTAATTCAGAATAAAACTTATTTTATTTTGGATTAATTACTTTCTAGAAATGTTTAGCTGTCAAGTTAAATGTCTTTTATAATGGCTACCTGCCAGTGAAAACATCCTTCCCTCTTTCAGTTCTGATGTTGCTTGTTTGTAATCATAAATACTGCCAACTGCTGAGTACTGTACATACTAATTATCTTGCTAGGATTTTCCGTTTTCCTTAGAGGATCATGTGATATGTAAATTACAAAGTTCCTTCCTGGAATGAGAAACACAATTGTTATTACTGTTTTATCATGTTTAAAAATATAAGCATATTTTTTAACCTCAGTGATGTTTATTTTAGAATTCTGATAAGCACAAAACAAACAAATTCATGGGGGAAAAACATTCCGTATAATAGCTCTAAAGGTGACATCATAATACATACAAGCAGGGAATTAAGTTATTGACCTGAATATGCAGTTGTTATGCTTCCTGTCAAAACTACATTTCATTATACATAAATCCCTCAAGCATGAACCAGAGAAGTCAGGTGTGGCTGATGAGGGACTTCACAGCACTGACAAACAGGATGCAGTAAACAAGAGGTATTTTCACAGCCTGTCAAACCACCTGTACCTTAATCACAATGGTAATGTGGGTTATTTCATAAATTTTAAAGCCTTGGTTTCACAATTATATGTAACAGGCAAGAGGAAAACAAGAAGTGCCCAAATATTAACTGGAAAACATTATAGGAGGTCCAGGGACAAATTAATTCTTGGCATACAAACAATGCTCTTCCAGCTGCAGAATGTATGTAGCACTGGGTAAGATTGAAAGATGATAATGACTTGTGACAGTGCGTCATTTTATCAGTTGAATAAGTACCAAATGCTCCAGGGTGATTCAGTACCATGAAGTTTATGATGCATATTTATTCTTTTTAAGAATGTTTCTTTGATCTTTTAGGCATTCTGTAAGAGCATACATAAAACAAAGAATTTTTTGTGGGTATGCTGTGCCAGTCCATCAATGTAACCATTCAATGGATTCTGATGAAATTTGGTAAGAGAAAAATCGACAACACAATTTTGACAAAATATAAATGTGGCCTAATTCGTGTTAATAAGAACTGCCCTTCACTGTTTATCTCATTAACTCTACACCAAGGCAAAACATGGTTCATCAAAACTTCAGACATTACTCTTAATAACTGTTATATACTTCATTGAAACAAGTAATTCAGAAGTCTGCAAAGTGAAAACAAAATTCCAGTTTTGTTTCTTTTTATCACTAACAATTCTTTCTACCTTGATTATGATAATGACCTATTTGAGTCCTATGGTCAGAGGAGGGGGACAAGGCCTAGATGTTTGGGAAAAATAAAAATTGAAGAAAAACTACTTACACATAAGTTTTCAAGCATATTTTCTGCCCCCCCCCTTCCCCCAAGAAAAAATCCTGTTGGTGGTGCCCATGCTGAGGACTGAAGCAATTATGATGCTGTGCTGGCTGATGAAGTCTATAGTATATCTCAGATGATTGGTTTGCAGCGTCAGTAGAAAGTTTACAGACAGTGGAAAACTGAAGTACTCTGAAAACCTACTCCATCACTACTTTACATCATCACAGATTTCACATGAACTGCCATGTCAATGGTACTAAAAAAGTAAATTGTATTATCTCAATGAAAATGTGGTAATTAATAGTATTAAATTATTAAAGTACCATATTGAAACCACATGCATCATAATTCCAAGAGGTAATTTTTAAATGTAAAATATAGAAACAAAGCAGTACAGCAATCAGGCTTTAAATATTGCACATGCGTGAGATTTGTGTGGTGGTTGATAGTCCAGTACTTTAGTATGCTGCTTTTAGCACAATTTCAAGGGCACTTTTATGTAGGTTCAAGTTCCATTAATACTATATATTTATTTGAAAAAATGCTGACAGCGTAAATAAAAGGCTTATTATTATTATTCCATAAAATTGATTACCATTACTTCACACTGACCTCCTTCTAACAAAAATAATTTGTTTAGTTATTTCAGGGATGTAAATTTTCTGATTTTTCACACATATATTTATAGGTAATCAAAATTCTGGAAGCAGCGTGTAGAGTTTTTGTATGGTTCTCAATTTTTCTGTCCAGAATATTACACCCCTATGTACAGTGGAACTCCTATTTAGTGTTTCCCCTCATTTAAAGCTGAATTATCTCACTGGAATCACTTCATTGAAACTCCTTCAATTTAGGGGTTTCCTTAGTCTAGCATTCAAATCCCCTACTCCCCAATGAAACTTGTTCAATGAAGGTTTCATTGCACATTGCAGTAACTACTAAGGTTGTGTATGAGTACTTCACACTGTTAAGAACCAACAATTTTTATGAATAACTAGAGAAAATGCTTCATAGGACCCAAGTGGTGTATTTTGGTTAGCCCTGATCCCCACTATAATAGAATACTAAATCACTCATACTGTATAATTTAATATGAAATGCCAATGCACTTTACAGACAGTAACAAAGGTTACATTAAATCTGATTCATCTATTAACAAATCACTGGAAGGGATTTTCCCAGTTAGAATTGTAGACTGTGGTGGGGAACATATAACAGGCATGAGATGTTAGGGGCAATGCAGGGACCAACAGAGTGACAGTCATGAATCTATCTGCAGCAATCACACTTCTGATTCTCAAGATTGGCATTTTTGTGGTAAGTATTTGTGATGACAGAGACTGATTATGAATGTTACTGAGTTTTAATTATGACAAAATTAAAACAATTTTGATATTACACAATAAGAGCTACTTCTGATGTAACACAGTCGTTGAGTGATCAGTAGTAATTGGCTACTTTTAGCCTGAAAACATCAAATTTCACAAAGTGGAATGGTATATTTCACTGGGATACATGTTATCCAAACCTATCACCTGATATTTTGCATACTGAATTGGCCTTGGTATTAAATTATTGCAGATACAAATCCAATGATGCAAAGCTCATAGCACATAGGACTTATGTGACACAATGAATTGTAGATGTGAATATTACGTGCAACCTTTCATTAATTTTTACTTTCTTGTATACAGTAAAATGAATGTGTGTTAATGACAAGACATCTAACGTATTAATTGAAATGGGATCCTGGTACTTGTATTTATCACTAAATTACTGCATCTACAACTATATATGAGAAAGTGGGGGTCACTCCAGATTAGACTAAATTTGTGGCGGCACCAGTCTGATTTCAGGATATCATTTCTGAATGAATTGTTAATGTTATTCTTGTCTTATGATATATCTGTAAATCAGTATGAATAACTGACAACTGCTTACTTGTATTTTATGTAGTGAATGATTCTTGAGAGGCCTCCTGACCTGGTTATTTTGAAATAGCCTTATTCTGTTCCAGGCAAAAATAATTAGTCACTCCTGCTGTATGCTAATAAAAAATTTTAGTGTGGCCACTATGTAGATAGTGGCATATTTACATATTTTTGCTAGAATTTCTTTGCACAGAAGCATAAAATGAATCCAGGTGAGATCAAGCATATCCGTCCATCAACATCCTGGAATATAACTTCTCACATCCTTTGTAAAATCTAAACAAATTTATTAATGTAATTATAGTATTTTCTTACATGTTCACTTGTTTATTTGTGGTTCATTTAATGAGACTGCAACCCACTATACCGTGTTGAATAATAGGATGATTTAATGAATAATAAATTAGAAAGGATCTGGAAGAAAGTGGTCATAATCCAACTTGTGATACTGTCCTGGAATTTGGCTGAAGAAAACCATGAACATCCTCATTCAGGATAGCCAGTGTCACAGCCAAGATTCAAAATAGTTTTTGCTTGAATAAAAGTCAGAAGTATTTTCTTAAAAATGTTCAAAGACTGAATAGTCATTTATATTTAGGAATATCCACATTAAAAATAGAATGAATTAATGATATATTTTCTTCTACTGTGTGAAATATTCATGTCTTGATTACCTTGCAGGCAGGACAGAATGTTACTATTACTAACACAACCACAACGATTATTACTACAGTCATAACAACAAATAACACCTCCTCTAATGCCACAGTGCCTACAACTTCAACTACAACACCTACTACAACCAGCAGTAGAATGACAACACTGCCATCAGTCACTACATGGGGTAAGAATAATATTAATCACCAAAGCATTTCATAATGAAAACACTTTCTACAGAATTAAACTTTTTCTAATTCCCCTCCTTATTGCATTGTGACTTCTGTGAAAAGAAAATATGAATACATTTCTCTAGTGAAATGCAAATGGACAGTAATTCTGTTTACTCTCTGTGATATGATGATGACACTTGAAGGATGACAAAAGGGATCTACAACCTAAAATGAATCCAAACGATGATGGGGGTCTGGTACTCTTTGTATTCATAAGTTCTATATTCTGCAGAGTCGAAGGCTGAAGATATGTACAAAAGTCCATTTTGAATCTGAAATACCTGAACCAGATCATTCAGAGCTTTTGGGCATACAAATATAGTGCTTTACCCTGCTCTAAGCTTTAGTTCCAATAATTCACCAACATTTATTAGCAAAATGAAATATTTCACCATTTTTAACATTAAAAGTTCTTCTGGAACAAATATAAACACAATGTAAGATTTGAGGCTTTCACGGCGGTGACTATGAAGAAAGCAGTCTTCTGGGATTTGGCACCGTGTATATGTGGTGTTAACCGACGTTTCGGAGGAACGTATCGCCCCCATCTTCAGGGTAGAAGAAAAAGTATAAGAAATCTGCAGACTGCTTTACCGTTTCTCACGGTGTTGTCGCTTGCAGATTTCTTATACTTTTTCTTCTACCCTGAAGATGGGGGCGATACGTTCCTCCGAAACGTCGGTTAACACCACAAATACACGGTGCCAAATCCCAGAAGACTGCTTTCTTCAAATATAAACACAATGTATGTAGGCCAAGGGCAATGATTCCCTGGATTATATTAGGCCTGCCTGCTTTTTCTTCTTTAATTTGCTTAGTGGGGGGAGTCCAACTGGGTCCACTTGGCACGGCGGCCACTGATTGGCCTATTGTAGCCTGCCTCAGGTGATTATGATGATGGAGAATTTGGTGGAATGAAGATTGGCAGGGGAACCCCAAGTACTCAGAGAATACCCGAGGCCTGCCTGCTTGCTGTCTGCTTCACTCTTGTTTCTTGCTTAGCTTCATTTCTGTAGAAAAATTGATAAAATTTTTCTGCAATAACAAATAGAATTTTGTTTTCTTTATAAAGTCAATGTTATGCACCCCACAAAGGGTAGTTTAGCAATGTGTCCCTCTGAAAGAAAAGGATGTACATCACTGTGGTAGAATATGTCTGTGATAAATGTAAAATATGTTGGTGTGTGCAGAAAACAGCCTTCCTAAAATCATCTGCATCATGATTCTCTTTTAAATATCACACTTCACAAATCATGTGGGACTTGTATAAACATTATCATTACATTTTAATATTGTAACTAATTAGCTGCACATTCTGGTCAATGGCCTAGTATAAACATGTTTATATCAGATATATGCAGGCTCGAAGATTAGAGATGTGTAGTTTATTTGGGTTCATTTTGAAAGGTCCACTGTAAAAGTGAGTTCTGCCACACATGATGGAATGACTAAAGAAATGGAAGATGTTCCATCCTCTGCCATAGCAAGGTGAACTAAAAATTAATGAATTCTGCACAGGTCCTCTGATGTACTGCTGGTTCCCATGTTTTGGTGGCAGTTGTGGAGGTGGTTACCCCCTGCCACAGAGACCTCCAAGTGGTGGAACTTTGTCTTGGTGGTTTGGATTCCAATTCCAATGGTCAAGAAGCAAATCAAAACAGCAAAGATATCCTTGTCCAAAGAAAGGAAGCCGTAATCAAAGACGCAGGGGATGTTAAAATCTGTGTATCTCTACAGGTGGAAATAAATTATTAAAATATAGCATAAAAAATTAGTCATTCATTTTTGTAAGACTGAAGCAAAAAGATAGTGCAATACACCCATGTCCAGAAGTGAGCTATATGAACTTAATGACTGTAAATCATAAGCTGATTGGATACTTACATCAACAATCAGAGCTAGGTTTCAGTGGGTTTGCTGGGAAACAGTTGTGTAATGGCAGATTTTTTGTGCAGCACTATTTTAAGGCAAAATGCTAAAAATAATATATTGGTGTTGTTTTTTCTTTTTTAAACATTATTCTCTGTAATCTGTTCAAACTGTCTGGCTGAGATGATTAGTTTAGTTACTTTATCCTAAGTTTCACTTTATTCTTTCAGGTCCATCACACTACTTAATTATTACGAAATGATTTGACATCACCATCCAGTTTGACTCAATATATATTTATAGTGACTTTACAGGTTTTGGTCAGTTGTGACCGTCTTCAGAAGGCAATAACAGCATACTAAAGAACCTCTATTACATGGTACATATGCTTAAAATATGTATAAAAGTTTTCTAATTATTAAAGTTAAAATGTATTTTAAGTTAATGATATAGTATTAACATTTAAAATCTTCAACTGCTAGGATTTGTGTTTCCTTGCCTCTTCTGTCAAAACAAGAGATTGGGGTGTTATCTGCCATCCTCTGATGTCAAGACAGCGTTGTTTTCCCCTTTTTCTCACAGAATTCTTTAACGATCTGTGTTGTTTTCGTTTCTCCTTTCCTTGTGTATTGAGGCATCATAAAATGAGGGGAAAACAATGCTGCCCAGAATAGGTTTGAGGGGTTACAATAAGTCATGTGAATGTCTGAAAAGGAACATGTAAAAGAGAAATTTAGAAAAGATTTTTTTAAGTGGGTGCTCACATATAGTGATTTCTCCAGTAAGGGTTTTGTGAAATAATAGTTTGGGAATTACTGGCATATAAAAAGCCTAACCTGGTTTGTTTCACGATCACATAAACACTTGGCACATGAAAGCAAAGTCTGATGTACATTTACTTGGGTGCAGTCTTTCTGGACGTTATTATGGTAAACTACATTGACCAGATTTTGGTTAATGATGATTATAAGATCATGAAAATATTAAGTCAGGGGAGTGAATTCTAGTCATGAAAAAAGATAGCAATTATTATACCATGTCTGTTATAACATAAAAAATAAGATAAATTGTCACTGATGTCTAAAATTGCAATTGTATGCAATATGATATAAAATAAACATTATGAATTGGAAGAATAACAATATAATCCTTGTCTATGTGCAATGCTGCTATTAGACATCTGACGGTCCTGAAAACCTTACTATAACATACCAAATGAATATGGATTTCAGGGCTCTATAGTAAATACTCTTTTTGATTAAAGTTCTGTAATATGACATTAAATATGTAGTTTAATTTGTAAGCTTGTGTTCAAAGAGAGCAATATTTGGCATTAACTAGTTGTGTTCATGGTCAAAACATTCCCTTACTTACAGGTATATCATATCAGAATCTTCTTCATCTGTGTTTACACCAGTGTCTTCATTTCCTCGCCTGTGTTTGCACCACAATCATTCTTTGCCTCTACTCAGAAAAAATCCATTTTTCCTTATAAAGTTGAGCAACCACCCCTTCTCTTTATCTGTGTTCAGTATTATCAGGCATACAGAATGATTAATTACTGTATGGATGCTACTCTTAACACCCATCCCCCCCCATCCCACAAAAAAGGGGAAAGAAAAGAAAGAAAGATAAAGTCATATCAGGGGCTAGCAAACCATGAACGTGGGCCAGATTTAGTTACTGAGAGGATCTCTAGCACATGATGAACAAGATGGCAGTTATAACTCACTGAAAGTTGAAATATTACACATACTGTATATCATTAACATAGATTAGAGCATTTACAACTCTGATCAAAAAAGTGGTTGGGTTCTAGCTCAGCTGCTTGAAGTCTCTCTTTCTCTTAGATATACAGCACCCTCCACATGGGCAGTACAAAAAAGAAATACTCCAAAAATGCGACAGAGTGAGTATGGTTCACAATGAGGACTTCACAATAGTGACAACACTGGAACTCTAATTTTCCTAGCATTATATGTATGGAAAATAATTGCATAAAATGATAATTTTTTTCATCATATGTCATAACAAGTGATTCCTAGTCAGCTGCCACTGCTTTCCTGTAATGATTTGCACCCAATGTGCTTGCAGATTTATTCCATGATTACCAGTCCATAAATGTCTTGTTAACCCACCCCATCATATCCCTGTATTCCAGAATCTGAGAGCAGCTTAACTATGTGTATTCCAGTCATGATGTTTAGAACAACCTGTAATGTAGTGTATGGGTGTTAAGCATTGGTTGGATATAAACTGCTATGTGTGTTACATCTGTCGCTCCAGCTTGATACATGTCAAACAGCGTAATTCCCACCTGTACGCACAAAAAAGAGAATCATGGGCAGAAAATCAGTGGGACCTGCAAGAATGCAGGTTTTGTCATTTTGACATTTTAAAACCAACAATTCATAATGAGATATTACACACAATTAATAACGATAATGGAGTCAGGGTAGTAAACATTGTCACATCCAAAAATTTGATTGTCAATAATACAATGTTCCCACATCATAACTTTCATAAATTTACTTGGACATCTCCTGATAGAAAAACTCACAATTAAACTGACCACAGTTTGATAGATAGGAGATGACATTCTAGTGTACTTGATGTCCTATCATTCAGAGAATAGACTGTGATATTGACCACTATGTAGTGGTAGTAAAAATTAGAGAGAGACTGGCAGTGAGTAAGCAAATAATGCACAAACTTCACATAGAGAGGTTCAATCTCAAAAAATTAAACTAGGTAAAGGTTAAAGAGCAGTATCATGTTGCAATCTCAAATAGGTTCGCAGCTTTGGTAAGCTTAGACACTGAGATGGATATTAACAGAACATGGGAAACTAAATTTCAGCCAAAGAGAGTCTAGGTTGTTATGAACTGAAGAAGCATAAGCCATGGTTAGACAAAGGATGTTCAAAACTATGAGATCAAAGGAAACAACCCAAATTGCAGAGGTTACAGGGTCCGAGCAAAATAAAAGGGGATAATCTGAACAATGTAAGATGTGAAGCCAGCAGGCATTTCAGGAAAAAGAAGAGAGAATACTTGAAAGACGAAATTAATGAGCTTGTAACAAACAGTAAGAACAAGAACATTAGAGATCTATATAGAAGAATAAATTAATTTAAGAAGGGTTACCAACCAAGAAGTAACTTAGTGAAGGATGAGAATTGTGATCTGCTTGCTGATTCCCACAGAATTTTGAATAGATGGAAGAACTACTTCTCTGTTATTGAGCTCAGTGATATTAGGCTGATAGAAATGCATACCTGATCCTAGTCTTTAGAGGTTGAAATTTCTATTGCAAAGTTGAAAAGTATAAATCGTCAGGTAGTGATCAAATTCCGGCTGAACTGATTCAAGCAGGAGGTGAAACATTATGGTCTGAGATCCATAAACTCATTAATTCTATTTGGGACAAAAAAGAATGATAAGTAGGAGTCTATTATCATACCAATATACAACGGCAATAAACTAAACAGATCAACAGCTGATCATATTTTTTCACATTTGTCAGATACTGAACAAAAATGAGAGTACAATAAGAAGTACAGTGGCTGATCACAGACTACAAGAAAGCCTTTGATTTTGTTAGGAGGAAAGAATTTTAAAATATTCTCACAGAGTTTGGGGTACTCATGGAAATAATTAGGATGATTAAAATGTTTTAAATGAAACTTATAGTAAAGCCCATATACATAAATATTTGTCTGATAAGTATCCTATCCAAAATGACATAAAACTAGGGGATGCTTAGTCACAATTACTTTTCAACTTTGTTTAGAATATGCCATTAGGAAAGTCCAGGGAAACCAGGTGAGACTGAAATTAAATGAGACACAATGGCTTCTGGTTTATGCTGATGATGTAAATCTGTCAGGACATAACATAGATTCTATGAAGAAAAACACAGAAACTTTAACTGATGCTAGTAAGGAGGCTGGTCTAGAAGTAAATGCAGAGAAAAGTAAGTATATGTTGCTGTCTTGTCACTAGAATGCAGGGCAAAATCATGATATAAAAATGGCTAACAGAGCCTTTGAAAACGTGGCACACTTCAAATATTTGGAAATGACAGAAACAAATCAAAATTTGGTTCAAGAGGAAATTAAGAGGGGACTGACTCCGGTTAAGGCTTGCTACCGTTGAGTCCAGAACCTTTTGCTTCTTGTCTGTTGTCTAAAAATGTAAAAATTAGAATATACAAAACCATAATTTTGCCTGTGGTTCTGTGTGGGTGTGAAACTTGGTCTCTGACATTAAGGGAGGAACATAGACTGAGGGTGTTTGAGGACAGGATGTTGAGAAAAATTATTGGACCGAAGAAGGATGAAGTGACAGGAGGTTGAACAAAACTGCATAATTAGGAGCTTCAAAACTTGTACTCTTCTCCAGGTATGATAGTCAAGGAAGATAAGATGGGCAGGGCATGTAGCACAAACGGGGGGTGAAATGAAATGCATATAGGAAGGAGACCACTAGGAAGACCAAGAAGTAGGTGGGTTGATAATATTAAAATTGATCTTAGAAAAACAGAATGAGGTGGTATGGAGTGGGTTGATCTGGCTGAGGATAGGGACCAGTGGAGGGCTCATGTGAACACAATAATGAACCTTTGGGTTCCATAAAATGGTGGGAAATTCTTGAGTAGTTGCACAATTGGTGTCTTCTCAAGAAGAGTTCAGCTCCGTGGAGTTAAATAATAAAGCAGTTAGACACATCATTGTAAATATTAAAGAAGATGCTGCTTTAAAAGCAGCCAAGAATGACACACAGGAAAAGTTACATGCCATAAGATGTTATATCAATTTTGAAACCACTCTTAACCTAACAACTGTACTGAAATAAAAACCACACATTTTATTACACGTCACATCCTTGTAACTTACATATAGAGTAAATTCAAACATGATGAAAAAAAATCTATTACAAATTACAAATTAATGCAGAAAATGCCTTAAGTTTTTGCAGGCCTCAACAGGAACTCAGAAACTTTGGGACGCATTATTGAACTGTTTTTTCTTCTTCAGGGCTCTGGTCCTGCACGAATCATACTTCTACATCATGAGATCGTTGTTACGAAGTATAGCCAAAGCATATTTTGGACAAATGATCATGTTGCAACAAAGTCTGTGAAGACTCCTTAAGTGAAATATCATGAGCAGCAAAAAGAACTTGCAAAATTCACCACTCCGATTCAAAGAAAATCAGAATTGGATAAAGCTGCAGTTTTGTGAGAAGATTGATGCCTCTTTAACAGCCCAGTTGCAACAGATCTTAGATGGCTTCGGGATCATGGACTTCAGTGATCCTTCAGGTTTTGGTATCCCATGTGGTAATCCTTATGCTGGAAAAGAAGAAAATGCAAAGAAGAGCAGGTCACAAACCAGACAGTACTAAAGGGCACAGTATATCTGAATACAAGGATAATCAGATTCTGGACAGAGAAACCCAAAGAACTCAATTGAATTTCATAAAATACAGATTAGCATTTGTTTTAAGCCACTTTATCTGGAAAAAATAAAGAAAACAGGCAAGAAACCTCAAGCAGATTAGTTTAACACAGGATGTAATAGGTACTACACAACTGTTTCCATATTTTCATATTTATTGCCAACTGCAGAGATTCTGAGGGGCTAAAACGCCATTGGTTATGGAACAAGTCCCATACATGCATAGTTTAAAAAATTATTGAAATCAGTCAACACAATAAATTTTCTTATACCTGATTGGACAAATTATAAAAACATGCAAGATAGCCACAATATTTATATACAAAATAGTAAATTTAAAAGCATAAAGTTGACATCTTACAATCAAAATTTACAGTCATAAAATCAGCAATTTCAATACTTTAGATATAGTCAAATTTCAAAATTCTTATTTATAACAATAGTATTCCTCCACAGTGTAGAAAGAGTTGGTGGTCAGGAAATTCCTTAATGCCACTTTAAATTTAGGAATATCATATGATATTTAAGCTTAGTACCAGAGCACCATACTCCCTTCTGGCATAGTCAGATTTACCACTGGAAAATGCAAATCACAATTAGATCTTGTATTAAAAGTATGAACATCTGAGTTTATTTTAAACAAGTCTTTATTATTAACAACAAACATTAATAAAGAGAATATATAGTGAGAGTAGAATGGAAAATAGACAGTTCCTTAAATAAATTTTGACAAGAATCCCTGCTGCCGGAATTTGTAATGATTCTTATTATCCTTTTTTTGATTTAAGAATCTTAAATATAATTTTAGAGTGAGTTGAGCTACCTCAAAATATTATACCGTACGAGATAATTGAGCCGGTCACGGTAGCCGAGTGGTCTAAGGCATGCACTGTCTTCGCTCTCTCGGAAGCCGAGATCGGTGGTTCGAATTCCACTCAGGGCATGGATGTTTGTGTGCGTTTTTCTGTGTTTGTCTACAGGTAGAGGCCTTGCGATGAGCTGATCACTCACCCAAGGAGTCCTACCGTATGTGTAAGATCTAGAAAAACCGAAGTGAACGGAGAAGTTCATGGAGGTAGGCCTAGGCCCACTGGGGCTGTAGTGCCAAGGAAAAAAAAATGAGATAATTGAATGGACTAATGAGAAGTAGACCATTTTTAAGGTCTCCAAAGATAATAACACTTTCAAAAATCTAATTATGTAGGATACTTTATTTAGTTTAGGTATCAATTGTTCAATATGAGTATGCCATGATAAATTTTTCTCAATTATTAAACCTAAAAATGTTATGGTATGTACATTAGTTATTTGTATATTTCTGTATGCTATATTAAAGTCAGTTGCATTAGTGTTTTTAGTTAAAATTGAAGGAAATAGGTTTTTTCCAGATTTAATGATAATAAATTGCTGTGAAAACATCTATTTAATCTTTGTATGGTGGTATTTATATCTCTTTCAAACATCTGGATATTAGGGTTTGTAATTATCAGACAAGTATCGTCAGCATATAAGACAGGGTTTGAGATGTTGGATATTACATTAGGCATATCATTAACATCTAAGAGAAAGAGCAAGGGACCAGGTATGGACCCCTGAGGGATTCCCGTCTAGAGTAGTATTTACTTGAGTTAACATGTTAAACACTCTGATATCTGTCTTCTAGATAGGATTTTATTAAGTTATAAGCCATTCTGGTAATCCCATAGAATTCCATTTTGAGCAACAAAATATCGTAATTAGCACTATCAAATGCCTTATGAAGATCGCAGAAAATACCCCCAGCTAATAATTTACTATTTAACGCTCTTAATATATAATTAATTAAGAGATAAGACATGCAATCTGTCGACAATGCTTGCCTAAACCAAAACTGTTCATTAACAAGACCATGATTATCCTTAATATGTTGATATAATCTATTAAAGAGTACTTTCTAAAAAATCTTAGAGATTGATGTGAGGAGCGAAATAGGTCTATAATTAGATGTGTCATTTTTGTCTCCACTTTTAAATACAGGTCTTATTTCCAAAAATTTTAATCTTGTTGGAAAGCTGCCTGTAATCAACATTCTATTACATATATAAGTTAAGGGAGAAGAAATATAGGGAATACACAAAATGGTGTGAAGTGGAGAAGAGGAACAGTTCACTATCTACCAAATGGCAAGAAACTTCATTAATTAATGTTTTAAAGGTATTCACAACACCAAGAACCTTGGTGCAACACAGCAGTTTAAGTATACTGTGTTACATGAAGTTTAAATACAAGTATGATATCGATGGAAAATAAAATGCCTACATAGTAGGATTTGAGGTTCTCACACTGGTGGATATACAGAGTGTCCCAGGAGGAATGTGCCAGACTTCAGGAGGGTGTTTCTTATGTTAAAGTATGCCTATATAACCCAAAACACCTATGTCCAAAGTTGAACGGTTACGGAGATAATGGCCAGAGAAGTGTGAAACTTTGACAGGCGTTACACAAATACATATTAAAACTGGCAGGAATATGTGGTTTCTGTAATGTTAATAATGTACGTAACATCAGACTAATTTGTGAGTGACATGAAGCTATTAAATTGAACTACAAAAAAAAACTCGCATGCCATGTCTTAGTTGTCCTTAGGTTTCCAAGCACTATACATGACATGAATGGCAAGTGCTGACGTAACATGCCATGCAATGGGACCACCACGACCTAACCAGGGGTTGGGGAAGGATTCATGTAAGTAGTGACTCAAGTGCTGAGTGTAATGTGGGGGAGCCCCATCATGTTGGAAGTGCATTTGGCTCCTTATTGTTAACGGGATATCTTCCAACAAACATGGTAGCTCACTCCTCAGGAAGGCTTCATATGTGTTTCCAGTTAAATTGTTGTGAGACACAAAACGTCCAATCAACCTGTTCCCAAGCACACCACACCATACATTCACAGAAAAACTCTTGGAATTTCGTTACCATTATCTCATGTGGATTATTATGGGACCACATATGCACATTTCGTAAATTATTTACACCGTCCCGGGTAAAAGATGCCTCATCACTGAATAAAATGATGCTTAACAGTTTGGGATGAGCTTCTATCCAGTGGCACAAATCCATATGCTGAGCATGGTCGCCTGGTTCCAGATGTTGTACCCTTTGATCATGGTAAGGATACAACTCTTCGTCATGTAAAGTTCACCACACCTGCATACGTGATACGCCGACGCGAGAGGTCATTCTATGAATGGACAGATGTGGACTTCTCTGAATCATCTCAAGAATGTTCTCTTATGTTTCTCATTCATACATCCTCCCTTTCAGAGTGCACAGAAACCAGTATCATGCAATGTCTGGTGAATTCGCGTAAATACACTTCAAGATGGAATCCTTCAATCGGGAAAACACCTTTGGTATTCTTCAACAGCTGCACATGCATTGCCAACGCAAAATCCATACACAAAATGCATATCACAATATTCCACGTGTGAAAACACAAAAGGCATTTCAGCAACTCCACACAACTAATTTACCAACCTTTCACAATGTGGCCACAATGTACCCTGAAGGTAGCACATAAGCTTACAGCTAATGTGAATCACCACACTCAAGGACAAACATAGATAAGACTTGTCAGCTGACAGGTACAGTGCGTGGACCCGCCAGAAGACCACACTTTTCTCGGGCCATTATCTCCGTAACCGTTCAATTTTGGACATAGGTGTTTTGGGTTATATTGGCATACTTTAACATAAGAAACACCCTCCTGAAGCCTGGCACATTTCTCCTGGGACACCCTGTATAAAGAGTACTGTCTTCTGGGATATAACATTGTGTAGTCTGTTGAAAGTTAACTGACGTTTTGGAGGAACAAATCACCTCCATCTTCTTTGAAGTCTAATATGCCGAGCAAAATACCAGAGTTGAAGGCAGGTGGTGACCCAGCTTGTCATCTGCTTTCACTCTAGTACCTTGCTTGGCTTATTCAACCCTGAAGATGCAGGCGATATGTTCCTCTGAAGCATCAGTTGACTTCCAATGGGCTACAAGGCATTATATCCCAGAAGATAAATACTCTTCAAAATGCCTACAATTTTTATTTTCTTCAAATTCATAATGAACCACACATAACTCACCATCAAAATGCACTTTTCTGTGCTCAGAGTTAAAATCAATGGATTCACTATCCAGAGAACAGGGACTGTCTGTGTCATTCTCCAAAGACTGTGCCAATGATGAAGTGAAACTGAATTCTGAACCTGCATAGCTATTGAGATCTGCACCATCCCTGCGCAACAAATCATGCATCACTTCCCATGCTGAAATGGACCATTGCAACAATAATCACAAAGTTATATTTTAGCGTCCTGTTGCACTGATTTTCATCCATTATATGTATACAGTGGCTGTCTTGTAGTGCACTCAATTTCACCTGTCACTTCACAACATGTTTCGGCAACATAGTGCCATCATCAGGTGTCCCAATTACATCAATCTATTGCATTGCCTTCCCCCATATATTTTCACAACACCATTTAAAAAGTATTTAAAAAGTCCGTATTTGTCAATTATGATAAATTTACACTCGCTAAAACTTGTTAAGATAATTCATCTTATTTGCCTTAATTAAAACTTGCATGTGGTTCGTTCACTACGGGGTCGTTTTTCTTATTTTCTGTGTAAACTGCGTCTTGTGATGTGTGTTCCCTTCTTAGCTGCGAGTGTTGTAATCACAACACTTGCAGCTAAGAAGGGCTATCATTGAGACCAAAAAGCTCTTTGTAAACTGAAGAGAATGTGAAATCACACTTCTACCACATACAAATAAAAAACATGCTCGAACAGACAACATTCAAAATAGGCAAAAATAGAAAACAAAGCCACCGCTTCACTGAACACAAAAAAACATAAAACAAAAGATCCCCAACACAGCATCCTGCCTGAAGAAGGGAGTGTTTTCATTCACTCTTTCTTTAACAAAGGTATATGATATTAACCTTACACAGCTGGATCTGGACAGTTTGTTGATATTGCCTGCTAGCTCACTCACCCTTCTGATGTTGTGTCTGTGTTGGTTTCCTTGCATGCCAAAGCACCCTCCACTTTTAACACCTCTATNTAGCTGGATCTGGACAGTTTGTTTATATTATGGCCTGCTAGCTCACTCACCCTTCTGATGTTGTGTCTGTGTTGGTTATACTAGAACTACTGGTTTCCTTGCATGCCAAAGCACCCTCCACTTTTAACACCTCTATACCGTTTTGGGTACAGTGGCCCACGTATATAGCTGGACCTTGACCTTCTACTGTCCCTGCAACACAGCAAGCAACAGTCAGCACATCACTGGATTTAGCAGCATGCAAACTGGATGACTGGAACAATCAGTATATAATTCAGTTCTTACCTAGGATCGTGCATGGAACACACAAAAATTTTCTTACCACAATAATTTGAATTCACAACACATATGATAGACTAACACTATCAAATGAGGGGGGGTGAATAAATCTGTGACACTTATTGACGTTCACTGCATCCGCATCTCAATATGCAACTGTCAGTAAAAAGTATGCCCCTACAGAAACATAATATTTCTATCTGATGAAATAATTCAATTCATTATATGACTATTGCAAGAAATGCTATGTATATTACTTACCAAGGAAACGGGGACTACTGAGGTTGATATACGTTTGATCTGGGTAGTTCACAGTGGAACCACTGTCATCATGACTACGAGTGAAAGATGAAACTGACAGCTTCATAACCTCCACTGAAGAAAAGTGAATAATGAACAAATATGGCTTGCGATAAGCTGAAACAAAAGTCAGTGTGTTTTTATATATGTATATGTAATTTAAATATCTTACATCACAATGTCACTGATCTCACTTCAGAACAAGGGAACATACAGGGCAACTGAAATGTCCAAAACGTTTTTACCAAACTGTCAAATCAGAAATTCCACCTCATATGAAAATGTAATATTTATTTCTTGTTAATTGAAATCACTGTTAAAGAATGGACCACTTCCCTTCTGGAAATTCATCTGACAAAAGGTGAAATTAAAATACTTGTATTACCAACGCCAAGAGGTTTATGGCTCCATTTGATGTCGTCTAGTCGTGTTCGTTGCCCAAATTTATCCACAAAGATACCAAATACACTGAAACACAAGAGGTACTCCGGTTCTGCAGTCCTTGATTCGGTAACATCTAATATGGAAACTGGGTAGATGTTCAGATGCTGAGCCCCAACTACGACATGGGCCAGACTCTTGTCAGTTGGATCCAGAAATTCTGAAAAGGTAAAAAGATGTGACAATAAGATATTAACAATTAAAATTAATTTTACAGACAGTGTAAAGTTTTTGGTATCCAAATAAAATTAATCTAAACATATTTAAGTTAATAAACACAATAGTGCAGGACAGCTGTACAGTCACTTCCTTGGTATTCAGATGGCATGTCTGCACATGATTTACAGTATGTTGAACATTTTCAGTACCCCCTACCCATTATTTATAATTAACATTTCTGAAAAATTACCAAGTGTCTACTCAAATATCACTGTTTCTGAGATGTGATGTATTCTGGGGAACATTTACCATCGTTCTGGAGAAACGCACTGCTTCCATCATTGGGATAGAAGAGTACCCTCACGTATATTCCTCCGAAACATCAGTAAGCATATACCAGAATACAGTAATGTTCTTAGTTACTACCATAAATCCTGTAAACATTTATGTATTTCATTTTATGAAAACAGAAATATATTTTCCGTAGAAGATTATGTGACTGCTGTTTTATAAATGCTTAGGTTGGTAATTTTATCATAATCACATTACACATTACATTGATATAAATATAACGTTTTTGGACATGATCCATTGTCGTCTTTATCTAAAAACTGTCCTGTTTATTTTTCAAAACACAATGTTTTGGAGACTGGAGTCCGGAGATAGGGACTAGCTTATCGATTGGGCCCAACTCAGTAGGTTTTACCTGAAAACAGAAACAGAATCCAGTCTCCGAAACATTGTGTTTTGAAAACTAAACAGAACGGTTTTTGTATTAAGACAGGACGATGGATAATGTCCAAAAACATAATATTCGTACTAATGTACCATCATTACAAACTTTTAGGTCTTATACATATTACTCATACATAGGCCTAAATATAAGAAAATCCAAAACTTCAAATTTTAAAATAAAAATTTTAATATTTAAAATTTATCATTATATATGATGAATATATATTTTAGTTATTTTAGTATAAAGACAACAGGGCATGCAATGAAGTAGTTCGACGTACACAGAAAAGCACCTGAAGATGGCACTTTAGTGCTGAAACATGTAGTGCAAGAGAGAAGAGTAAGGTGAATAAATGTATGCACTGTAAGACGGTCAGAATAAATCATGGACATAAATCAGTGCAACAGGACGCTAAAATATAACATTAAAAATGAAGGGAAACTACGGTGAAACATATTGCAACGTGTTTTGAGTTCGAAACCTGTCGGTCATGTGTGTAAGTCGAAATCCCACTTCTGACACCAGTGTAACGTGTTTCGTTACTGAAGACGCCGTAGAGATTGTTAATTGGTTTATTCAACAACCTACAAGTAACGGCTACAATTAATTATGACAATGTTGCGGGGTTTCACAACTTATAACCCTATTCGCAATATTCAATTCACTCTATTGTCAGTAGTCTACACGTTTCACAGTACGGGAGCTATATAAGTGTTACTGTATCACACACTNTTGATCACGCACTTTTACTCGTTCACTGCTGAGTGGAGAACTGTCTTTGGCCGCTGATACGCTTTAACTCTCTCTGGGGACGGCTACAAGTTAACTCGACTACAACTCAACTCAGCGACTGCCACATTACAACTCACTCACGCTTACTGCTCAGCCAGCTTTTATTCTGTTCGCTGTTGCCTGTGCCCGCGTCAACAGTAGGAAGCGGTGCTGCGTCACAGTGTTTGCATATAGCCTAACAACGCTGTTACCTCACACCGTCTTACGTCACCGCTGTTGACTCGCGTTGCATAGCTACCAGGACGCTGGGACTCGGCTAACTTCGGCTCCGCTCGGTGCGTCAGCTCCGGGGGAGGGGTCCAGCTAGCGCGACACGTCACAATATTTTC